ATGAAACCCTTTGACATACTATTACTGTATGATACGACATTAAAAAAAAAAAAAACCTTCTTGCTCTGGTTTGCGTGTGTGTGGTCTGAGCTCCTTGACTCGAAGGATTCAGTTTAACAGGCATCTGGGTTCTTACAGAACAGGGAAAAAGAAAAGAAAAAAAAAAATGGTGTGCCTAGAAGAGGGCATAAAACTATTGCCTAGTTGCGCAAACTAGGGGGATAATGCAAACAATGCATAAAATCTGACAAGGCTCTGGGACTGGTGGGATAGCTAACTCAACTCAACTAGCTAGCCACCCTCGGTTTTATTTTCTGAATAGTAATACAAAAGGTAATCTGGGCTATACGCCGCTCTATTTGTCCGCAACTAATATACAAAGTCGGCAATATGCTTCGTACTACTCGTATAGGGCTTGCCAAATGGCCCCCCCCCCCCCCCCCCCCCAATGAGTAAAGTCAGATGCCCGTTCTACCTAGCACCGAGACGATGAGGCTGACTGACTGACTCAGGCATGTATTTCCGTTTATGCAGCTCATTCCCCTGCAAACTCCAGCTCGGCAAGGAGACTTGATTCGTCTTTTGAACCAGTCGTAAGCAACCGGAAAGGGCCCTTTCCATTGACAAGTGCTTACTTGTATATGTTGCAGCAGCAGCAGCAGCAGCAGCAGCAACACCGGCTTCCGTGCAAAAGTACGCTTCAAGCGTTTACTAAACTCAGTAATTAATTGTCCAACAACAAATAGACAACAGACTCGCAACACCCTTGAATCGTTTCACAACATAAGCCAATCGTTCCTTCGAGTCACCTGCCGCGTCATGCAGACAAGGATGACGAGAGTGATCGTTACCGTAGGTGGCATTAATAAATGGATCTCAGTCGATTTCCCCTCTTTAGTAATCGCCATCGACATAGACATAGTAGTAGTAATGAAAAGCTTGTGCTGACAATACACAATCTATACTTAGACAAAAGTTGCCAAGAATTCACGTGTTATTTCATGTATAGTGATATGTGTTTCTATAATACTACAACTTCCCCGCTCATCTATTCAAAATCGATATATTAAGAAACACTGATACTCTTAACGACTCGTCAGGTATCACACTCTCATCTCAAACGCCGATGCCATTTCAATATCCGTGCTGCAAAGAACCTCACAAAGAACCGTAAAAGCGTAAAGATCCCATCTGCTGGGAGAGAAAATAGTAGTAGCAATGTGGTGAAACTTGGAGCTGTCCATACTCGATTCACCACCAACAGCATTAAGCGCCCGTAAAAATAAAATAAAAGAGACAGCTCGAGCAAAAACAAGTAGATAAAGACGCCATCTCAGAGGCCATGGTGGATGGACTTAGTGTCGAGATGAGTAGCGATTCGTGGTCGGGGAGTAAGGCATATCGTAACCGCTCGACTGAGCATAAGGGTCATCTGCGTAGACGGTGCCGCGGCGCTCATCTTCTCCAAGGAGTTCCTTAACCTCCCAGTTGTTCATGCGAGTGCCAACAGAGAACTCGAGATCTTCCTTGGTAATGGAATCCCAGTACTGGAAACACAAATGATGTTAGCAAAATCTCAATGAGGGGAACAAGTCTCCTTCTCTCTCCTCTTCTTTTCCTCTTTCAACTTTCTTCGTTTTTTTTTTTCCTTCGTTTGTCTCTTCATTCTTTTTTTTTTTTTTCATTCCTCCTTTTTCTTCCTTTTCATCTTCTTCCTTTCTCTCTCTCCTCCTCCCCTCTGAAACTACTACTGCTTCTTCTTCTTCTTCTTCTTCTTCTTCTTCTTCTTCTTCTTCACTCTTGCTTACCTTATAAACCATCATAACAGCCAACAAATTGCAAATCGTTGCGAAAAACAGCCCATCCAGATAATGGCTCACAGCAACGCAAATCTTGGAGCTAAACGCATACAGAATCACCTGTCCGGCCACGAAAAAGAAGATGCCAAAAGCGATATCGCCCAGCGGCCACCGGTCCTGCAGCGTCCGCACAACAAGCAAGATCTGCATGCCGACGTAAACAAAGAGCTCAATGGCGTTGAGCAGGTACAAGACGACAAACAGGCCAATCGTGTTAGTCGGGCCGAGCCCAGCCCATCCCTTGAACGTCGCCAACGACACCAGGAAGGAAATGGCAAAGGCAACCAGCGAGCAGAGCCACAGCATCCACACCGACAACGGCGTGCCATCCTCATACAGCTGGAAGCCGACAAAGCCATTGACAAGCAGACACGTCACAACAGCGCTCGCCAAGCCGTTCTGCACGCTCGCAAAGTAAGGGAACGGCCCACTGCCCGCAGGCACCACACCGGCATCAACCACCAGCGAGATAAAGGTCAGGAGCATATACAGGTAGAAGAAGCTGAGAATCTCCTTGCGGCCAACGGCGGTGAACTTGCTGCGCACGTGCAGGACCATGATGACGGTCATGACGAGCGCGCCGATGTGGGCAAAGGACGCGGCGCCCTCAAAGATGATTGTGTTGGCGACTTCAATGTTTCGCGCGTAGCAGTTGGGCTCGATGCCGACGCGGCCAGATGACGAGAGGACGGGGCCGACGGAGGCGCAGAGCGGCAGCGGCGTGTGCTCGCAGATGGAGGTGAAGTCCCCAAAGCCCGACATGATGGGCTGATGATGGTGTTTGAGGCGAGGTCGTATTCGGTTTGTCGGCGATGTCGCAAGCGCGCGAAGAAATCGTAAACGAGCGACCGTGTCGGTGTCGGTGTCGATCAACAGCGCCTTTCCATCAATCTTTTCCCAGGATCCTCTCGCTCGCAATGCGACAGCTGCCAAATCCAAGCCCAAAAGCAAACAATAAACAAGACGCCACTGTTGCTCCTCCTCCCCACAAATAAAAAACGAGTGTCGGGGAAACGATTGAACGGGGAGGGGAAAAGGAAAGAGAAGAGAGAGAGAGAGAAAAAAAAAAAAAAAAAGGAAAAGATGCCTCGATTCTTTTCTTCCCGCGCTATTCAACAAAGGACTTCTTCTTCTTCTCTATTTTCGACTCGAGATTCGATCGCCGGCGGTGGTTCGACACGAGGCAAGATTGCTGGTGGAGACGAGATTTCGGGGGAGGAGAGGAGAGAATGAGACTTGGAAGGGCAGAAAAAGTTGGGGGTGGGCTTGCAGCGGTGGGTCTGCAGGGAGGGAAGGTGACTTTGGCCGTTACTAAAAATACGAGGATGCGGCCGTTATACGAAGTATCTTTGAGGTACTACTTGGAACGGGATGGATGGCGATGATTGAGAACAGCCAGGCGGTTGATTCAAGCAGAGCAAAGCCCGCAGATGCTCAAGCAGGCGCATTCATCGCCTTGCGCACGATGCAGGCCCGGCCATGCTTTGCAGCCACGATGCAGCGAGTCTCCATTTAAAGCAAATGCGTGGAGCCGTTGGTTGTCTTGGCGACAAAGACGTGCGAATGGACCTTTCAACCCACGAACAAACAGTCTATCGGTGTAAGAGGGGGATGCAGTTTTAGTAGTTTAGGGTAATATCAAGATTGAGAATTCCTGTTTCATGATTATAAATGGCCTCATGCTTACAGTACTCCAAACACATGTTGTTTATCCAGAGTAAACACACAAACTCCAAGAGCCAGTTCCGCCAGCGCAGGATTACATGATACTACTAGGTACTAAGCGGTAATGCTGGCCTCGTACCCTACAGCAACATCAATATAACCTTACTCTTCCTTGACAGCACCATCATGCTAGAATGAAACAAATGGACTCATTCATACGCTCCCTCTCTCTCCTTGTTCTATACCTCCCTAGCAACCCTCCATCTGTTCGCTCCCCTGAATCACAAGATACGTCTTGCATGCAACACAACTAAGTAGGTAGAGAGCATACGTCGCCGAGTTCACAACTCAACATGCATATCCTTACTGATGAAAATCCAAACTCATCACAATTCAGCCAGGCACATAGACAATAAAGGCATACGATACGTACTTTACACCACCCAAGCAAATAGCATCGTCAGACCCTCCCTGCTGATGTGTCGATACAACATCCCTTTTCCTCCTGCAGCTCCAAACTTTAACTTTTTAACTCGCACCCTCCCTCTCCCTCGATACCGTTGCACATGATCTAGCACAAGCAATCAAAGTCAACAAGAAACATTCATTAAAACCAAGGCAACATCATAATGCCGGTTCAATTCTCATTTCCTCAAAAGCCTAAATAGTAATCGTGGTATCTTCAAATTAACAAGAAAAACAAAGCAGACAAGGAAAAGAGAGAGAAAAAAAAAAAAAAAGCAATAGTAACAGATGCTAATTCACAAAAGTCAAGAAAAAAAAAAAAAGGCTGTTCTGTTTCTTCATTCCAGCCAGTTATGCCATATCGCCCTCCCTTTTCATTTAGCCCCATATTTGCTAATGATCTTCCATGCATCCATGGATATTATAATGGATAAAAAAGGAAACGGTAAGATAGAACAGGAAAAGAGAAGAAAAAAAAAGGCATTAACCGCGTAACAAGAAAAATTGAAAATCAACTCCAAATCAATGCTTCTGGAGACGTGTATATGTATCAAGCGTTCCCCCTTCGTCCCTCCTTTAGACCCTCTCGACCAGGATTCTCATTTCCTTCATTCGCTGTACCGTCGTCATGGACATACCCGAAAAACCGACCAAAAAGCCATGTATCCACCAAGTACCAGCTAGTTTCCTTAACCAACGCCCCAAAAACCATGCAAATCGATATGCTTCGCCTTGATAAACCAGCAAAAGCCCGGAAAGAGAAATAGATAAAACGATGCAAAGCAGATAGCACTAGTAACACACGGGAGGGTGGGATTAGACCCCCCAAGCTCAAAAAAAGAAAAAAGAAAAACCGAAACGGAAAAACAGGAATAAAAGTACAAGGATGTTGAGACACTCTGCCGAATAGGAGCTTCTGTCTCACAACATCTACTGTTGATAGAAAACTGGTGTGCAGATATGCTTCCCATCCGCTAGCCAACGGTTGCAAAAGGAACAATGCAGCCACCTCTAGGGTGCATACGCTCCTTGCACTCCATTTTGCGGGAGGGACTGCTGGCCCCGATTGTACACGATAAACTCGGGCACCACGCCGGTGCGTAAATCGTTTCGTCTACCAAGAGGCTGGTAGTGCATCTGCGTGGGCTGGACGGGGACCGCCAGATGATACTGATCCAGCGATGCCGACGGCGGTGGGTAGAGCAGCCGGTTGACGTGGCGGATAGGTCTGTAGGGACTGGCCCGTTGCTGCAAGTAGACGCTGGGAGAGTGTGAGATGGGCGTAAGGGCAATCGGCGTATGTATTCCCGAGGCGGTTCCAAACAAATTCTCAGCCATTGGCGAAGAGGTGTAGGCAGAGGTGAGGTGCTTGGTGGGCGTAGTATAGGCCATCGATGGCTGGCCAGGAAGCGCCGTGTTGGGGAAACCGGCCGTGGCCGATGCCGTCGCGGCGGTAGGAGGCTGGTAGACGGTGGACATGGCGCGTGTGCCAGTCTGTAGAGGTGGCAGAGACACCACGCCCTGGTTAGCAGCGGAATAGGGTGACTGAGGGGTATATCCAGTCGTCATTGGCGTCATCGTCACTGCTGCTGATGTTGCCGAGGCCGGAAAAGTAGTTGGCTGGGTGGGAGGAACCTGCGTCGTGACGAGAGTGAGATGCGGGACAGGGAGCCTGGCCGAGTCCTGGGGCTGGGCATTCATGACCGGTGGCACCGCCATGTTGGGTCTTGGAGCTTGACGCATGTGTCGCTTGGCAGGGTGTTCAATCGGGTCCACCTCGGGGCTGCGCTTTCGGTTGACGGGCAGAACCATCGACGGCCTCGCAGCCAGCGGCGACACGGGGTTGGCGTGGTACATGGCCCAGTTCTGAGCGTGTCTCGAGGTAGTAGGCGAGAAGTTTGGTGCGCCGTTGGGCATAAAGGCCAGGTCAGCGGGGGCAGCCAGCGTTGTCGTGGTCGGCGAGGGGATGGGAGAATGGAAGCTCCTGGAAGACGGAGACGCAACGTGCAGCGGCGATGCCGAGATATGGAGGGCCTGTTCGTAGTAGTCGTGGAAGCAGGCCAGCTTGGTCAACCACTCCTCCCATTCGTCCTTGGAGGCAAGGAGGTTATATCGCATGTTGCTCAAAAACTCGACTTCCATGACGTGAATCTCATTGACGGTGAAGCAAGACACTTCAGCCCACGTCTTGTTAGTATAAGTGTTGTCGTCGAGGACTAGATACCATTGTTAGCCTTCTGTTTTATTATAATTTTTATCATTTTTTTCTTTCCCCCCCTCGCTTGCCCTTTTACTTCTTCCTTGGGTGCCTTACATTTATTGCCAAGCATGAGAGAGACAGTAAGCAATCGATACTCGCTGCCTCCTCTCCCCTTGATCTGTGGTGTTGAACACTTGAGTCGGTAGATGAATAGCAGAGCTAGCAGGATTACGTTTTGTGTGACCTGGGTCGTCGACAGCACGTTGTATACCCATTTTCGGAACTGCGGGCTGGGTTTGGCCAGATCATACAGGCGAGAGGGGAGCACATTTGGTCGTGATTTCATACTCTCGGCCTTTCTGAGCTGCTCAATAGGTTCGAACCAAAAGAGGCACGTCATCTAGAACGGAAAAGCGTAGAGTTAGCCAGCTGGGCAGAGGGAAAGGCGAGAGAAGCGAGAATAGACAAAAAGTGTATAGATGGTAGGCCCGAGGGAAATTGCAGACAACTCAAAAATATGTATATATATGTGTGTGTGTGAATATGATTTCTTTGGAAAAAAGGTTCGACTCACCTGAGCAGCAAAATCTGCCAAGCTGCCGCCGCTGGGGCTGATGCATCTCGGGATCTGGAGACTGTGGTAGATCAAGGTCTCTGAGCTCCTCCGTGATAAGGTAGTGTCCTTGGTGGAAATGACTGATGCAGGTGTTGATTTCGTAGATCGATCAGAGGGGGTGCTGTGTAGTGGTGCATGCAGAGTCTGCGAGACGGGAATCTGGTGTTGGTGTTGGTGCTGGTGCTGGTGTTGCTGGTGCTGGTGCTGGTTTTGCTGGACTGCAGCATATCGGCCATATTGCCTCGCATCGTTGACGCCAGCGACTGCCATGGCCTTTGCCCTGCTGGGGTGGACAATTGCCGAAGTGTATGATCGCAGGGCATGGCTGTCGTACGCGGCCGGCACCTGCTGGTAGGTGGTGCTCATCTCGTCGACTGGAGGCGTCCTCAGGCCGTTTACCAGATGCTGGTGATGGGCGATATCGTGGGCGACGGCCGAAGGCTTGGGCAGGGCAATGCCGAGGGGAGGCAGCACGGGTCGTCGAGAGTTGGAGCAGAAGGACGGCGACAGCGGTAGGTGAAGTAGATGCGACGTCGAGGGCGCAGCTTTAACCGACATGGGGAGCACCTATGACGAAAGTGAAGCAGGACGAGGAGCGCGGATCATGTATTATGTATGTGCGAGGCTCGCAGTGAAGCAGCGCGGCGCGGGTCTGGAACGGCGAGGTGGGCTGGGCGCGGAGGGGGGAAAAGAAGGCAGAGGAAAAGCAGAAACGCCGTCTCTGGGCTTGAGATAAAGGATTGTGGGTTTGGGAAGTGAGGTGAGGCCAAGATGAGAAGGCCAGAGGCAAGTCGTTGAAAAGAGTTTCGATCTGGGTGTAAGTGAGGTGGGTGGGTATCCGCGCATTTCAAGCACCGGTACAGGTACGGGCACAGGTACAGGTACATGCGAGGATTGGCTGCAGACAAGCACAGCGCCAGCAAGAGCCACAGACCCCAGGTTTATTTCTGCTCGGCGGATGTGCCAGGGATGTGTGTGTACAAGTCTCTTTTTTTTTTCGGGGCTGCCAGTAGCGGCACAGTGGCTCCCGTTCTCTCTCTTTTTGTCTTTCTTTAGCACGCACGTCTTTCTTTATTCCCCTTTCCTTCTTGTTTTTCATTTTTGGCTTTCTCTGGCAGGGCCGATGAAAAGAGCATAGTTTGCTCGGTTCTCGGCCTGCGCAGGCATACCTACTAAGGTAGTACATATACCTTATCTTAGCAGCAGTACCTTAGTAGTGCTGTGCTGTATTGGACTGGCCCAGTAGCAGTAGCGCTCCGCTAATCGAGGTATGGATAGCAGGTACTTGTCCATGGCAGCAGCGCCGCTAGTGCCGCTAGTACCTCCTCTGGCCAAACGTGGTACGTACCCGCGAGGTATGGATGGAGTCGAACAGAGCCAGCCAGCGGTGCTAAAAAGAAGCCGGACCAGGCAAGGAACGCTTTGCTGACATGCATCCCTAGCATCAAGCGCGGAACCAGGCCAGAACCCGGCGGTACAACTGAAGAGCACGAGAGCGCATGGAAGACATGAACCAGATGCTAAAATGAGAAGGGGGGGAAGCTTGTCTGATCGGTTATGGGTTCCAGGAGAGGTACACAAGAAGAAGAGGGAAAAGGGAACCCCCCAGACCCAGAAAAAGGGACGCTGAAGGAGGGGGGTGACGAGAAGCACGACGAGAAGGGCTGACGAGGGCTGCCGCGTTCAAACGGGCTGGTTGGCTGCGTCGTTTGCCATGGGTAGGTTTTGTTTCGGCGTCGCTGCTGAGGTTTCGCGCTGGTGCTGCTTCTGGCTCCGGCTCTGGCTGGCGCGGCCAAGGGGCAGTCGCGGGCGTCGGAGGCGGCATTGCTTGCGAGCGAGCGAGCATGGAGAATACCGACCGATACTAGCAATACTGTGCGCGGATGCGTGTCGAGATGGCGGATGAGAGGATGGACTGGGCTGGATTTTGGCGATGGAGAATCTGGCGGAGGCGCTGGCTCTCGAACATGGGGCTGGCACGCTCACGCGGTACCTGCGCCGGGCGGTACCCACGCCACGCAGCCCTCACGGCGCGCGCGCCAGGTACCTCCCGGCGCTGAGTACAAGGCGGCGCTACGCCAATCTTGCCCAATGAGCCAAACCCACAGCTTCAACTTTGAGCTCTACCAAGTTAATAAAGCGCTCCTCGTACCCAGAAAACGGAGCAGCTAGCGAACGTAATTGCGCTACGCCTCCCCGAGGAGGGTCACCGAAAGAGACGAGGGGCGTCCTTTTTTTTTTTTTTTTCCTTTCTTTTTGCCTCGATATTCATTCTCACTCTTGCAATGGCGACCACGCCACGCTCACGCAAAGGACCCATTATCCATGTATGATCAAAGGACGCAGTTTGCCCGCGCCCGGCTTTCCGACGAGCGCAGGTTTGATGTGGATATGGAGACTGTAGTACGGGGCCGTGTTGGTCTGGTCTATCGTATAGGTACTTGGTAGGCATGCCTAGCCATGCCTATATCTGGATTTGAGGCTGCCCCCCCTTGTTCTGCTGTAAATGTTCTGTACAGTATGTACGTCCCGCTGCGGGCTCGAAACCAGCCGTTGCCCACACCATCCAGGCCGTACTGGGAACGTACCAGAACCTGCATGGACGGCGCAGCAGATATGCTCAAGCATGTCCTACCTCCTCCAAGTCGCAATATATCCATCCATCCATCCATCCATCCAATTTGTCCAATCCCACCAAATCACAGCCGACTGCGCGCGGCGGCCCCTGTCGCGTCGGTGCGTCGAGATAGCTATTTAATCTTGTGAGCCATGTCACTGCGTGCAGAGGGATACGCGCCGACTGCCCCGATGTGAGGCAGCAGTGCGAGGTATTTGGCGCCCGCAAGGTACCTCGCCGCCAGACAGTGGCCGTTCTGCGGGGTCCTGAGCGCATTTGCAGGGCACGGCCTTGTTGCCGCTCCAGGCAGTGCCCAGCCAAAACAGCGAGCATTGCTACTGTACCGCGTACCAAGAGCCTATTGCTGGCTGGCGCTGGGCCCGACTGTGGCGGCAACCCGCGAAGCCCCAGAGAGGCGTCCGTCCCCTGCAGTGCGCGCATGGATGGGACAAGATTCAGCACCAACAGCCCCCCCTTCCAGTGGGCGTTTTAGCGGTTGGGGTGGGTAAGGACGGACGGGCTCTGGGCCAGTGCGAAGCAGCAGTGGCAGTGGGCGAGTGAGTGAGTGAGAGCCACATCCTGGGCAAGCCCAGCTGACTGACTGACTGACTGACGCAGCGCCTGGAAACGGTTGTGACATTTTGCATTTTTCTTCTTGCCCCGGAGCACCCGCAGCCGGTCTTTTTTTATTTTATTTTATTTTATTTTTATTGGCGTTCGATGGCGTTTCAAATCGCTTGTAGTGAATCAAGTCATTTCTCCTTCTTATTCTCTCTCTATACTTTACAAAGGAGCCTCTCCTCTCCTCCTTCGCCTCTCCCTCTCTAGCTGCACCCCTGCATCCAAGCCCATACAGTGCCACCACCAGAACTGCCTTGAACATTAATTACCTACCTTACCTCGCCTTGTACATGTGACTACTACTGGTACTAGCACTGCTACCACCTGAATGGGAGCAGGGTTGAAGGTTTTGCGTTTTGCAAGGCATGAAGTGACCAGGGGATATAGACTACGGCATATGCATCTAGAAACTCTTCGGATGCCTCTCCTGCTTCATCGCATCACCACTTGCAATACGGCTTACTGTACAGTATAGATGCTTGATGCCGGAAATAGGAGCAAGGGGAGATGACGGCGTCTCTTCCATACAAGTCGTCAGCCAGTGACACATAGTAGAAGATGCACACGTTCAGTCCCAAGTAAGACATGCCCAGGCAAGTAGCAGCTGTTGTAGCGGTACCTCCTGTGCATATCTCGCTTTTTAGGCTAACGCCTAGGAGCCATTTCGCCGCCGCGTTTTTTTTTTTTTTTCTTTTCTTTTCATGTAGCCAGGCGTAAGCTAAATTCTGCTGCAACTGTCGCCTGGGCACCCCGTTTTCGTCCCCATTCCCGTCAAGTGCAAAGTGGTATTAACTAGCAGCAGCAGTAGTACGAAAAAAAAGGGTCCATGTGCGTGTGTGTGAGGTAGGCATCTGATGTGCCACTCGCGTATATGGGGCACCGTTCATACGAGCAGTGCTACTGGAATTTATACGAGTCTTGGGAGCCACGATTATAGATGCTTGCCTGTATCAAGCTACATGTGCTGTATATCCGCCTTACGTTGCACACATCCAAGCCAGTACGAGAGCAGCAGCTTCGCTGTTGACCCGGCAAACATGGGAGCGGTAATACTGTATTGCATCTAGGAGCAAGACAAATTTCAACGGGGCGTATCTCGTCTCGTACCCGGCGTCCGGCTGCTCCACTTGGAATGGCCTCGCTTGCCCCTTCAAGAAACGGAGTCGGTGTTCCGCAGACTTATGATGACTGGCAAAAGGACCGTGACGAGGAAAGATGATGGATGTATGGTAGTTGATGCTGGTGCTGATGCCGATCTGATATGACTGCTGGAAAAAAAAGAGAGAATGTTCCAATCTGATTTGACATCTCTTTTGGCGCCTTCTCAAGAGGAAACTTCTTTGATCAACTCTGCAGACCACCACTTATACAAACAACAGGGCTTTCATCCATCACGAGGCTTCTAATAACAAACCGTGCGTACTGTGCTGTGCTGTGCTGTGCCGCGCCTGCTTTGCCTTGCTTTGCGTTACCTACCCATGATCCACCGACTCTCTATTGCCAAATCGATCCCCCGATCCGCGTCAGCCAGCCCCTGCGTGGGGAGCGGATACAAAAGCATAGCGCCAGGGCTTATTGCTGATGGATACATTTGCCCGTAATTGTAGCCTTGCATTGCTTGGGGCCTTGTCTTGATATCTCGCCTGGCGATGATGCCTTTGCGCGGGGGAGAGAGCACAGGACCACAAAAAAAAATACAGAAAAATTGAGTGGCAATCAAAGGATGACTGATGGCTATTTCTCCAAGACACACAAACACCCTAGCAACTCAGTATGTAGTACCTATATAATTCACGCTTGACTTTGGCGAGATACAGCACTGATGATGGATGCACTAGCGGTACCGCTGCTTGATTCTCATATTTCAAATGTTGAGTGCTCGCATACAACTCCGGCCTTGCTCAACGCCGTTCCGAAAAGAGACGGCAATGCAGGCTTGTACAAAAACTACAGGGGCACGGCCAGCCCGGTCCGTCTGTGTGTATACAAGAGGCAGCTGAAGGAGCCGATGCTAATCCAAACAAAATGATTCAGCTACGGCCTATACCTGCGTAGGTACATGCCTGTCCCGGGGCAACCACCAAAATAACGCCCATCTGGATGGACAAGGCCCTTTTTCTCATGCGTGCTTCCTTGCTTGCTAAGCCGGGCACAGCCTAGCCCAGCTTTTTCTCTTGTTGGGCTGCCGGTAGCAGTCAGTCAAGTCTTCATGTCTTTCATCAACCACCCCCCGTTTTTTGTGATCAGCGGGGAGCATTTCGCTCACCAAAAACTGCGGCGGCCCACACCCTTTTCTTTCTCTATTACTATTACAGTAAAGCACTACTGCTGCCATGTTTTCCCTTTTCGCTCCCCACTCCACTCCTTCACCCTCCCGTGGCCATCCAATGATATCCGCGGTACGCGGCCCTTCAGCTCTTCCTCCCGCCTTTCGCCTAGAGAGAGGGAGGCCCAACAAGAAGCATGGCCCAAGGGGTGGGCATTTGATTCCCATCAAAGGATGGCAGGGGGGGGGGGGGGGGGGGAACGAAACTTGATGAGGGGGAAGCTGATTATTGATGAACGAACATGACGATTATGGGCGCCAAGTATGACTGCTGCCTTGTATATAATCGATTAGATGTATTGTTAGCTACTAGGTAGATATGTTGATGATGCAGTACACAAGTAATACATGCTGACCTAGTGATGTCAAGACAACGCTGTACTGTATCGAGTACATACATGAACGGATGCTGCTGCGTCCGGCGTACTCCGGGATGAGCTGTGGGTACAAAAGCCACTTATAACATGCCTCGTGCATTGAAGATTCAAAATGTCTTATATCCATGTACTCATGTCTTGTCTTGGGTCCTTCTTTTTACTCTCTTCTCTTCTTGTTTTCGTCTAGTTGCAGGTGAAAAACCGATTTACATAATATGGAGCAAACGAGAAAGTTTAATTTTGGCTTCCTCTTTCTGCTGTGCCACGCAGAATTAGCCTGTCGTTAATTCATAGAGAGTTTAGCGGTAATATAGAATGGCCCTGCGATATTATATTACAACTGGCGTCGTCGCGGGTGTTTCTCTTTTTCTTTCTACTACCTTGCGTCCTGTCTCTACAAAGCAGGGCGGCGGGCTTCAACGAGAGAGCCTTGTTGCCGTCTAGACACCTGCCATATGGATGATGTTACCGAAACATCGTATCCGTATCAGATCCTGAGGCGAATGCTGAGCCTGTCTTTTTAATTTTCTTGCGCGCGCGTGCGTTCCCCTGCCGTTCTGGGTGGCAATTATAGTTAGGCCTATACCGCGACCCGACACCAGACCCTGCCGACGGGCATGCAAACAACGCCCAATACGCTAAGATAATGCCATGCCATGCAATGTACAAGCACGGCCATGTAATAAAAAAAGAGAGGGTTAATAATATCTCGTGTGCTGCTATTCGCACTAGCCAAAGGATATACCATCACCGTAAATATCAATGCAACTGGCATGGTCTAGGCCCACCATCCGCCTGCGGCCGTGTATCAGAAAAGAAAAAAATCCTGCTAAACTGCTGCCGTAGCTCGAGCCGGTGTGTCGTGTCCCACTCTCTGGGGACGTGATGCATTTTTTCATTTCGGAGCCGTCTTCCTTTGCATCGTCACCGCAGAGCAAGAACTGTGTCTGATCAACACGGCCGCAGGAGAAGATCCAAATAGCCAGATTTCGCACCGGCTATCAACGAAATGGACTACGTCAAGAGTGGGCTTGCTCTCGCTCCCTTGACTCGTAAAGGAAGCCCACCGCTCGTGACTGGGCTCTTGAACCCGTCTGGTCTTTTACTTGATATGGATGGATGCGCTCCTGTATGGAGTCCCATGCCATAATATCATTTTCTACAGTACTTTGCGGGTAGCAGTGCCACTACCGCTAGGAGCTTGAGCCACCTAAAATGCGACCGTGCTAGTACAAGTACGCATGGCGTCTTGCGTAAGACATTTTCTTGCTCTTCTTCTGTTAGGACCGTTTTTGTCTCTAGCGGCTGCCGTGAATCGGCAGCGCTGTTTGGTAAAAGAGGGGGGCAAGCAAGGAGACCGAGGAGTGTGAACAAAGGACGTCCCTTGTAAGTGGCCGTCCTTGGAGTAGCACTACTCCTGTATCGACTCGAGTATGTGGATTCCAGCAGAGAGAGGAGAGTCAGAAAGCAGTCTGCTGTGTCGCATGTAAGATGTGGTATTTATAAGCTACGCTCGTTTGCAGCAGGATGTAGGATGTACACGGCAGATTACATGTAGCTGAGATGCGCCAGCGTGGGGTTAGAAGCAGGGGACAGTGAAAAGGGTTAAGAGAAGGCGGCTTTTTCGTTGTTGCGGTTGGCTTTTTCCAGTCCCCCCTTCTTCTGCTTTAACCTACGGAGGTACTATCCCGAACTGATACTAAGAAACGGTGGGCAAGGCGCGCGGCTGCAAGATGCACGGTGGATGGATGGATGGTAGGTACTTTACTTTGTAGGTATGCGAATCTCTTCTCGTGGCGTCCGTCAGGTGGCTCGGGTGCATGAAAAATGCTTTGTCCGTTTGATTCCACACGTAGGTATTGTGCAATAAAATTTCAACATGCCGCGTGCCTCGATCCTGGACGACGTACGAAGGAATACGGCGAAAAGTGTTATAGATTTGACCTACCTTACATATTCATTTACGAATTCAGGTAGTGCTGCTCGTAAATGCTCGTGCCTTTCAGACACGAAGAAGGACCCATTGGCAAAACTCCCCTTTGAAGTCCTAGCAGGGGTCCTTTATTGGCTGCCAGGGACTGGTCCAGGCAGGTTCCCGCAAATGGTCCTGGGAGGATGACCAGGGGGGAGGGGCAATATCCTCTAATACACACTACGGGTAAGCGTGCCATTTTTGGGGGCGAGGCCTTGAATTTGACGTTAACTTGTACCCGCTTTATGTTAGGCAGGGCGGTTTCATTCCTTTGCAATGCGTTTGCGGCTCTGTATTACGGCTCATGAAGAGTAATTTCGTTGGTCATTCGACCATCTTCTGGCGAGATGTTGCCGTAGCAAAGAAAGAGAGGGGGAAAAAAAGAAAAGGGAAGCATATACTACTATCAGGAAGGTGGCGTGTTTCGTATGTAAATGAAAATGGAACACGGATGTCATGTCTCGGCCCGTTGGGATATACAAAGCTAAAATATGCTAGGCATCGTAGGAGCCAAGGTTGCCTGCACTACTTTACCAAGGCAACAGCCGGAGCAAGATGCTTTCGACATTCATTTAGAGATGCACGGAGCACGGAGCACGGAAGCGAGGAATGAAGGCCAATGCTGCTACCAAAGTGCCATGTCTCAAATGCACCAATAGACGGCCTTTAGTGCTAGTATAAGCGGCATCAAGCAGCATCAAGTGTCTATAGAAGGTGTGCTGCTGACCATCAACCAAATTCATCAATGTTAGTTGGAGCTGGTTGTGCTTTATGCATTTAGATGGAACCAGGATAAATCAGCCGTCAGAGATGAGTTTTTATAGATAGATTGAGGGTTGAGTGCAAAAGACGGCCACTATCAGGGCCTGTATGAAATCGAGACACCAATCTCCACGGCGACAGGACGAATCAGCCGATGAGTATTAGTAGTCAAAAAAGATACGCAGGATTGGCACGGCTTGGCCACTAAAAAAATTATCTTTGCCAGACTCCAGCATCGACATAGGTTTCGTTTGCTATTCGTTTACAGAGTCAGTATAGCATGCCGTCTTCAATAGGCCAAGTACAGCCCATAACGCATCAAAGGGGGCGTGTAGGACCATTATTTGAAAGACGACTTTCATGAGGGTGTGCGAACCAGGTTAAGAACAAGTAGCAAAGCCCAAGGTTAGCCATCTCGGCCTTCATATGGAGTCGGGAGCGTCAGCGTCCGCTGAGCCCCAGCTGGTGGTTGTTGGAAGGTTACTTGTTAAGAAGGGGTTATGATTGCCATCATTGTACAAGTAGCGTATGATCAGAGGATATGTAGAAGTGGATGCCCCGGCCCCGGAAGGTGTGGCAACTGTGTGACGCCCTGCCCCGGCTTCAGCCATTCTCCGTCTCTTTTCTTTCTCTCCAGCTTATTACTGCTAGTTTCAAAATCACCAGCTTGCACTAGATCATCCGGCCCACTGTCCAAGAAGCCCAAGGCTCAGGTGGTTGGATCCCTTCTAGCCGTTTCCTTTGGCGCAGCAAGGCACTGATAGTCTAGGCGAGGGCGAATGATGCTCAAGGCTCGGCTTTGTGTGACGACTCGTGCTAGAACCATCATCGTGAGGCGTTTCTAGTCCCCATATCTTGCCAATGAGCAGGGAAAATGCTTGGCCCTGATGGAGCGGCTCCGATTGCGTGAATCATTTGGTGGCGGCCTGCGTCGATGTCTCATAACATAGCATCCACCAAGAGAGGGGGAAGAGAGTAATATGCAAAGGTCAAGTTTCGGCAAAGCAAGAGAAGTTTCGTGGCTCGGCGACAGCCATCCAATTCCAGCCAGCCAATGTATGGGTAGCCGAGAGATGGCTGTTCAGGTGGCCTGGATTATCGAATCAGAGGCTCAAGCAGAGCTGCTCCACTAATATTGCTCCATACTTGTACATACTTCAGCAGGAAGAAGATTCAGGATAATAAGCAATAGCGTGCCTGGCTTCTTACTTACAGAATGTCATCAGACACTGTGTGGAGTGACGGACTGGACTGCCATTTGTCTCCAAGGTTATTCGCATTGTTCTTGGAGCCCGGCGGCGTCTGTCTGGGCGAAAGTTGACGCTTTCGGCAGCAGAAGGAGAGAAGTGGATACGCGCCATGAATTCAGTCCTTTCTACCTTACGGGCCCTGCTGTTAGCGGCAAGAGATGATTGTTGTTTGCTTTTTGGTCTCGCGCAAGACGCGGGGCGAGATCAATATTGCAAAGTCCAGGTAGCACTCGGGTCTTTTAAGCAGTGGCCCTCGGAGATGGGGATCCATGATGGCGATAGTCCAGGTCCACACACTTGAAGAGCGAGAACTTTCAAGTAGGTACAGTAGGTACCACGGGCATTCTTGCAATATGCCCATGGCAAACCAACGCTCGGACGGGTCCCTCCCTACTGGTCGGTGGGCTAGCGGGACCAGACTCAGCATCCGTGTTTAAAGAGGCTGCATGTGGTGCTGAATCCTGTGACGGCCACATGGAGGAAGGACTGCGGTTATTGTGCAAGAACTCTGTAGAGGTTATGGCATCTGATCCATGCGCCAGCAGGTACTAAGCCGAGGTGTGCACTGGCAGTGCTCGTGCAGGTTCTCCGTATACTACTTATAGATGGATGGCTGACAGCGCAGTCTTCTCTGCTCTTATAGCCTGATTTGGCTTGGTGTCCAGTACCAAGGTTCAGGCTGGCTCTGGTTTGTCTCAGAGGGCCAGACAGCCATCGTCTGTGCCAGTTAGGCTGGTGGCATTTCTTGTGCTTCGTTGTGGCCCAACAGCTACTTGTGCAACGTTCATGCCCGGCGGCAGGCATCCAAAGAGGAGTTGTCTTCGGGCTCCTCGGCTGTGACGTTCGGCGAGCGCAATGATTCATCATCTCTCGCTCGGTTGCTTGTGATGGAGATGGCAAACGCGTTCGGGCCAGACCAGCAAGATGCTAACGCCTGCGTCCCCTGCCATCGTTAGTATCTTGAAGTTCCACAATCACGGGAGTAGTGGAAAGACGAAGTTTTGCGTGGAGTGGTGAGTCGCAGTCGGTATTACCACTGCTGCTACCTGTATCCTACAGTAGACCGTTGCTCCATATCCGTCCTCACATTAGTGCATGCAATGCCTGCACGATGGCGCTGGCCCACATCGAGGTCGAGCTATGCCATACGAGTGGCGGTTGCTCTGCAGTCGTATGATTGGACGATCATTGTCGATTTCCCAGTTCTGGTGAGAGAATGAGGAGCTTTCTGTATCCCAATTCTTGGTCCATCATATCTTATCGGGCATCGCCGGTGTACATGGCCACCCGCTCAGTATAAGTTGGTAGCGAGGTACCGCTTTGGGAGCCTCAGCATCCAGGCAGCTGGTCAAATCCAGGTAAAATCAAGCAAACACCAACAAAAAACAAAAATAACTGCTTGCAAGCGTCCAACCTCCAATCCTCTTGATGTGATAGCAGTCCATGCACGCGCTCGCTATGCAGGCACTTCATCCCAGCGTCAGTGGTGCACACGAGTCCTAAAGCGGGCCAGGCTCCATCGTCAATCAGCCTCGATCCTTCTGGCGTCAAGCTAGAGTCGCTCTATGGAGCACCGCGCCCTCGTACGACCAAAGTGCGTTGCAGGCCTTACAGTATTAACAAGGGCTGTGGAATACGGAGGGCCCAGTTGGCATGGCACGACTATCGCGGTTATGCTCGCTGGCCTTGCCGCCTCTGACGGATGTCGGTGGCTGATATCAAGTGCAGTATTACCTGATGCCACTTGGTCTTTATGCTTCGTGCTTGCAGTCTACAGAGTGCGGTTTTTGTCAATTCTAATTCGTTTGCAGGACCGTCTTTTCCCTCTTCCAGCTTCCTCCTTGTCCCCTTTCGGCATCGGGCGGCGGTGCGACGCCTTGTCCTCATCCCACCACACCTGCTCCTCTGATCCAACGTTGATATGCTATTTGCGTGACGAATGCGCCGTTCAAAGCACCTGTCGAGAGGCGAGAACCCACTCCCTGGCTCAGCAGCGCTTGTTAGCGATCGGTGGCACATCCTGGACGACGCCACAGACACTGACTAAATGGCCGGCCGCAGCGTGAACCAGGCCGGCCAAGGGCTAGAACCGCCCCATACACTGCACACCACGCGCCAACGCCTCTGCAAATACAGGACATGGCATCGCTAGGCACCTGCTCTGTCTTTCAGGCATGACAGGACGATCATCTTTGCTGAGGTGGTGCTATCAACTCCTGAGCTGCCGCTGGGTTGTCGGTAGGGTACAAGTACGACGGCATACTAAATGCACTCTGGGCTCCATGCTGCTTTCCAGGGGGCGGCCAAAAAGAGCCCAGATTGCAGATATATCGCTACTCACTCGTGTGATTGGAATCGAGTTGCTGGAGGGGGAGCAACACACTCCAGTATACGGTACTTGCACTCGTCAATATGGAGTACCTTCTCTTCAATGTTGTGAGATAGGCATGCAATGTTGGCATGCAGTCCACTCTTGGCGACTTGTCTTTAGTGGCCCAGAAGCCGTCTTAGCTCAGGCGCCATGTCTGTTCCGTTCTCTGCTCCCACTGTCTGTTTTCCCATTTGCTTGCATCCTTCACTGTCTCTTCCCACCGGGGTAACATCAGCTGTGAAAGCGGCAACGAAACGCAGCGCCCGTTGGCTTGGGCCGAGCATCACTGCGCCCGGTCCGCAGGGAGATTAGTCGTGTTTCTCGTCATTTCAGGTGCCATGACCATTTCTCACCGCATCCATCCTACTGCTGCTACGACTGCTAGCCTTGATGGCAACGACGATGATCCCCTTCCAAGCTCCTATACTTGGCACGCTCCCTGAAACGGAGCACAGCGACATCACGGCTGGATCGGACGCAGCTGAGGCTCCCCGCCCTAGTCTTGGGCCGCGTCTCTCGCCAAGGCCCCGGTCGCTACAGACACGTTCCGGTGACACGGCGGAGCGCCGGATGGCAGTTCCTGCTCACTTGGGCTTAGGCCGCCCTTATGAACGGGCAAATTCAGCAGGTTTAACAGTGCCACCGGATTCTAGGCTATGTATGAAGTACATAGTATGGAGTACGTATGCACTAAAAGCAACCTCCTTTACCCGGGTGGGTTTCCGTCCTTACAAGTAAACTCGAAAGACGCCATACTGTAGCATGGTTCAGTCAGTGAGGCTTTCATAAATCCTTTGCTGGACGAGTTTCAGCAAAGTCAACCCTCGTCTGCTTTAAGCTAAGATCCACTTCGCTGATAAATATGGCCAATCTTTACTTTTCTCACCTCCCTGGGAGGCGTCAAGTCTCTTTACTTCTCGGCTATCAGGTTCAACGCCAAGCACGAACTGTTGGCGCTTGTGTTGTTTGTACAGGTAATACGGAGTAACTCCTTCGAAACGCAAGTTAGTCTGAGAATAGCTTGGGGCAGTCATGTTCATGTCTTGCTATCTGGTACCTCTGGCCACTTATTCTCTAGCTGTTTTTGCCGCTGCCTCCCTCGTACAGGATAATTGGAGATCGCAGGCTCGGCACAGCAAAAGCCGGTTACATCAGCGGAATTTCGTTGCGAGTTTAGCAGGACCAGTGGGTTCCCAGCCGGGTTTGATAGTCGCACCATGCCGGGTCCTTCATGACGAACGCCGCCGAAGTAGATCACTGTCGTGCAGGACACGGTCCTTTGAGCCAACCCTTCCAGCATAGGGGAAATGTGTCACGAACTAATTCATTTTGCCCAACCATATGACTGTCAATTATTTGGCCTTGCCAAAGGCCGCGTAGTCGCTGCCTGCTCTGTCTTGTTTTGAGTTCTTGGAATATTACTCCGTGTTATGGTGCCTAGTGGCTATCAAATACGTTCTTTGAGTATATTTTCGGCTATCGGACTGTCGGCCTCGGAGACCGATGAGGGGAAAGGGATAGCTTCATAACGCAATCGACTTCTATCCTGTGATGATCACCGCTGTCTATCGTCCATGTCTCCAGCATAACTGGTACTGCATCCTCTCCGTATCAAGCCTCGGAGACCGAGAAGTAGCTTGGTATGGTCAAAACCTCGAACTGAAAGAGTCACTGGCGATTCTTGTCTCAACGAAAGAGATAAATGAGCAAAAGCGGCACTTCCCATAGACGTCGTGCCAAAACTTGTCCTGAAACGAATATCAACTTTCTTAATCCACTCTCGGCTCTAATCAATCATGTCCAAGAAAACGACCTCTGCAGCTCTGTATCCCAATGCCAAGGTGGCCGCTGAAGTGACGGCATACTCAGCGTTGAGTTCAACTGCATTGCCAAAACACCTCGTTGACTACCATGCTTGGGTAGATGAAAACCGTCCGCAAGACGCGGCTTACATGGTCTCGAATTTGCAGGCACAAAGTCTCATCTTCTTTGCCCGAGCCTTTGGTGCTAAACGAATTCTCGAAATCGGCTCCTATGTTGGCTACTCTGCGCTTGTATGGGCGCATGCCGTTGGCGAAGATGGCAAAGTGACCGGTCTTGAATTTTCAGAGGAATATGCAAAGATCGCCAATGGCACTTTCGAGAAGCATGGGGTGAAGAATGTGAACATCATCGTCGGGGATGCACTTCAAACGTAAATCGCCGGTTTACTATAATGATCCCTTTGAGCGTTATAAGACTATTTGTTTGTTCTTTATGGGCGGCTAACAAAGAACTTAAAGGCTATCAACTCTCAATCCCGAGGAGCCATATGATTTGATCTTCATTGATGCCCAGAAATCAGGCTATCCAAGCTATCTGAGGGATATTCTGGCTGGGTCTCAGCCTGGCTCAACTAATCGGCTCCTTCGCCCAGGCGGCATCATCATTGCTGATAATGTCCTTCGACGCGGACTGGTTGCCGATGGGAGCGAGGATAATCCGAACTGGCAACTGCAACGACATGTTGTGCACGCAGAAGAAGATCTTGCTGCTCTCCGTGAATTCAACAAGGCCTTAGCAAACCATGAACGGTTGGAGGCACTCTTGCTGCCAGTATTTGACGGTGTCGGTTTTGCGAGACTGCTTGATTGATATGGTCACTATTAAGCTCCACGGAGTTTTGCATGAGAATGAGAATTAAACCTAAGCTGTGATTCGACCTTCGATGAGCAAGGGGCACTGTCTGCTCTAAACACCACGGAGCGTCTATTGCGAGAATTAGCGAGGAACCCCCCCGCCGATGTAGACGATCCAGACGATGTAGACGATCCGGACGAAATATCCTAAAGAAATGTTGAACTTGAATGGAAGGAAAAAAAAGAATTCTTACTGCTACATCACTGTTTCTAATATCGGCTGTATCTTGCGGAACTCCTGCCTCGTGAATTATTACGCCTAAAGAGTTGCCTCTATGTCCCAAGCCGCATCAAGGCTCTCCCTGGTAAAAGGGCTCTGATACGGAGTAGACATCGCAGGTATGACTATTGATCTTCCAGATAGAAGGCGCTTGGCCGCCACTACGCGAACGCGAAGCTATAATTAGCTTCTAGGAGCCATGCAGCCAATGCAGCACGGGGCTTATTTGCTGTGATTATTACTCCGTAAGACGCCTGCTGTTTCCAGGTCCGTCAGTCATGGTGGGCCCGGCATCAAGTAACATCCGGTGTGGCGGCGAGAAGAGCAAGGATCTCCTGCGTATTCGTCTGCGAATAATGAATGGCAAGTGTCATCGCTATGGAGAGCTCTAGTTCAGTGGGCTCTGGAGTTGGGGCTTTTTTTGATGCTGGTCGAGCGGGCTTCTGGCCTTAGTTGGTGACAAATGGACGAATTCGCAGCTCAGATTTACATGATTACTATGAAAAGCACTGGCGGCTGGGGGTGAGCCATTTCTATTCTGACTGCTGATCAATACGACTACTTGTGCCCTGTGTCTAGGTAGCTGCTTTGGCTGGTTGTAGCTTCGTCTTCGGGGTTGTTGGTGTGAATTAAATCGGAGGGGGCAGATGTTTGCCCGCTGGGCAGGGTAAGGGGTTGGAGTTGGCTGGGGCGTGAATAGTTTGTTTGTTGCTACCTTTATGCTATGTATACTGCTTTTTTATAGCTCTTATATTGCAGTATTAGTGTTGTATGTTTCGTAATATGTATGAGTGTTGGCAACAGATGTGCTCTTGCGCAACATCAAGAAATGTAGCTGCGGTTGGATTGCGGGAGAATATGTTATGCCCCTGAACGGTATGGGACGTCTATTGAATATACGTAGTGCAATTTTTTCGAGGAGAGGCATAGCATTTGCGCTGGAGCTTTCACCGCGATACATAGCATCATGCACCTAAATTAGATGGTCTGTTAGAAAGTGAGATACTCGAATCTCGGCTGAATTCATACATGGCCCAAGCATCTGTAGAGAGAGCATTTCAGCTAGTAGTAGCAGCATCAAATTTCTTCATCCTTGTTAGTAGTGTGTGCTGGGTGTTAGCTTCTGGATCTAGTGATGGGTATTACATATTGCCTGTGCTAGCTTCGCTTTCTTGGCTAGCTGAAAATTGGCCATTTGAAGCTTTTAAGCGGCGAACAAGGGGTGAGGAGACTCATTGTTTGTGTTGTGGGTGTGTGGGTGCTGCTTGTAAGCTTTGTATTAGAATAGTGAGTGCTTTTTGCAGATTTGACAACTGGGAGGATAAGTATAGGGTAGTGGAGTTGGTATTGAAGGGTTTGTTATCACGAGTGTAGTTTATATAGGACTTTTTTTTTTTTTTTTTGGAGGGGGGGCCTAGTACTTGATAGAGAGCCGTAGTTATGATATATCCAGAGCAAAGGAGAAGACGAGCAGCACTGTTCACGCTGAAATGGGATTCACAACTTCATTTCAGGATGTATAACCATCATCTAGAATCTTATATGCTCTAAATTTGTTATGGTTCATAGTCCTCCTATCTAGATGTTCGAGATCTTTAACGCTACGAAAAAAGCCGGCAAACAACCCAGCGTATGCTCCCATGCTCCAATCCAATGTTGATCAACCACCTTGCTGCTTGCGTACGCCCATATACATGTATATCATTGCTGCAATGCTAAATCATCAGACACAGGACTACTTGCAGCAGTGCTGTCTCCCGCCTCAGATTTCGCGACCTCCTCCGCTATCAGATCCATCCACTTCTCGCCACCAGTGCGCATAACATACAGCGTAGACAGACAATCGCCAAAGTACCTCTCTCTGCGAGTAGCCCGCCGTTCTCCGCCTTCTAGTGCCGAGTACGCGCTCCTCGTCGTGCGCATTCGCTTGCGTTTGCCGCCACCTTCGCTGAGGAGATTGCTCAGCTTTAGGCGCCTTTGCATGAGCTGATGTTCATATGCTACGATGCCCCGAATCCATGGTGCGACGTCAAGGACGATTAATTGCATTGTCCGATCGAAGACGGATGGATCGAGGTACGTTGTCGGAATAGCCTTGGGAGCTATAGCAATGGGGTCGAATGCAATGGCAATATCCATCCTGGTTGTTTGGTGAGGGTAATATCGGAAAGATGAATCGATGATGCAAATTGCCTGTTCCTCATCTACTGGCTTTAGAATCGGGGCTTTTGGTGCGGTCCCATCTAACTCCTCTGTGGTCGATTTACGCAAAGCTGCGCGGGCCAGGGACATGATGGATATTGACATGGCTTTGTTTGGCGCAGCATAATGCACCACAGGGTTGGCTTCTAGGAGAGCTTGTCCTATGATATAGTCTTCCTTGATGCGGCTTGGAAGGTCGGGTAGCGTTGGATCCAGCTTCTCCTGTAACTTGATGCCGTAGGCGCCTCCAGAACAGAGATCCGCACAGCTCATAGCACTGCAAAAATCGTCATATGCTTCTAGCATTCCTAGTGTTGTTAAATTTCTCTCGTCTCTGGGCTTTGTAGTGGCTGCGCTCCAAGAGTTCATGTTGGTACTGTTGCACCAGTCTCCCATGTCGAAGCCCCAAAAGTCCCAAGCTTGGTCTATGGCCTCTTCTTCGGCAGCAAGTCCTCTACTGCTGACAATGGGGTCGCGGTTAAGCCACCCCATGCCTTTGTAGTAGGTATCTTCGCTGATAACTCGCACCACGTCGCCATTCTCGTCAAGGTCAGAGCCTTTAGGCCAGCGAAGATAGAACCAGTCAAATCCTCCCTTACGATCACCAACTCCAATTTGACACCAGTAGTTAAGCTCCGTTATTGTTGCTCTCAGATCCTTATTGCGAGAATTATACAATGCTTCAACAGCCGATCTCTGAAGAGCATGGCCTTCGTTAGCAGCAATAAGGAGGCACAGGTCCACGGCTGGGCCATGAGGGGCTGGCGAGAAGCGGAAGATTCCATGTAGATTCAAGGTATCTATAGGCACTATGCTTTCGTTGTTGCATGTCATAATAAACGGTCGTTTGGACTGTGCAATGAGACTTATCAATGTTGCCCAGAACTGCTTGTCTTCTTCAAACAAAACGTCAACCTCTTCGAGGAGAATGAGAGACTGCTTCTGGCTTTTAGACGGAGCTTTTGTCTCTTTCTCAAAGTCCTGCTTGGGCTGCTTTGCTCCGGGCTTTGTGGGCTGTGCATTCATCTTCGGTTTAAAAAAAGACGTCATCATGCCTTGTTTCCCTGAGTTGATGTCGTTGGCCACCTCTTCTGGATCGATGGCGGTAGGTTCGGCTCGGTTGTGTTGCACCAGGTGATTCCGTGTCATATCGCCAACTTTCTCTAAAATGTCCTTTCCGCTTCTTCGACTGCCCGAATTTATCTCAAAAATCTCAAAGTCTAACTCCTTTGCAGCCGCATAGACCGCAGCTGTCTTGCCGCTACCATGGGGGCCGCTCAAAATAATGGCATTTTTGAGACGGTTGCTGCCTTTGCTTGTCGGGTTGACTGTGCGCATCACAGACTTCTTAACCAGTGCCGAGCTGGGTAATACGGCCCAGTCCCCTTCGTTATCGGAAATCTCGTCCATCTCAGCTTCCTCCGACTCACTATCGATGACGAAGCCGTCGAGTTTATTCTTCTTCCTCTTCTTTTTCGGTTTGCCTTTCCCTTTGTCTCCTTCAGAACTCCCGGATTCCACAGACTCTACCCTGAGAGCGTGTAGCCAGTCGCTAAGAAGCAATGCTTCTCTTCCTGGTTGTAATACTTGGGCGGCCGTAGTTGGCGCGTACTTTTGGATCCAGCTGCTACTTTCACACTGTGATTTATCGAAAGCTGAGAGTTGCGTGCATAGTGAATTGTAAAGACGGCTGATGGCTGGATGAATTTTGGGAGGCTTTTGACTGGCAAGCTCATCGATGTCAAGATCAACCTCGTCAGGAAGATGATGATTAGCAAAGTTGCTCTGTAGCTGGGATCGGATTCGTCTCTGGAGTTTTCGACCGCTCTCAAAGTGCCTTTGAGGTAGTCGTAATTCGGCAGGCGCTGGCAAAAAGCTGTTGTCGTCTTTAGGGAGACTCTTCTGTATTCCTGCCATGTCTAGGTCGTATAAAAGATGTTGCAATACAGACTCGTGTGGTCCAATAGAGACGGCCACCCTTTTTGACCTCCTGTGCCTTATACCAGATTCTCGAATAGTTGGCCTTGCGTGTGGGTATTCACAATCACGTACATGGGCCATCCCGTGCGCCGGCCATAACGGGTACATTGCTCCAGGAACTTTTGTACCTCCTGATTTCACTCCAAACTGGATAGCTTTGCCTGTAGAAAATGGTATCTTGAGTTTCTTTGGCGAGACTGGAGTAGACATAAATACGCGGCTGTGACTTGAGGATTTATTCGTTGAATCGTTTGGAGCACTGGTACCAGGCTGCGGTTTCGTCTTGCCCGTGAAGAATGGATGTGTAGTTTTTGACTTGTCGGCTGCTCCGTCTGCCTGCTGTGACTTGGGCTTTGTACCTTGCTTTTTGCTCGGCACAGGCGATAATTGTAGCTTTCCTTCAAAAATTGCCACAATCTTGTCGCCCAAGGCCTTCCGATGCTCATCATCCCGTCCATATTTGATTGTGATTACTCGACTCGGCTTGTTTATAGCTTTGGGCTTCGGAGGTGAGCCCAGAGTTCCAGTTTTTGGATTGAACTTGAGTACCTTTTTCTGTTGTGCAGGGACGGGTGTTTGTTGTCGCAGAGGGTCGGCAGATGGATTCGAGGATATGGAGTTGTCCGCAGCCTGTCCAGTGGTCTCATTCGGCTGCAGTCCCGGTGCTTGCATTTCGCTAACCGTCGATAGGGCAAGGCTTTGAGCTAGCTGTGTGACTGGAACATCGCTTTCATGTCCGCCATTCTTGTCTGGCTTGTTGAGATGACTTAAAATAGCCCCGCTAAGTGTTTGTTTTGCGCTCTTCTTTCCTCGTCGAGACTTCTTGGCTTCGGGATCATCGTGAACTGTGGAAGTATCTGTCCGTTGCCGTTTTCGTGTAGAACCCTCAGCTGTGGTCGGCGGTGGCTCATCAGGTGCAGGCTGAGTCGATTCTAGCGGAGGTATCGCAGGCTGAGCAGCGGGTTGATCGGGATCGCTCTTGGTGAAGAACGGATGAAGCTTCTTGGACGATGGGTCACCATTTTCGCCCTGCACCATCGTAGCGACCAGGACCGGTCCCATTGATCCCAGAGAGACTGTTCAAGACAAAGGGCTGCATTAGCACGTTTATGCTTCGAGTTTGCCAACGCTTTTGTGTCTTGTCCCACCTTAGTCCGACATGAAGTTGCTGCTTGGTGGCTGACGTCGATATCGGAGAACAATGAAGCTGAGGATGGATGATAGAACTGCTTTATGAATCAGAATGTGTGAAAATACAAAACACACAAGTCCTCCGAGCCTCGCCGATATCCCACGTCTATTGTCGAGTCCTCATCTGGTGCAAAGGTCTCCGAGCAGCTCGCGTTTCTCGACTTCGAGAGCAATTCGACGCGTCCATCTCCCATTAACGCGTGCACTTGTATAGCGGCAGGGATTACAGCGGATTCGCGCTACCATCGAGAGCCCCGCCATGGCCATTACCTAAGCCACCCCACTAACGGAATTTTGCAACGCCGTCGCCAACTTTTTTTTTTTTTTTATCAGCGATAGCTAGAATCGCTAGGAGTCGCAAAATATCAGCCATTGGACTGCACGACTTCCAGGACACCAACAAGCATCGCCATGGCTTCCGAATACAGGATACACAAGCCATACATTCTGGCGCACTTGCCGAAGCCTCTGGACCATACCAAGGGAAATATCGTGGCCAGAGAGGTGTACGGCCAGCGCGACGGCCAGAAGAAGAGGAAGCGAACCGAGCTTGTTGTTGGCGTTGACGGAGAGACAACGAGCATCTACGATGTATGAGATGAGGATTTTGCTATTGCTCTTTAGCAAAGAAAATTTGCTGACAATGTTAAAAACCACAGGTCCCCGCGTCAAGACTCATCACATCTTATCCAATCCCGCCTCAAGAATCGTTTACTTGCCCTCCATACTCTGTCAGAGTCCGTCGAAACAACACCACCGATGCCTTGCGATATACATTCATAGCAACCGCCGACAACGGGGCTCACAAAATCACTCTATTCAAGGATGTGGCGCACCGTGACGGGAAAACGACATCGAACAGCGTTTCACAAGTCTTGCAGACCTCTGCTGTCAAGTACATCACCTGCTCTTCGCCCACAAGTCAGTCCGCAAACATTGGGGATGTAATAGCTGTTTGTGAAGACGGAGAGGTTGTGTGTTTGTCTGGGGAGTCTCTGGATGTGCAATGGTCCTCGTCTTCCAAGTCAATGCTTCAAGATTCAGTGGCTGCCGCCGTTTCCGAGTTCCATATCGAATATGCACTTTCAGGAAGCACTGCCGAGTTCAACGAAGGGCTATTTAAGAATCGACCCGAAGTCTTTAGTGCTCTACCAAAGTCTGTAGGCTCTGAAGTGGAGCTTGTTGTTCTGATCTCGAAGAGCTTCAGCCAAAACGTGGAGAACCGACATTTGATCGTGTTGGCAGCAGTGTCTGGAAGCTCCCCAGCATCGGCTGACGTGCAGCATCTCGTTCCCCTCGAGATTGTGCCAATTACTTCAATCGCTAGCCAAGACAATGCTGAATCCCCCATCTACCAGGTGGATGTGCAGTCGGGCCTTCTGCTTCAGCTTCAGCAAGGAGCTATTGGTGTCTACGACATGACAGGTGCTGTGCCCAAACTCAAGTCGTCGATCGAGGCAGAGAATGCTCAAACCTTTGTCCGACTTTTCAAGCCCTTTATTCTCGCTTCTTCGTTGAACTCTATTGGTCTTTACAATTACCAGTATCGATCTATCCACTCCAAGGCCTCCCTGGACTGGTCTGAAATCCCAACTGAAGGCGAGACACCTCGATCTTGCCAGCTAATTAGCTACCTGCGGAGCCAAGATACAGTTGTTGCTCTTGTAGAGAACATTCTTGTGACCATTCAAGTCGAGCCGCCAAAGAACCCTGGCAAAAGACGAAAGGAAGGCCTCCTGATTGACTCTATTGGGCGAGGCACTGGTCTTGAAGTGCCATCCAAGAAGATCAGATGTGAAGTGTCATCTGAATTTACTAGACTGGTCCCAGGAACGCTTACAAGTGACTATCTCGTCCAATTCCAAGCCGAAACAGAAGCGGCCGATAAGTTACTCGCAAATAACGATCTCAACAAATGGGAGGACATCTTGCGCCGCAAATTTAACGTGTCCAAGAGAAGCACAGGGCTGCCGAATGGCGATAATACAAAGACTCAGGACGGTTCCGATGCGCAAGAACTACCAGAGTGGGAGTGGCTGTCTGGATCATCCTACCCTGCGGTAGATCGCAGATGGATCATTTACGCCATCACTCAAGTATTCTCAGTTGACATCAAGGAGATTGGCGACTCTACACGGCCAGAGCTGCGTCTCGTCTTGCCCGAGAGCAATGTGACAACTTACCTTGTGGTCGCGGGCCATCTCACTCTGTCTAATTTGAGAACGGCCTTCCGAGATGAACTCGCGCCCGAAGCTTCAGACAACCGCGCCGTAGCAGGAGACTTGATCCGAAGTCTTGCGGACGCTGATCTCTCGCTGACCCTGCTGCTAAACTACCTGCAGGCAACCAAGCTGGGCGAGGTTGAACTTTTACTCGCCATCAGGTCCCTGATGCTCAGCATGGACTTGATTCCTGAGGGCAAAATGGACGCCACCAAGCTTTTGACGAGCGAGCCCCATGCTGGCAACAGCGGCAAGGACGATGATATTGAAATGGACCTGGATGACTTGGAGCGAAAGATTGCTGTCACAGAACATTACCTGGGCGATGAGACAAGCAGCCGCTCGCGCGGATTGACTTTGGCATTTACCAAGCTGTGGCGGCTGCCTGCAGTCTCTACCGTCAAGGCTCTCCGAACAACAGTATCGACGGAGGATATCATGTCACTCATCTACCTGCTACGAGTGGAATTACTGCGCGGGGCATGGACCTCGCTGTACATTGATCCTACCAGCTTTGATTCGGAAGGCAACGAGCCTCCACCGGATGGCGTCATTGCGCTGATTGCAGACCTCTTGGGCCGATGCCTGGACGCTGTTGGAGCTGGTGGATGGCTATTTAACGATGCCATCTCATGGGCTGACAAGGCCGAAGCCAGCGACTTCCTGACGGCCCTCCGGCTGGAAGTGACAGCCGCGCTAGAAGGAATTGAAGAAGCCGTCTTCCTGAATGGCATCCTGGGTGAGACTGTGCGATTCGGAAACGCGGCCCAAAAGGGTGGCGCAGTCAGAGCATCACAGAATAAATCGATCCTTTTCCAGGTAGAGAACCGGGAATCCAAACTGCTGCCGCTTGGCTTGAAGACAAAGTCGCTGCCTACCAGAGAGAAGGTGGTGTCGGGAGGTGAAGTGATGCAGAGGAGCGTTCGAGAGATGGGACACCTGATCAGTCAAAAGGTGGAGGCTTATTCCTTGGAGAAACTCTCGATTTGAGCCGCAGATCTGCGCTTTTGAACAGGCGGCAGAAAGTTAAGAGGCCCATGCAAAGAGTCAATTGTATTAGGCTTTTTATTTATTTATTTATTTATTTATTTATTTATTTTTGTGGAGGAGAAAGGGCTTCTAGAAAGGCAGCCTTAGAGAGAAAAGGGCGCGATGGATGGTAGGATCTTTGACTAATGCGGCTCAGACGGAATGGGTATCTCACTTGGGCAACTAGTCGGAGAAAAAAAAGTGAGGCTTCACATGCATGACATGCTCTGAAGGGGGGTGGTGAGCGAGTTTCGGTGAAGGAGACTGAATAAATTGGTTGGCAGCTTCTAATACTTTGTTAAGCTGGATAATACCATTGTTGGGGATGAAGAAAAATATAGTAGTAGCGGCTATATACGGTACGGTTGATACGAGGTAATTGCCGGTTTTGTACATAGCAAATATGATGATGCCGAGGGTGTTTGTACCTTGGCGAGTTTTTGAAAAAGAGAGGAACATAACAATATATGCCTACGGGCGAGTTGAAAAGGAAGACGAAGAAGAGAAATATGGCTATAGACCACATGACGCTTCCGAAAAGGATAAGCGATTGCAGAGTGGAAAGCAGGGCGAGCAAGCATGCATGACATCTCGCCAGCACATCCATACTCGAGGTGTGTTGCATGATGGTATCTGAAACCGGGCTTGTGCGGGATGCGTAGACGAGCATGTGATTAGTGGAGGGATCGTCTGTGAGGCAATGCAGTAATTCCACCACGTTAACACTAAGCAATGAGCCCAGAAGCCCTTTCTCCCAGCTGAATTGGGGGCTTTGGTGGTGAGCTGAGAGTCTTAGGATGCAGTGTAGCCAGAACCTACATGCAGGATGTAGTTAGCCGGACTGATATGAAAAGAATGGGCGTCAGACTCGGACGAATGGGAGGGCAAAGAAACGCAGGGCTGTCAGAAGAACGGACGCAGGAGAGGGGGGTGTTACCTAGTCTAGTGCTGAAGCTTGAGCTCATGTCAAGTACACGATGCGTGGGGGAGGTCGTCTGTGCAGAGAGTTGCACAGATAGTGAATGGACATCCAATTATTGCTTGGCTGGGAGGCGAGAGGCGACAAGCTGAAGCTGCAATGTAACGCTCGCACTTCTTTTTTTAAACCAGCAAAAGCAAGTGTTGGTTTCTAGACATGCATATATGCGCGGCATCAACGTCTCCATCTCCGCATTCGCCTTGCAGAGTCTCGGCGCTTTGTCTCACTCCGAGCAAGGCGATTGCCACCGCACATACAGGCCGGGCTCGGTTTCCGCGATCGTGTTAGTAATAGTACTAGTACCAGATTAGTAGTGCCTGGGAATTTGCAGGTGGAGTTTTGCAGCGGCACAGCCTCGCTGAGACGAGACAAGCCGTGCATATGTACGTTGGGTGGTGGCCGCGGTTATTAACCTTAAAGTCAAGATGCAGGCAGGGTCCAAAGAGTCGTATTCTTGAAGTGCGAGTGATGGCGAGACACGAGGGAGGTGGCAAATGGCAAAAAGAAGAGGAAAATTTTTCAAGAATCCATCGTGAAGGGAAGCAGAAAGAAGGAGAGAGACATTGACAATTGCTGACTGAGATTGTGACTCTTACTGATGCCAATGTATCGATACCGTCGAGTACCGTCAGGCAGATGCAATCTTGACGTAGCACGACGCCGTCGCCAAATGGCTAAACTGGGCAGATCGGAACCAACGGGCCCGGCTGCTGCGTCAGGCTTTTCCCAAGGCTGCTGCCGCCCGGCCGACTGCTAGCCAACTGATAGCCGTTCTGTACTGCACTAATATTTGGCAAACATGTGGCTTTTAGCCCAGCCTCTGAAAAATTGGGCTCCAGGCACAGGTGCTGCTGGTAAGTACTAGGTAGCTGCACCCGCCAACGTGGACGGAATACCGACGCCTTCCAGGGCTGCTTCTAGGTACACGCGCTAGGGCCTGCACCGAGACCGGCTGGACGCTTTAGCGCAGTGGCAGTTGCTGCGAGTAGCGACATGGTACCTGTACCTGTGCCTGCGCCTGTACCTGTATCAGCAATGATAGGTAAAGGTACCCGACTAGGTACTATTACCTACTGGTAATGAGATGCAGGGAAATCCTGCTGGTGTTGCGAGTGGCCGCAGCAGGGGTCGGGATTGGCCTCCAGCTCCAGGCTTCAACCTTTCTGTTAATGCTGTACCACCACAACCACCACCACCACCATTACAGTATAGAGGTCATAGCGTTCTTGTGGCAGCACTAAACTCCCCCACACAGGCTTTTGGCGGGGCTGGTCCAACGACGTCACAGCCCGTGGTGAAGCCACATGCTTGGTGCTCTCTTTGTTTCCTCAACCTTGGCTCGAGGCGCATGTCCGAGTCTGTGGACGCTGGATCGGCAGACCAGCCCAGCCCAGCCCGTGTATGGGTTTGTTTCATTTCGGGGCGCCCTGTGCAGTGACTCGAGACGCTGAGATGGCCGAGAACTCAAAGGAGGGGCTGGGGCGGCTGCTGCAAGTGATGGGTGGATGATGGTTCAATGCTTGGTTCACTACTATGCAGGCACGGCTAGAGAGTACTTGGCAGGTAGCAGTACACACAACTGCTATGCTTTTAAGTCTTGTTTACCACCCGGGCACGATGGCCGACCTCCTCCTCTCTGCCTCAGGTACTGAGAGCTGAAAAGCGTGGCCGTCTCTCGACGAATCCTTCTTCTGCTTTCCCTTCTGCTTTTCTTTGCTTTCCCTTGTCTCAAATCTCAGCGTCTCCTCCACCATCGCATCCAGGCTTCTCCATCCATTCGGAGATACTTTGACGATACGAGCGCCCCAGACTCCCGAAGCCCCAGGCTCTGCTGCGCCATCTCAGCTCACTCATCGGTGCTGACCAACCAGCTGCCAGTCATCACGACATCAGCCCGCCGAGCTGCCCTACCTATCACGAGGACACACACGAGCGCAGACGACCTCTTGTCTCAACTGCGGCCCAACGTGATTTTTTTTTGTCTTCATTTTTTTTTCCTCCCAAAAGACAAAAGTGTACACAGACAAGTTTGCTTGACTCGCAGACTTGGCTTCGACTTTAAACTTACCACAGCCTATATACATAGGTACTATTTCTTCGCCCAAGCCAGCAACATCGCATTGCATCTCATCGCATCCTCCGTAGAGCATTTTTCCATAGCTATGAGCGGTAGTTCCGTCGTCCAACACATCGATGCCGTCGACGCCTTTGCCAGAACCCTTCACGTGCGCACCACTCAGTCAACTGTCCCGTTGCTCTCGACAGACGCTTCTCAGGCCGTTCGCAACCTCCACAATGCCCTGCGCGATCTCCGCGTCGAGGCCGCCGACCCGGATTCACGCTTAAACGCCTCAGACTCATCGTCTTATCTGAAGCAGCTAAACTCCATCATCAAGGACTCTCAGACTACGCTGAAGCAGCTCGAGCTTGTGCTGGATCTGAACACCAGGGGCGGGGGGCCGTATGCTGATGGCGCTGCTGAGGGCATCGCTGCTGTGCAGACCAAGCTGGTTCACCAAAAGACAGTCATAGATGCCTTTTTGGATCTGGTGCAACTGAGCAGCGCTCCGCCAAGCAGTGGCCGTCGCGGCCCCAGTCTGGAATACATCAAAGAGAAGGTTGACACCATCGGGCGCAAGCTTTTCCGTCGTGATAGCGCCAACAGTAAATCTACTGGAGGTGGCGACGACAAGCTGTGGAAAAGGTTCAAGGGCGAGCTTGTCAAAGAAGGGTTCTCGTCAAAGGTGCTGGACGAGCATGAGGTATGTAGTGGCGTCCTGGCATCTGGTCATGAAACGTATATTGGGGCTGACACACTCAGGATGTTCTGCGCGCCTACATTCACGAGATCGAGACCATGCTATCCGCCAAAGATGGCGCTCCCCCTACTGTCCAAGGCCTCTTAGAACTAGACGGCAACTCTGTACCCGCGTCTGCGCACAAGTATGGTCGCCATATGACCTTTCCGCTCGCCGATTATCAAAAGGCTCCTACCAGCATGAAGACTGAACGATTGATGCCGGATCAACCCTCATTCCCATCGCTAGCTCCAGAGCTCTCTTATGATCCTCGTTCTTGGGCTTCAGTTGAGCTTGACGGCAATGTTGCCGGCTCATTTAAGTTTATCTCGACTCAAGACTTGATCATGCTGGACTCTCTCGGTACCGGAATGGCTGGCCTCCATTTGAGCAGCTCTCCGCCACAGGCCGATATACCATCCTTCCAGCCCATGATGTCTGGTGCAATACCGCTGCCTGAGATCAAAATATCTGGCTCTACAGCTCCTCAGCCGATTCCTCAAAAGAGCAATCTTCATGTAGAGGGAACACCTCAGGTGTACGGTTCTAGTGCTCCGCCGGCATATGGAGGCGCACCGATGCCCCGCCTGGCTCCTGATAGTTACGGCCGGGATATCCCTATGGGCGCCGAGTGGACTAAGATCGACCGCTCTCTCGTTAGCCCCGAAGCCCTTCACCGGGCTGGAGTGCGGTACGAAGCTCGCCCAGGCTATGTTGCTGTCCTTGGCCGCCTGTCTCCCGATCAAGTTACATACTATGCCCGTTTGAGCGCTGAATGCCGTGCTTCTCGGCAAGCTACGATCCCAAGCAAACAGCGTTCTCACCATACGAAGAAACATGAGCGGACAGGCTCGGAGAGTAGTCGAGATGAGAATGCCGAAGATGACAAAGACTCAGAGCACCAGAGCGACATTTCTGACGATGATGATAAAGACTCTGGTGAAAAGGGAAATAAGAACTATCCCATCATTGTGAACCCGCCAGAAAAAGGCAAAACGTCTCCAACTAGTTCCACCATGCCGAAGTCCATCTTGAAGAACAAAAACACGAATCACGTGCGGTTTGACCCTGAACCTTATGAGGTGAATCCCCGAGCAGAAAAGGAAAGTCGTGAGCATCGAGACTCCAGCTCTTCAAAGAAGTCTCGAGATCGCGATGAAAGAGACAGGGATGACCATTCCAAGCGCCGAGAAGACAGAGACAGGAGACGGCGAGACAGCGACCCATCATATGGCGACAAACATCGCAGGGATAGAGATCGAGACCGAGATCGACGAGACCGAGACAGAGACCGAGACCGAGACCGAGATGACAACTACCGGCTACACACTAGTGACCGTGATCGCCGCGATGACCGCAGGCGAGACAAGACAGCCAATAAGACGCCTTGGGCCGAAGCACTTGGTGCGGTGGGCATTGGCGGCGCTGCTGCCAGCTTGCTGGGGGTTTTGGCTGAAGCCGCCATAGGAAATTAATGAGGCGATGTGCCATCAAGACGCTTCTACCATCTGATGCCATGATTTGAGATGTTTTCCCGCCTCAGATTTTCAAAGATTTCGCTCTTTCTTCAATTCGTTTTGAAACAATCCTTTTAAAACAATCCTTTGCATTCTTCTTTTGTATAAACACTCAGGTGCTAGTTGGCTGTTACAACAAACAACTGGACCTTTTTTTTTTTCTATTGGGCTTTTGATAAACTATTTTGATAACACGACTTCATGACAGGATATATATTTTCAGCTGTGGCAGTAGCTATTTTGAAGGAGGAAAGACGACTGGTAGATACCCTAGGCTAGGTTCATCCTTTGTACATATTGACTATTAAGGCATGGATAGATGGATCGAATGAATCACGAAATTATGACTACTATACTGCAATTCTTAGCTTTTACTTGTTTTTAACGTGAAGAATCCTCTCGTGATGTGTTTGTGGTGATTCAAGTAAATTTTGCCTTATGCGTATGAATGTCTTTCTTTAAATCTTCGTAGATGTATTGTTCTATGGACAGATGACATCCATCTATACCCCTATTTATACAGATATATATATACTCTACAATACAATGTATCGAACAAATCTACAACATCAGCTCCTCTTCTAGCGTATCCCACCACTCCTGCGCTCTCGCCTCCTTTGCCCATTCTCTTGGCGGCCGTAGCATCACATCCGATCTCCTTCTCGGCACTCTCTTCCACTCCAGCACTTTCATATCCTTCACCCTCGGCCAGGGAAACTCCGGGTCGTCGGCGCCTTCAAAGTCCCGCGCGTAGATGCCCGATTTCTTCTGCGGCAAAGTCTGTCGCCAAGTGCCGTTATCCCAGTCAAAGCGCTTGGTGACGTCGGTGTCGGGCCGCTGCAGCACGACGTGGCCCTGGGCAGTGCGGTATCGCACCTGCGGGTGGAAGAAGTCTGGGAACTCGAGGAGCAGGTCCGGGATGCGCGTGTGCGCAAAGGAGCCCCCGCGCGCGGATTTGGTGGCGGAGGCGGACTTGAGGAGGCGGCTGAACCAGGAGGCGATGAGGTGGTGGGTGTGGTCTTTGAGGAGCTGGGCGTGGCGGCGGCGGGAGGTGGCGCGGGAGGTGAGCGATGAGGCACGGGCCTTGGAGAGGGTTGCGAGAGCGTCGAGCTGGAGGATCTCGTCGGTGAGGGCGTTGTGGTAGTTTGTCAGGAGGGAGGAGTAGTGGGGGATTGCGTGGGCGCGGATGGTGGCGATGGCTTGGCCAAAGGAGCGCTGGTTGATGAGGGTTTTGACGTAGATGTCGAGGTCGGCAAAGGTTGGCGTGATGTTGTACGGCTCCGATGTCATGGCGTGCCAGATGTGACGGACGTCGGCGGCGGAGCTGGAGGTGGACAGTTGGCCGGTTTGCATGTCGCGGATGGGTTTGAAGGGCTTGGAGGCGGAGATGTAGGTCCAGTTGAGGAGGCTGGACCATGTTTTGTGGGGGATGGGGATGTTGTAGCGGCGGGAGACGAAGTCGAGCAGCTTCGTGCCGAGGACGATGTGGGACATGGACCCAAAGGCCTCGACGATGGCTTGGAGGAGGCGAGGCGTGGGTGTCAGGGGGGAGTTTGGCGGAAAGTCACGGCCACCGGAGATTTCAATGTCTGCAGGCTGGCCGGAGGCGTCCTTTTGGGTGACGACGACGCCGTAGTAGTTCTCCAGGATCATCTTTTTGATGGAGTTCAGGGAGCCGGACCTGGCAAAGGCAACCATGGAAGTGCACAGCAGCTCCTCGTCCATCTCATGTCCGTAGTAGAGGCCTCGTATCCAGTGGCTCTTGAAGCTCTTGTAGCCCATACGCCGACGCATGAGGCGCCGCATGTCTTCGTCGAGCTCGTCGATCCTTCGATTCCAGGGTTCCCTTTTCAGGGCATTGACACTGAATCTGATTTTGTCCTGGTGCTTGAGTACTGACATGGGCATTGGGTTGCGGTTGCTGTACAGGTCGCGAGCAAGAAAGGCGACTCTGGAGCGGTCGAACTGGTAGTACTCCGGCTCCGTCATGAAACGGGCTTTGATGAAATCGGCCCATGATTTAGACGTGCGAGAGTCTTGCAATCCCTGAGCTGCCATAGCGTTCCAAAATACTTTGGCCTGCTGGAAGTCCACTGCTGCTCCAGCGCATCTCATGGCCACTTCGTAGTCGGCCGTTGTTAAGCTGTGAGGTGACGGTGCTTCACTACGGATGGTAATGAGTGTCCGAACGCCTTGAAGAATGCCATGGTGGACTTTGCGAACACCAAATTGGTTCAACAGCTTGCCAGGGAAGGTGAATTGAGCATGTCCCTGAGTGAGATTTAGTCCGTGGGCAATATCGACCTCTGTCGAGAGAAGAGGGTCAATGCTGCGCAGAATCTCAGAAAGGGTAGGCCCGGGGAGCTCTCTGGCTTCTCGAACTGCTGCCTCGTGACCTGGAGAATTCTCATCGCTCAATATATCAGTCCAGGCAGTGAATTCCCAGCTGATTTGCGATGTGTCCAGCTTCTGGATGGACTCTAGCAGATTTCCAAGTTCCGGGCAAACGGTTGGCGGCATCAAGTCTGGGAATAAATGGCGCTGGCTGTGGGAGACTGCCTTGTGAGACGCTAAATAGCGCCGGCCTGAAGTTGGTCGCCCATGTCTGAATGGTATAGGCTCATGATGCTGCTTTTTGAGCATTGCCAGTCCATCAAGACGGCCTCTGGGCCAGACGAGTCGTCTGAGCGTCATGATTCTGCTTGTTTTATCATCTGGCTGGTTAATCAGAATGAGGGGCCTATGATTGAGCAGCCCTCCGGCCTAGCAGTGGCACGATCGTCTGGAATCTGGGGTAAAAGTGGCTTCGAGCAACGGGGCCGCGGGTCTTGGTGAGGAAGCTTTGAAGCCATATGGGGCGGCACCCCGATATATGCATATTGCGGAAAATTCAATGTCCGTGCTGCGGCGCAGCGTCTGCCGAGGATTTTCCACGGCCATGGAGGGGCAAGGCTAGCATTTTTGACAAGGCCATGCCGCAGCTGCCCAAAACCAGAAAGCAGGAGAATCGCCCTTGCAAAGCCACGAATTCGAAGCCATCGTCCATTTCCTTGGTCCCGACGATACATACACAAGCGCAGATCGTGACACAGCCATGGCCGATGTCGGGGAGGAGACCAGCCACGTGGCCGAGCCACTCGACCTCGTGAGACTGCTGCTCAACGAGGTGGTTTTCGTCAAGCTGCGTGGTGACAGAGAGCTCAAGGGCAAGCTTCACGTATGGCCCAATGCCGCAGTCTCGATATAGACGCTGGAATTATTACTGACGTCTGCATCTGTTTGGAATAGGCCTACGATAGTCACTGCAACTTGGTGCTGGGCGAGGTGGAAGAGACCATTTACGCCGTCGACGATGATGAGGAGGAGAGCGACGAGGTCAAGGTATACGAAGACTTGCAATCTGGCCCCCCACTTGCGTATGACTCTAACGCTGTTCAAGACCATTAGCAGGAAATCAGAAATGTTGTTTGTAAGAGGTCGGGTTCTCACCATATCCTGGAGAGGCGAGGGTGTGTTTGGCTAACAGGCTCACAGGCGATAGCGTCGTTTTAATCTCTCCTCAAGTTCCTTTCTAGATATAGACAGCAATGGCAGCAATGATACCGATAATGAGACTGAGATGATATTCCACCGAACCATGCGATGCGACGAAGCGCATATAACTTGAAGGCAGCGGTAGCGCAATGATCGAGGTGAATAAGGCTGCTCCAACAACGTTTGGCTTTCGTTACCTGGAGCTCTCGCTATGAAGATTGAGTTCGCTATACGGGCACGACAGAGACTGGTGTCCAGGGCGACCAATGGACAAGGACAGGACGGAATCAAGAGGCTGTGCTTTTCCTTTCTGGAGCTGCGCGATGCTATAAACGGGTCATCTGCTCAATGAAGAAATGCATTCAATGCCCTTCAGTTCAAATGCACTGCGGCTTTCTCAGCTCAGCATGGACATGTGGGCTTTTGTTCTGCGTGTTGGCCTCGTCGGTTTGGCTGAGCGCCTGTTATGTAGTTAGTGGTGGTATGCTCTAATACCTAATACGAGACTTTGCAGCTGAACACGGGAGTCGTGTCATCGACCCACAGTTTCGACACAAGCTCGCCTTATCGATAGCCTGCTCCCCGGGTTACTCACTGCAGGCTGCTGAGCCTCCAAACTCAACGGTGACTCCCATGGTGATGGCTGAAGCTTAACTAGCCAGGCAGAAGAGTCACAGTTTCTATTTTCGGGTGCTTTTTTCTATACGTGTGTGTATATCATGCTTCCCACCGCCATTGCTCTTCCTGGTTCTCTGGCTACACAATCCTCGGTGATACGGCTGCGGCATGATGGCGACCAAGACGGCCAAGACGGCCAAGGGCCTCGAGCATGAGAAGCGCAAAGGCGAATCGGTAGGTATTCCCAATATGTATCTTGCAGAGCTTCGGTCTGCACTGGATCTGGATCCTGACACGGGCTTGGGCAGGCTCTAAGCGACTTCGCCGAATATGTAGAGCAGCAGCAGAATCTACGGTATCCAGCCTCTGCGAAGAAGCCCGCCGCCGACTCCGCAGAGCATGATGTAGAGCTCGACGAGCTACTAGACAGTCTGAATCTGGTTGACTCTGCGCCGCGAATAAAGCTGAGAGACCTCGTGCTCGGATCGGACGACGACACCCTGAAGAAGCTCGGAGACGTCATCGTCGAGCGAATAGAAGAAGGCGCCGGCGAGACTGTCTTCGATCTAGGGTTCGAGAACAGCGGTGAATCCATGCAGTTGACGCTGGAAGAGTGGAAAAAAGCATATGAAAGACTGGTCGAGGCTGCGAGGCGGGTGCGCGCAGACTGCCAGCTGCTTCTAACCACAAATGTGGGCGGCAAGGAAGAGGCGGAAAGCACAGCGACGAGCCCGACCAAGGACAAGAGCTGCAGTGGAAAGATTCTCATTCGAAGGATACCGGACAAGATTGAGGATGTCATTGAGACGAGGATAGCGGTCGTAGGCAATGGTAAGCTTTCGACACATGATTGCTATTTCCCTAACAGACAGCGAAAGTGGCTAATACCTATGCTCTGTGATCAAAAACAGTCGATGCCGGAAAGAGTTCGCTGCTTGGCGTGCTAGTCAAGAACGATCTAGACGACGGGCGAGGAAGAGCGCGAGTGAATCTCTTCCGCCATAAGCACGAAATGGAGACGGGACGAACAAGCTCTGTGGGTATGGAAATCATGGGGTTTGACAGTCTCGGCCAAGTCGTGACTTCAGACACTCCAGGCCGTGAGTAATGACGATGATCAACCAGCCAATCAAGCACGTATCGTCGACAGCCTACTAAAACCATCATCATAGGAAAACTATCATGGGAAGACATCGGAAAGCGCAGCGCCAAGGTCATCACGTTCAGTGATCTGGCTGGGCACGAAAAGTACCTGAGGACGACTGTGTTTGGCTTGCTCTCCAGCAGTCCCGACTTCTGCCTTTTGATGGTCGCGGCCAACAACGGACTGGTTGGCATGAGCAAGGAGCACCTGGGCATTGCGCTGGCCCTGAATGTTCCCGTCATGGTCATCATCACCAAGATTGACATTTGCCCTCCCAACATTCTCAAGGAGACCATCAGTCAGGTCAACAAGATCATGAAAAGCCCCGGTGCCCGAAAGATGCCCACATTCATCACAAATCGTGAGGAGTGTGTCAACACGGCAACTCAGTTCGTTAGCAAGAGGATATGCCCCGTCTTCCAGGTCTCCAACGTTACTGGCGAGAACCTTGATCTTGTACGACTCTTCTTGAACATGCTGCCTCACCACGGACACTACCACTCGGACGCGCCATTCGAGTTTCAGGTTAATGACACGTTCTCGGTGCCGTTCACAGGTACAGTCGTCTCTGGCATTGTCAAGTCTGGCATGGTTCACGAAGGCGACAACGTTCTCATTGGGCCGGATTCCCTAGGGCATTTCACTCCTACGGCAGTGCGTTCTATCGAGCGCAAGAGGATACGAGTGCAGGTGGCTGAAGCGGGACAATCTGCCTCGTTTGCGCTCAAGAAGATGAAGCGGCGAGATGTCCGGAAGGGCATGGTTATGCTTCACAAAGAAGAGGGACAGACAGGCCCCAAGGTGTTTCGGGAGTTTGTTGCAGAAGGTGAGCCATGACTCTGCATATCATCCGGTCCAAGTATAGGTATATACGACAAGTATGTGATAAACAGCTAACCAACATGACCAGTCCTTATCCTGTCGCACGCGACGACGATCAAGAAGCGCTACCAGGCCATGCTGCATGTCGGTGCCGTGTCGCAAACTTGTGCCATCATCGACATTGATCGCGAGCTGATTCGCACGGGTGATCGTGCCAATGTGGCCTTTCGCTTTGTCCAGCGTCCAGAGTATATCGCCCCTGGAGACCGACTACTTTTCCGAGAGGGCCGCACTAGAGGTCTCGGCATCGTGAAGTCTGTAGGGTACGATCCCAAGTATCCGCTGATGAGTGCTCCAGGTGATGGCAGTAAGGCAGCTGAGGAGAGCGAGCAGCAACCCACTGCAATAGAAACGAATGATGTAACGAGTGGAACGTAGGTTGTGGTGCTGGGCGATTGACACGGCTGGACGTAACACGCCGGTAGCTACTAGGTTTATGATGAGATTTGGTTCTTTTTCTCCTTTTTTTTGTTTACTGTTCTTTTCCTTTATCCCTCTTAAGCGATAGAGTTGTATCTTTTTCATCTTCTATATTATATATTATTCATGATTTGATAGCGATACACAGGGGGCTCTAGCTACCTCGTGTGTTTTATCCTTTCTATACAATCCTATTCCATTCACCAAAAACACTGCTTTAGCACGAGTTAGCCAGTACTTCCTTTGGCATTTCCAGCATCTTTATGATGCCCTCATCATCCGCACAATACTTGTCGAGATACATGCAAATCGCTTTGGCCTCTACAACACACCGTCGACGTAGCCACCAGTTCTCAAGAGGCACCACGAGACAGTGCCAGAATAAGAGGAGGAGCAGTGCCCGGGGGTCTTTCTCCTCGAGGAGAGATCTGTAGGTTGGATCGATGTGCGTAATGAATGTGAGGAAGAGGATGGCATTGTCTTCGTTGATTGTGTTAGGCCATAGGATGGACAAGATCACGCAAGCGCGGTGATAGGGATTTGTATCCGAGGAGGAAGTCGGAGTCGAGAGGCCGAAGAAGGAGTAGAAAAACGGCGAGAATACGCCTGGGCTGATGGGAGCGCTCCTGTCGATGTGTTGCTGCATGGGCGTGTTGTGGAGGATGTTGTGGAAGACGCTTTCCGGGCGAGACGGGTTGGCAATGTCCCAGACGACTTTCTTGCCGTAGCCCATCTTCAGCCAGTCCAGGTCGACGGCTGGGTTTGGGTCTGCGAGGGGCCATGCTGCCAGGGGGTCTTGGGTGCGTATGGAGGCGAAGGATGTGGCGCCGAGGATGGAGGCGCATACCCAGAGAGCGTCCCGGTGGGTGGAGGAGAGGGTTGTTGCTGGGGATGGGAGGGCGAGGAAGTGCTTGAGGATGGCGGTGCTGTGATACCAGTGGAAGGCGAGGGATTGGGAGTGAGATGGAGGGAGGGGGTCTTGGGAGAGGTGAGTGTCGTGGAGGAGAGTGATGGCCAGCAAGATGTGGATGAGAAATGCGTGCTATGGAGGAGATGGTGGAGTTAGTTTCGGTCTATATGAAAACTTGACAGAATGGGAAGAGATGGGAAGAGAGGCGTACTTCAGCTACAAGGTTGTGAACGGCTTTGAAATACCCATCCCTCATAGTGGGGGTTCCCAGTGATGAGGCTGTCCTGCCATAGAACCGGCTCAGGGCGGCATGGTCTTCTGGTCGAAGAGCATATTCACCCAGCCTGCCCTGCAGAGGCAGGACGATGGGGATCCGGAGACCAGGCTGGAGATGGGCTTCTCGACAGAGGCCGTGTATAGATGTAGATGCAGGTATGGCTTGAGTGGGAGCGAGGCTGAGTCTAAAGACGCTGGAGCGAGACAGCTGGAGAGTTGGGCCGGTGCCTGAGTAGCTGCAGGTGAAGCCGGATGCTTGACAGCGGCGGCATGTGGGCTTTGATTCGTCGCACTATGGGTGTTTTTTCACTTGCGTGTAAGTTTATTGGATGTGCATGATATGGTTCAGGATTGTCTGATGTCATGTGTGTTTGTGTGTGCTACGGTATCACGGGCAACGATGAGGCGAGGTGAGGGGAGACGGGAAGAGGACGGATGGATGAATGAGAGGAATTTACTTTGACGCTGCGAATCTTGCAGTTGCCACAGCCAAGGCGAGACTTGCGATGAGTCTTGCGTTTGCGGACGGCGATGTCGTTGTTGGAGGCGATGCCGTCGGCCATTGTGGATTACGTATGGGTTTGGGTTTGAAGGTGTCCGGCCACGCCGGGTCGGGCCGGAGGCAAAGAGAGAGAGACAAAATACGAGAGAGCTATAATCCAGGTTTTGCGTGTATTTCACAGCTATAACCGCGTATAGGGTCTCTGTTCGCCTCTTGTCCGAGAGGGTTTTGGATGGAGCTTTGAAAGTGGTTCCGAGGTGTGTTTTTTTTTTGGAATCTTTACATGTATTCTAGAAACAGTGGCGGGTTTGAGTTTACGTCAAGTACGTGTATAGAGTTGTGGGCGTTGTATTATGCTTAATTCCGGGTCGTTGCAGAATTGGGTAGTACTGGGGATGTTTTATGCTGAGATTGTCTTGGATGGGGAGAGACAGAATTTCTGTGTCTCGGACAGGAACGTGCAGGACATGCGCTCCGTGTGAGACGAGACAGTTGACATGTAATTGGAACATGATGCTATCTACGGGTGGGATGGTATTACTGCATAGTGTATGTAAATCAAGTCCCGGGTAGGGTGGTGGTCTGGATACAATGTAGAGGCAGAGAAGGCATACAGCACAGAACTCCATTATGCATGAATGCATACACACATACAAGCAATTATACAGCCAGCAGCTCCGCGCTGTTGGACCGGCGCCGTCGACAACAATCTCACCGCAAAAGGAAGCATCTCGGACATCAGGCCACCACCAAGTGGCAAAACTCACGCACCTCAGCTGAACCTGCTCGCTTCGTCTGCACAAGTATTACACGCACGCAACGGCCAACCTCGTACCCGCAGCGCTACGGGGTCACTCGACCTGCCTCACCATGTACAGAATGACCTACAGCCGGCGATAAACAAAAAAAAAAGACGTGAGTGATATGATGTGATTGCGCACGGAGTCGGTGGCTTCAACCGCCGCCAGCGAGCGCTAGCCAGAATGCGTATTTTTGCGACGACGCGAATCGCGAGAGAAAAAAAAAAAAAGGAACAATTCCTATACTAGCTAGCTTGAGACGCGACGAGCACACGAGAAATTAACGTGAGAGGGAAATAAAATAAAATAAAATCACATAAAATCAAATAAAAAAAAAGGTTCCAGTCAGTAGCACCACGGAGAAAGCCATTGGGCGTCTCCACTTGGGCCGGGAACGCATCCCAGAATCGAGACCCCTTGCCACTTCACTCGCTCAAACTGCCAGTGACTCGAGTAAGTCGTCGGTTTTTGTTTTTCCTGCCGCGGGACAAAAAGACAGAGGCAGAGAGACGCGCGCGGTGCAAGGGCCGGTGCTTGGTGGGAGCGGCCGGCGTGAGACTGACGATTAATTGGCGCATTTCTGCTGCTTCGTCGTTTGCGAGGCGTTTGTCCTGCCTGGAAGGGAAGAGGCGTGACGGTGAGATGGGCTCTATTCTGGGAGGAATCCACTCTGCTTGAGCGCGTAGAGCGGTGCCTTGGCCTTTTTGTTGCTGTGCTTGCTGTGCGTGGAACCGGGCCAGGGCGTCCTGCTTCTCACCGTTGGCTCTTACGGCGCATGAGTGTATACGAGAAACGACAGTGACAGTTCAAGTCTTACCACTGCAGTTCGCCGCAACTTATAGCAGATACTATACTATACATACGTAGTAGTTTTATGAAGCCCTACCTATTTCCCTTTTTCCCCATTTAAAGTGTCCAACTCCAATTCCCCAAGCAAACGGCGCCTGCTTGCCAAGGCGATCGCGAGGCCGTGCTCTGCAGAGGCGAGAGGACTTGGCGATGTTAGGGGGGACAAGAAAAAAGAGGCGAGCTTGCGCTTTCGTGCGTTTTGCGCCCTACGAGCCGCACAGGCCGGGTCACTAAAAAGCGCCATTAAATGGCAAAAAGAACGCACTGACGCTGAAGATTCCCGGGTGATGTGATCGCCCTTTCGGCTATAGAGGGCAGCGAGCAGGGCCAGCCCAGCCCAGGCCGCCTTGGCAAGCAAGCTATAGACGGAGCACAGGCTTTTTCGTCTCTCTCTCTCTATGCTGGTGATGGCGAGGACGCAAGGGGGGGGGCTGGCCTGGCCTGTGCCTGGGGGGGTTACAGTATGGGGGGCGGGCGAGAGTCAGCCTGAGAGACGAGACGAGACAGAATCAAAATCAAATCAAATGGGTGGTTGGGCCAGTCAACGCTGTATACAGACAGTAGTAAGTACCTAGTATAAGCCGGGCCCGGGGCTGGCTCCAGCAGGAAGAGCAAACTGCCGGAATCGAGGTACGGCTGCTCGTCTTTTTTTGGCACCCTCTCGATACTTGCGCTTCGTCTCATTTCCCGTCGTCTGCTTACTGTACACACACATTGTACATACGACTAAGTGATGAGTCCTTCGCAACTCGCTTGCCCGGGGTTGAGCCGTTTCCGCCGACGACTTCTTTTTTTCCTTGTAAATCACTGCCTGGTCCGGAACGATTCCAGCGGCTCTGTCCAATGGCTGCGCTGGTTTGACGTGTCTAGTCTATGCAAAATGCCTGTAGCGTCGGTGGGCACAAACGCCCAGCCAAGGCATTGAAACGGTGGACGAAGTACGTAGCAAATCAAGAGAGAGAGAGAGAAGTGCTGTGACACAGAGAGAGACAAAGAGAGCGTAGGATCCTTGCTTGTCCCTTTTTTTGGATTTCTCGCTTGATGTGTATGTGTGTATGTGTGTACGGCATGTTTTCCCCTACACTTCCGGAAAAAGGATGAATTTCACAGTCCAAGTTTCCCAGCCTTCATATAATCTAGTGTACTGGCTGGCATACTAGTAGTAGGCACTGCTAGCACTACTCGTGGCCATCGGAGTAAAGCTGCTCGCTTGAGGCGACAGGGCCCAGGAGATGATCGGACGTACTATTAGCAGCTGGAGACGTGCAAATGGAGAGTTCGGGGAGACGAGGCCATTGCGGCATCACGGCATGGGCGTGGGATGATGTCAGGTTCCCGGCAGTAGCACCAGCTGGAGCGCACATCGTTTGTTCGTATCTGGTATCCTTTCAAAATAGAGGACGGAACTACTCCGTGCTCGCGGATTACATGCTACAAGTATGTATGTACGTACTTTGTTTGACTCTACGCCATCTGCCTGCCAGCATTGCATTACATTACGAAAGGGGGGGGCTCCGTCCGTAGCACCACCGCTACATGCGTTGCGACTATACTTTTGTTTATTATGGGCGAGCTGCGTTTGCTAATGTACCCCGTACTCTGGCGTTCGTGCTAACGGCCGCGCAGGAATTGAGATTGGCAGCATTACAAGCAACTTTTGGTGCGTCTGCGTCTGCATTTGAAGCTCTTCTGGCTCTAGCACGATGGGGAATGAATGCGACTCCATACGAACTAGCAGGTCCCTTACATTAGGAGCTGGAGTGGGAATGCGCGCTACCCTGCAATAACGACGGTCTCCCCTTTTTATTTTACTACTGTGTACTATTCACTATTTATTCTGGAGAATTGCGCATAAGGACTTGGCGACTAAGCGTGTTAGTGCGATGCAGTGCAGATTGCTGGATAGGCAGACGGGAAGAGATGAATTGCTTCAGGTGGAATGATGCTAGAGTTTGAAGCTACCAGATAGTATAGATAGATAGCTGCCTTGTATATTGGCTGATTGATTGATATGCGATATTTTTCTTCTTCTTCTTCGCCTCGCTTCTTAGTCGGCCGAATTGGTCAAACACGTCCAGCCGTCTGGATTGCTTCTGGGCCTGGGTCTGGCCTGGTCTGCGGGACAGGCCCCATGGCTGGAAAATGTCCGTAGTTTATAGTACGGAGAATCCTTGGTGGGTGCCTTTTTGAGGCTAGGAAAGGGCACTACTCCGTGTATCTATTAGAGCATTGAAGATAAGGCTTTGTTCAATTCAATGCAAAAGAGATTCAATCAATCAATTAATCAATCAATCAACCACGGGGTCAGGAGAATCAAGCCCAGGTGGCCAATAACCATCTTTTCCAATTTGGGGATGAACTGGTTGGTACTGAGTAAGTCAAGTTTCTTACGGCGAAGGCAAAAGAGTTGGCGACAGATTGTTTTGCCGCCTGTGTAGTTGCAGACGCCGAGAAGAAAAGAAGTTAAAAAAAAAAAAAAAAAAATTCAAAAGCCGACGACACTAAAAAATATTTTTACGTCCCCATATTCTTACTATTTTTTTTTTTTTTTTTTTTTTTTTTTTTTTTTTTTTTTTTTTTTTTTGCCTCTCTCCCCATACAAAATGCTGATCACGGCCCTTAATTTTTTTTCTACCTAAAAAAACTCTATTGCCGTCAATGTCAATCACCAAGACAGACAGAGAGGGAAAAAAAAAAAAATGGCCCAGCCCGCTACAGCCGCCGTGCTTGCGACTAACTGCACAAACTCAATTGGACCGTTGCTAAGATAGCCTGTGCCGCTGCCGTTGCCCGTTCACGTATCTGCCCTCGTATCTAATCCGGAGGCGTACGTAAGGCGAAACGGTGGTGGTTGGATGGGATGGATGGTGTAGCCGTGATAAGTGGGGGTGTGTGTATGTATGTATGTATGTGAAGATGAATACATTCACATTATGGAAGAGTGGCCAACTACTATACTAGGTAGTACTGCATAGTAAAGTACAGTGTTTGCTGCTGATACATGCGTGTACTGCAAACAAGTACCGCTGCTGCTACGACTACAAGATACTGCAAGTAGTAGCATCACCATATAATTTACTAGTACGGGTATAGCATCATCCAGCTGGATCTTCTCTGCATGTCGTTATTTCAGCTCCAATTACCGTCCACGGCCCTTCTCCGCGGCGCTCACCTCTGTTTTCGTTTTGGCGTCCTGCCGCTGCATTATTCATTACCGCTCTTTTCAATCTCTCTCTATCGCTCTATCGCTCGTCCTTTTGCCTCGCAGTATTTTCGAGTACGCAGAGAGTACCTGTAATACTCAGTGTAATTTACAAGAATAGCAAATCAGCACAAAGTTGGCGCTGGGGTGCTCCGAGGAATATCCACTCTCCCCCAAATCCGGCATGCCGGCGGAACGTGGTCGATATCAGCTCTAGCCTCAAGGCAATAGTTTGGGATCAGTAATTATTACCTGCTGCTTGTATCTGCATATACATAGTACTGGCCCTTTGTATCTACATTCATCAATGTACATTGCAAAGATAGTCCTGGTCCCAGCCAGGGCTTGCTAGCGCGGCTCTGACGGGCCAGTGGGGAATCTGTTCCGTGTCTGCTCTCTCTCTCTCTCTTACTGTAGAGTCTCCATTCTCCATGGAAAACTTGTCCGTGACAGGAGCAACTTTGGGTAGACCAGTTTGTACGGTATGCTCTGAAAAGGCGGCATTGATAGCTGCTTCTCTGGCTTCAAGGGGCCAAGGCCCATTTAGTGGGTGACTTTGCTGGCACCTCCTTTTTTGTGCGTGTATTGCTGTTAACCTCATTGAATAGAGTATAGTACTACTCTGTAGAAGCCGTCTTCCGTATTCACCGTTCTTTCGTCTTATTGATTTGTTGTTTTACTGGAGCCCCATTCTTGCTCTGTCTGCTATGCCGCGGCTTTGCTCGGGATTGATTACTCCTGAAGAGCACACTCACGAAATGTCACACACACATACATACACGCTATCCCAATCTCCATACAGTACTTGCGAGTAATACTAGTCCAATTGAATTGGCACAAAAAAAAAAAAAAAAAAAAAAAAGACGCCTGTTTCGTTCCCGTTGGCTGGCTCGAGTTTCCATCAATTCGCGCATGTTCCCCCGGATACGCCAGGGGAGACCCCCAAGGCCAGCCACCCCTTCTTTTCAGCGTGGCTAACCTGTGATTCTTGATTCTGCCACTCGCCAGCCCACCCCTGCGCGTCAAAAAAAAGCCGCGGTCGGAACTAGATTGAACCGGCCGATCTGAGTGTCTGTGGATACGCGCCGGACCCTGTTAGCGCCCTGATGCTGGATGCTAAAGAGTCCAAGAGACACCCCCCCTGGTCAGCTCTACTCCTCCGGTCCCTACTGGGTAGGTAGCAGCGCTGGGGGTCTGTTCTCCGTACGGAGGATGTGGTTATCGCCTCGCCTGGTGAATCTCCGCGGTCTTTGGGCTGTCGTTTTTGTCGGGGGGCCAGGTGATGCGTTTCTGGGGAATACCTGTCTGTATCAGTTGTGCCGCTTCGCTTGCACGACGCTTATCGAACTGGCCAGGAGAAGTCGTGATTGTGCCGAGCACGGCTCCATTGCTGTAAGCAGGGCAGGCAGGCGTGCTTTCTGGAGTTGTCCCGTCATCGGCCCAGGCTCCTCTTGAATCGCAAACAAGTCAATTCAATCGGGTCGTCCGAGGATCGTGACGCCGAATACTTGGCATGGGGCCTAGTGGTGGCGATGGTATTATGTGTGTGTGAGTGTGTGTGTGAGTGTGTGCGGTGCGGTGCGCGTAGGAATAAGTGTGGAAGTGGTAGTAGTAGTACGAGCATGTATCTATGATGTAGCAACCCCGGCTTCAAGTGTCATTCGAATAAGCTGAGTGGAAGCGCGCAAATCAGCTGTGCCATGGTAGCTCTAACAGCTCGAGAAGCATGTTGTGTCCCTTCCGGCGCCTATCTAGCAGTGGTTCGACGTCAATTCGTCCAGATAATCCATCACAATGGCTTCATCTCGTCGTGCTGGCTCGTTCTCTCGATACCTGCGCAATGGGCCCCCTTCCACGTCCACCCTCGGCTATCTTAAATTTCAAGGGAAGGGATCTGCATCGCCTAAGACGGGCCTGTTCAAGTACGCATGTATGTATGTGGTTCGGCTTCTGGGCAACGGTCTGTAAATACAGGACTACATCAAGCGGGTAAAAAAGTCGTTAAAAATATTAAGATGTAGAAATAAACATTATAGGAGCTTTGTTGATTCATATCCAGAGCATTCGTGGAACAATTGAGGGTCGCTACGCTTCGAGACGCCGGGTCGGGGTTGGGTTGGACGAAACCAGGTTGGTCATGTACCGCAGGCTGAGGTGTCGTGCTGCAAATCGCTTGACTGGTGAATTGTTAGCGCGTGACGGTTTCTTACTCTCACAGTCTCAATGACGTGCATGAACGGTGTGTCGGGGGTACGGAGTATAAGTGAATAATCAAACAAAACAGGCGGGAGATGGTATATATATATATAAAATGCCAAGCTATACCTCTGGACCGGCCCATTGGAGACGGAGGGGAGCTGCGGTGCGATTTCTGCGACTGCTTCCAAAGCCGAGCTGTCCAGCACGTTACCAGCAAGTCCAGGTCCTTTTCGTCGAGCAGGCGCAAGAGCTTCAAGCATGGTACAGTCGATGCGTGTTCTGGGGCAGCTCCAGGCGTAATGCGAGCCGGAATATTGTTGGTGTTGGTGTTGTTATTGCTACTGCTACCGCTACCGCTACCACTACCATCTGGACTACTGCCATTGTTGTTGTAAGTAGTAGCAGCAGTGAAAGTCGCAGTGGCTGCGTCCTCCATGGCCACGATGCGGCCGCTGTCATCTTTCCAGATGACCTGGTGGTGGTTCCGCCAGCGATCGCCAAATCCCACCTTGGCCCTGAAATGGCCCGCCGCTGAGCATGTCGACCAGCCCATGAGGCCTGGCGAGAGCTTGACGCTCTTGTAGCTGCGGCCGTCGCTGGCCTTGCCGTCTATGACGATGCGCCGGGGGGCATAGAAGTTGACGTAGGCATCTCGGAACAGGTAGATGTCGTCGTGACGGGTGCGCAGCCGGCCATTGCCATTGTCGCCGCCTCTGCCGTCGCCCGCCAGCCGGTATTTGACCTTTTTGACAATGTATGTGAGCGACGTGGCCTGCAGCGGCGCGGCGCTCAGCTCGTAGTAGACGAGCGCCGGGTTGGTGGCCGAGTAGACGGAGCGGCCATCCAGGGCGAGAGACAACAGCTCGCCAATGGGCAATTGGACTCTCGGGCCATGGCTGGACACCTCTTCATATGGCGGAGGAGCATGTTCTCGCAGCCGCATGATGGGATGATTGCTTGCGTGCTTGCTTGCTTGCTTGCTTGCTTGCCAATGCGCCGGAGCTGCTATCGGAGCCGGTGGAAGCTCTGCGCTGCTACGACTCGTAGCGGATGCAGGGTATTTCCTAGTAGAGCAGTAGCACGGCTGCTAACGACGACTCCATCGAGCTGCGATTTGCCTGTGCCGCACACACAGCGTGCCGCCGGCGCACATGTGCCGGCATCGAGTCGCTACATGTACATACATGAGGCCTGGAGCACTTACACGTCGGGCGCGCCGTTGCCAGAGCCATTCCAGCGCCACGCAGGCAGCTTTTGCTGCTGCCAATGGCTCACGGCTATGACGGAATGGAGGCGGCCAAGGCGGCTACCGGAGCAAAATTGCGACCGGCCCGATCAGGGTACGTACCGAGAGCGGCCTAGCCCAGAATGCGTCTAGCGCCGAACAGCTCAGAAGTCCCCAAGTACCGCAGGTATCGCAGCGCTGGCCGGTACCTCCAGTCTCGTACTGCCCACGCGCGGTCTAGCGGCCGGTACGTACCTCGCACTACCGTCCAGGTAATGTCCCTGGAAATTGGTGGGGCCTCGACTCCGTACTAACTGGACCGCTCAAGCTACGGGCGGTACGTACTGCTACCTAGAATTCTGGGTCCCTTCGTCCTGCTCATCCTTTTTTTTCTCCTTCTCCAGCCCGTCGCGTGAGCCAGACGCAGCGCCTGTAGCATCGCAATTGCGGCGAAAACGCGGTCTAAAACTCCATCGCCGCCTGAAGACGATCCCCACGGCCTACCTGGTCCGCCTCGTGTCCCCCTTTCACGCCCTTGGCGATCTTCAATTGCACGGCTTGTCATGCTGCAGCACATTCAAATCGCCAAATCGCCAAGCGACCTTTGTGATCGGATGGAAGCGCTAGAAAAATGCAGCGAAGCAGCCAAGTTTGCGGGGCAACGGAGCTAGGCCGGAAATGGGGCGGGCCTGCACATGGCCAATGACGTCGATGTGGAGCCCAGGCGAGGCATATCCGCGCAAAAGTTGGCCAGTCGTATGTACTGCAGCACAAGGGAAGCAGGCAGGCGCGATTGGAACGCATGTGCTGGCAGGCGCGAGGCAAGCTCAGCTCCAGTTCAGCTCCGGGGGAAGGAAGGCAAACGGCGGCAAAAGGAAAAAGGCAAGTCAGAGGCAAGACAGAGTCAAGGCAAGGGAGAGACTGCAAGGCCAAAAAAAAAAACGTAAAAATAGCATGGCAAAAAAAAAAAAAAAAAAAAGAGCGGCTGAAATGCAGAATGACATAGCTCGACACTGACTAGGTCGCGCTCGCGGGCGTACATGTAAGCTGGATCAGGAAACAGACGAGGCCATCCCGTCTTCGCAACAGAGTTTTGGCGAAGCAGAGGGAAGCCCGCGCCCGGATCAAGCGTTTACATCTACCGGCATTTGCCTGAGCTGGGGAGGGGGACCCAAAAGGCGATCCCGGGACGCACCGAGGAGGGGGCCGGCGAATTGGATCGAGAGGAAGCGATGCAGGCTGCTTGGATGGACGACGAGGGCGAAGCACGAGGCCGACGCTGACAATCGGCTCAAGGCAGGCAAGCTTTCAAACAGTCATTCACCGAGAAGAAGAAGGGGGAGGCAAAAGCTGGGAAATTGATAGGGGGGAACTATGTAGGGGAACAGGATCTGGAGTCGACATCTCCGAGGTAGTCTCTTTCTTGCTGCTTGATATGCGCGATTTGGGGCTCGTAGCCGTCGGTGATGCCTTTTGCTGTGCTGTATGCCACTGCCGGGTAGTAGTAGTCGTGGGAGGTAGTAGTTATAGTATTACATGCTTTACAACGAATTAGACTTCTAGGTAGTATACAACAAGACAAGAGAATGAATGAATCAATCAATCAATCAATCAATCAAACGCAGAGCTGCCAAGCCATCCGAACTGAATCAACGGCAGCTTCATCATTGGCTCTCTCTTGTATTATGGTTTAGGTATGCTGCCGTTCACTAAAACACAGCTAAATTCAGCCTCCGACGTCGCTGGGACGTATACAAAGTACGTTTCGCGAAAGCTGCATTGCTTTGTTCCTATTCCGTGCTTCTCTGTGTCATTGAATACGCGCTTTGATTACCAGCTAGGCGGACTAGCACGACGGAGCACGCCGTTTGAAACAGTCTCCCATAAACTAACACAATCAAAAGAGGGAATTAAAACAGGGCCCCAGGAAATGACGCCGTCGCGACACTGACATGCTGATACTGTAGCTGCCGGCATGGACGAGCATCAATCAGGTCAGTGGGAGCGCGTATTATTGTGCATTATCGTCAGCTAGGCTGCTTGTAGCCCAGGTACATGCATACATGCATACATACACACGAGCAGCAGCAGCAGCAGGTTACGGTAGTAGGTACCGGTAGTAGTATTGTGATGTGCTGTACGGTATGTCGATGCGGGTAAGCGCGTAAAGGGCTAGCAAATTGGAGCTCAGGAAAAAAAAAACCCATGATTTTGATGCGGGATTTCCTTCGTACAAGTTTCTGCCTCCTCGACCGGCTGTCCCGGGATTCGTCGTGCTGATTCTGGGGGGGCCCAGAGCTCGTTTTTTTTTTTCCCTCTCGTCGCTCTCAGGCGGCGGGTCCCCCAGAGCGAATAATGGATTCCCAGCTACTCCGGGCGCACAGGCTTTTCCTTGCCTCGAAGCAGTCTAGAGGCGTCTGGCTATGATGCTTGGGGGTTAAGTCGGATATCGGCATCGGTCGACAGGTTCGGTTGCGCCGGGACCTGACCAGTCGTATCCACCGCCGCCAGAGCCCTTTCGGCGCCGCTCTTTTGGCCAGGATAACTCGGCCCTCGAGGTACACGCCAGGCGAGGTACTGCGCGGCACGAAGCTACAAGGGCTAATGCTTGACCGTGCGCTGGAAGCGGTCTAGCCTGGGCCGTGGTGGACGACAATCTGCCGTCGGCCTTCGCTGGCCGACGGGGGGCGTGTGATACTACGATGGACTATGGAGGATGTGGTGTAGCGTAGCGCAGCGGAGTGTGGGCAGGCTGGAATTGGGATGGGATGGATGGATGGGGACTCGCGACTTTTCTGGCGTCTCATCGAAGGATGGGCAGAAAAACGAGAGGAAAAAAAAAAGGAACCACGGCAATGGGTGGACTGGGGGGGTCCGGACGGTGGAATAAATATCTCTGGCAGGCCGCCCTGGTGGGTGAATTTTCTTTCCTCTTTCCTGCCCAGTTGCGACTTGTTGCGTCCTTTCAATTGCCAGTTTCGCGGCGGCTTCGAGAGCGCAATCTCTTCCAACAATGTCAGTCTTTCATCGACGTAAGGGCGAGGAGGGGGACGTTGAGGCCGGTGGTCGTGAGGACCACTCCGGCAGCACCGTCGCTCCCCCAGAGCCCGACAACCTGCCCGAGTACGCTGCCTTGGAGCGATACATTTCCACCTATCGTGAGGGCTCCCGCAGCGGAGACGACAACCAGAAGAAGCGTCGCAATGTGAAGTGGTGGCAGTTCTGGAGGTCAACAGACTCCGAGCTGGTTGAGGATGCCGAGCCTGCCAAGAGGGTTGTGCCCGAGGCCTGGTTGGACACCGACATTCGCACTGGTATTCGTATCAATGAAGTCGACGAGAGAAGAAAGTGGTCTGGCTGGAACGAGCTGAGCGCCGAGAAGGAGAACATGTTTGTCAAGTTCCTTGGTTTCTTTACTGGTCCTATTCTTTATGGTGAGTTTCTCTCTCTCTCTTCCCTCGTCTCATTCTCCTAGTCAGCCAATGAATGGCAATGACTGGGTTAAAACAAACAAAAAATCAATTAATCAAAGCGGCCATTATTTGCTAACAATGGCTTCTCTACAGTCATGGAAATTGCCGCTCTGTTGGCTGTCGGTTTGGGTGACTGGATCGATTTCGGTGTCATCTGTGGTATCTTGCTGCTCAACGCTTTCGTCGCCTTCTACCAGGAGAAGTCTGCTGCCGATGTCGTCGCCTCTCTCAAGGGTGACATCGCCATGCGATGCACTGTTGTCCGTGACGGCCAGGAGCAGAACATTCTCGCCCGTGAGCTTGTTCCCGGTGATATTGTAAGTCTACATTCAATCTCAATCTCATTCTCACTCTCACTCCACTACCCACTGCACTATTCTGGCGGGCAACAAAGCTAATTCGATTCCTCCCCCACAGCTCATTATCCAGGAAGGTGACACCGTTGCCTCTGATGTTCTCCTGATTTGCGACTACACCCGTCCTGAGGACTTCGAGGTCTTCAAGCAGCTCCGCGCTGAGGGCAAGCTTGGCAGCAGTGACGACGAGGAGGAGGACAACGAGAAGGAACAAGAGGAGAGCGCTCTGGTCTCCCACCGTGCCACTCCCCTTGTTGCCGTTGACCAGTCCGCCATCACTGGTGAGTCTCTCGCCGTCGACAAGTACCTCGGTGATGTCGCCTACTACACCACTGGCTGCAAGCGTGGAAAGGCTTATGCCATTGTCACTGCTACTGCCCGCGACTCTTTCGTCGGTAAGACTGCCGATCTTGTTCAGGGTGCCAAGGACCAGGGTCACTTCAAGGCTGTCATGAACAACATTGGTACCTCCCTGCTCGTTCTCGTCATGTTCTGGATTCTCGCTGCCTGGATTGGTGGTTTCTTCCACCATCTCAAGATTGCCGAGCCCGGCTCCCAGAACCTGCTCCACTACGCCCTTGTTCTCCTCATCGTTGGTGTTCCCGTCGGTCTGCCCGTCGTCACCACCACCACCCTGGCTGTCGGTGCCGCCTACCTCGCCAAGCAGAAGGCTATCGTCCAGAAGCTCACTGCCATCGAGTCTCTCGCTGGTGTCGACATTCTCTGCTCTGACAAGACCGGTACTCTCACTGCCAACAAGCTCTCCATCCGCGATCCCTTCGTCGTTGAGGGCCAGGATGTCAACTGGATGATGGCTGTCGCTGCTCTTGCTTCTTCCCACAACCTCAAGACCCTCGACCCCATTGACAAGGTCACCATTCTTACCCTCAAGCGTTACCCCAAGGCTCGTGAGGTCCTTCAGCAGGGCTGGATCACCGACAAGTTCACTCCCTTCGACCCCGTCTCCAAGCGTATCACTGCTGAGTGCCGTCTCGGCAAGGACAAGTTCATCTGCGCCAAGGGTGCCCCCAAGGCCATTCTCAAGCTTGCCAACCCCCCTGAGGAGCTCGCCGCCGTCTACCGTGAGAAGGATCGTGAGTTCGCTCGCCGTGGTTTCCGATCTCTGGGTGTCTGCTACAAGAAGAACGATGAGGACTGGGTTCTCCTTGGTCTCCTGTCCATGTTCGACCCCCCTCGTGAGGATACCGCCCAGACCATTCTTGAGGCTGCCCAGCTCGGTGTTCCCGTCAAGATGTTGACTGGTGACGCTATTGCCATTGCCAAGGAAACCTGCAAGATGCTTGCCCTCGGTACCAAGGTCTACAACTCTGAGAAGCTCATCCACGGTGGCCTTGGAGGTGCCGTCGCCCACGACTTCGTTGAGCGTGCTGATGGTTTCGCTGAGGTTTTCCCCGAGCACAAGTACCGTGTCGTCGAGATGCTCCAGCAGCGTGGTCACCTTACTGCCATGACTGGTGACGGTGTCAACGATGCCCCCTCCCTGAAGAAGGCTGACTGTGGTATCGCTGTCGAGGGTTCCACCGAGGCTGCCCAGGCTGCCGCCGATATCGTCTTCCTTGCCCCCGGTCTGTCCACCATTGTCCTTGCCATCAAGACCTCTCGCCAGATCTTCCAGCGCATGAAGGCCTACGTTCAGTACCGTATTGCTCTCTGTCTCCACCTTGAGATCTACCTGACTCTGTCCATGATCATCATCAACGAGACCATCCGTGTCGACTTGATCGTCTTCCTTGCCCTGTTCGCTGATTTGGCCACCGTCGCCGTCGCTTACGACAACGCCCACTACGAGCCCCGTCCCGTCGAGTGGCAGCTGCCTAAGATCTGGGTCATCTCCGTCGTTCTCGGAATATTGCTTGCCCTCGGTACCTGGGTCCTCCGTGGAACCATGTACCTCCCCAACGGCGGTATCATTCAGAACTTCGGCTCTGTCCAGGAGATTCTCTTCCTTGAGGTCGCTCTTACTGAGAACTGGCTGATCTTCGTTACCCGTGGTGGCCGCACCTGGCCCTCTTGGCAGCTCGTCGGCGCCATTCTTGGTGTCGATATCATGGCTACCCTCTTCGCCCTCTTCGGCTGGCTGTCTGGTGCTCCCGAGATCGACAACCCCGTCGACCTTGCCAAGCAGCGTCACGATGGCTGGACCGACATTGTCACCGTTGTCATCATCTGGCTGTACTCTTTCGGTGTCACCATCTTCATTGCCATTGTCTACTTCATCCTTAACCAGATCCCCTGGTTGAACGACCTCGGCCGCAAGGACCGCAAGAAGAAGGACACCATTGTTGAGAACGTCCTCACTGCTCTCCAGAAGCTCGCCATTGAGCATGAGAGAGATGAGACGACCGGTGTTGACCGATACCTCCTTGCCGACAAGGCTATTGATAACGAGGATGAGTAAATGGAGTTTTAATGTCGTGGATGTCAAGGCCTATTAGGAAAGAGAGTCTTGTGTATACCCCCGAATAATTTTAATATGGTACACTACTACTCGCCTACAGAGCTTAATCTATATGGTGATCTGGGGAAGAGAAAGGTTGGTCTAGGGACCAAAGTTTTCTTTTTTTTTACATTGAGGAGAGCGGGAGCAGTTAACATTTGTTTTGCTTGGTCAATCGCCTTGCAAACATCAACGTTGCTACCAAGTCAAGATGGAGGGAGAAATGAACTGATAGAAGTTCTCCAGCCGGTGGATGCATTGTTAACCTTTTGATTCCCCCAGTCGCTAACTTAATTTAAAACTTAGTATAAACCTATATCTAGTTACTATAGACTTTTCATATCTTGCTAATGTGTTATGTTCAAAAATATCTTCAAAAGTTGCTTGTGCCCATTGCCTTCGTGATCTTTGAAAACATGGTGTTTCTCTCTCCTCACTGTTCGGACCACATGCAAAAAAAAAAAAAAAAAAAAAAAAGACCCTTCCCTAAAACAAGCTGAGTACTGAGCATCCCGCATTTTTTTTTCTCCAAACGCCACGAAAATAAATAGCGCAGGCTAGGTAAATTTTTTCTTCTTTTCCTCATATTTGAAACTACGGGCCTACGCCACCGGAGGTCGCGAGTCCACTAGATCGTGCAGAGAGTTTCGGAATCTCGGCTCTAGTATGTTGGCTAAGTTGTTAGTGTGAAGCCTTAATGACCTGCTCGACTCCGCTTTTGCCTTTCAACCTTTGGGGAAGACAGAGAGCCTTTTCTTACGTTATGTCAAGGTGAAGCTGGGCTAGAGGGAAGTATGCGCGAATTGCGATTAGGTGTGGTGTTTTTCTTCCTCTTCTTCTTTTGCTTCTGTGGGGTTTCTGCCGTGATTCGAGTGTGTTTCACGGACTGTAACTTGCTAATCTATGGAGATTTTTTTGTTTCTGTGTTCACATGATGAAACAGATATGCAGACAGATCAATAAACAAACAGATGAAACAAACAAAATGGCGTGTTTGATCATAGGTGGGTGTAATCGGCTCAGGCATGTTGGTCAACAAGTGATGATTTAGACTGTTGTCATCAAAAAAAACTTGTCTCGGTGTAGATCTATCAAAGTATGAATGGGCGGGCTAAGATCGCGGACTCCCCCACCATTTCAATGAGTAGTGACCGACCGTGGCTTTGAGGTGTGGAGGGAAAACAAGAGGAGATGGAAAAAGAAATTTGAATTGACATTCCTTGGTAGCTATCTTTGCTCGGGAAGGATGCCGCCCCCGCGCAGCTAAGCTGCGTGAGGCCATTGCTGCCAACGCCCGTTGGTCAAGGACGATTGCAGAGCTGTCATTACGTGCTTATGGCGTAGAAAAATAGGAAAGTTGGTTGAAAGCCCGAAGTAACCCTTTTGTGGCTTCCCGTGTGCGGTTAAGGATGTTATTGGATGGGCGTGTTATGCCGCTTTCTTGGATTGGCTTTTCCGAGGTCGCCGGTCGTGAGCGGAATGCGCTTGGATTGGTTGCTGCTTGTTAGATGGGCGAATGCTTAGCTTGGGGGTATTGACTTTTTAGACTTTCTGAGCTGCATAGGGTGAGGGTGGGGACGAGCGGTAGTTGAATGCTTGGCTGGTATATTTTGCTGTTGGAGTAGCTGGTTGCAATGGTGTTGATGTGCAGGCCTGGAGGGGTGACGTTTGGATTTTGAGCTTGGCTTTGAGAGGGCAAGGTTGTGTTTAAACGGTGCTGAGACGACAATGCATTAAAAAGGCGAGAGCTCGTCAGCCGTGTTGGTGCATATGAAGTTTATGAGCTATTGTTGCCAATGATGGGGGTTATGACTGGTAGTTACGTTAGTAAGTCGATAGGCGTACGGCAGTTTTCCCCATGTGGCAGAATTGATTACGCTATCGGCATTGTTGTCTTAGATCTCACTATCTGTGACTTTCTCTATCTTATACTGGTGGTCATTATTCGCAGGGCTGAAATCATGCAGCCATTTCGTTACTCATTTCATTTCGTTGATACATACTCTAGATCGAACGACGTAATATATTTATTTTATCTTGTCGTCGTGTCCTCCTTGATTACACTGCAGCGTGGAAGGCAGCAGCCTTCTTTCCAGCTAGCTCCAGGTAGAAGCTTGTGTCGGCGAAATCATTGTCGTAGCCCACAAACTTCTGGTTGGTGGGCAGCTGGTTGGTCTTGAGAGACGGCATGATTTGAGTACCTGGAGGTAAAATTGGTCAATCGGTTGTTTCTTCTTGGAACAAAAAGGTGGAAGCAGCTGCATTTGTGAACTTGCCTTCGTTGACTTCGTCGAACATGGCACTGAAGATGAATAGAGGCTTGTTGGCCATGGTGGTCAAAGCATCAGCTTGTGCAGAGTAGAAAGAGCCGTTGTATCGTGGGAAGTAGTCGAATGCTGATGGGTTGGTCCCGCCGTTGAGATGGTAGGCAGAGGTGCCGGGGAAAACAACTGGGGCGTACTGCTTGCCGAGAGACTTCAACAACCTAATAGTAAATCATTTGTTAGGTTTGCAACGTTCGAATGTGCAGAGCCCGGTTTTAAGCTATATTACGTACTGTGCGTCCGGGACCTGGACAGAGGTGTGGAATCCTGCATAGCCGGCATCGCTATAGCCTCCAACGGTCCAAGGGCTGATGAAGTCTGCTTTCTTATAAGCCTGGAAGAAGCCTGTGTTGCCGGTGACGTCGCCGGACCACTGCTCAGGCACGCCGAAGCCGACGTACAAGCCGGCAGCCTGGAGCTGAGAGGCAATGTTGACACTGTCGGCAGCAGTGACTTTGAATCCAGAGAAGCCGATTCCAAAGACCATGGTGACTGGCTTGCCGTTTTGGTGGATGTAGGCTGAAGATGTGGTGTATTTCTTGATGTTGGCGTTGTAGTCGTTTAGGACTGCCGTGGCGACGCTGCCTTGAGACGAGTCGGCGCCAGAGACGTCGTATTCGACGATGAAGCCGAGGCCATACTTTTCAGCCGCTGCTTGGACTTGGTTGAGGACCTAGGTTGGTGATCAGATACTTTGGTCTGCGATTTTATGTGTCACGATGCATCCAAGATAGCATATAGGTACTTACTGTGATAAAGGACTGGTCGCTGACGGACTGTATAAATCTTTGTACAATCACGCCGTCAATGCCGTACTGCTGCATCCACTTAAAGTGCAGGTCGACGACACCCTCGCAAGAGCTGTCATAGAATGGGGCTGGTTGGCCATTTGGTAGTGTGAGCTGAGTGTTGAAGAGACAGTTGGCTGGGTATTGGCTGACGTCGGGGATGAAGTCAATCTCAACTACCAAAGGGTCAGTCATATATTAAGGCCATAGCTATTAGGCGATGCAAATTATTAAGAAAGAGATGGTTCCTTACTGTTATTGGGTCCCGGCGTATTGCCATCGACGGACCAGTGGTTGTTAACACCAGCGCCGGGTTTGCGGAACCAGCCTTGGTAACCGAAGAGCCATTTGCCTTGTATGGTAGAGGTATCGATGGCTGCGTCTCTGTTGGTGTGTATGTGATGGTTATGCGACGCGGCTGATACCGCAGTGGCGTAGAGGAGCCATGACAGAGTGGTCTTCATGGCGGATTGGTATAGTGGTGGCGGTTGGTGAAGAGATGGTATTTCGAAGTGAATCTCGACATATACCAATTTGATTACCACCTAGGTATAATGCAAAGATATGGAGTAGCTTATGCCTTACTTATATAACTATACTCATATTATTACTGGGCCAATATATGGCAACCCCTATGAGGAGGGCTGTGATTACTATTGCCTCTTGTTTCAGTCCCACTGCGGCTCTCGCACTGCGCGATGGCATAGGATAGGCAGCTCGTATGCCGATCTCGTCCAATCTTGCTCTGCCAGCTGTCGAGATGACAGCAAAATGCCGATTGCGCCTTTGAAGATTTCTTAATTGTCTATTATCCGTAGGCTCTTGTACTTAAATTCCGAGGACAGTACCATATAAATGCGTGTGAAGAAACACGGAGGGACATTGCATAAACTGACTCAACCAATCGACCGCTAGATCAGCTGAGATGCGATTTGCTTGTGGATCGATGGTGACAGCTGCTCTTTCAGGCGCAGAATGTGGAAACGGCCCGAACGGCAGAGGCTAAAACAAGGGATGTCCAATCGGGGCGAGGTGTTTGATGCAACGTCGCTGCTGACCATCACCTTTGAGAATTTGTGATGCTTATATTCAGTACGGTTTGATGTAGATGAAGATGAGAATGCTCCTAGGCTCATATAGGTATATCGAATACCGTGAGGTTCTCACTTCATCGGACTAGGCCGTGGTTTACTGTTAGGATTGCAGCCGCAGGAAGGGCTAAGTCGCCTGCTTTGGCAAACACAAAGCGCAAGTCTTATTGGTAAAAGAGCTGCAAGATATATGCACATGTACTGATGCCTTTTCAAGACTTTCCCGTCGGCTTATAAGAGACCAAGGATTAGTATTTTCGATGCTCTATGCCATACGAATTCGCATGCCACCTCCCTATCTCTCGGTATATCGACTTTGCTATATCTGACACTTCATTTCAATCTTGGTGATATATGAGCTCATTTTTTTTTTTTGCCTGCAATGAGAGAATCTTTACGGATAAATTCAAGGACACCTTCGACTTTATATTCTCCAGCTGACTGTGATTACTGAGTACATTATAAATTAACAAATAGGTAGTCAGCTCGGCACTTAGCTTGACTTGGGCCGCATACGTACAGTAGAAGCGGTGTGCAAAAAAAATGCTCTCTACCTTGTATAAACGCAGGTTTAAAATAATTATTGTGGCAATAATAGTTGCGATATAGGACCAACAGCTCGTTGAACGCAGCGAGAAGGATATGTATACGATTATGATACTGCATATACACTAATACTTAACCAGCAAGTTACTAATGCCGAATACAGGTGCTGAGAGTTAGCAGAGCTGCATATTGCTTTCCAGAAACACAACAAATTCTAGACTTGGAGCTGTCGTAGCTGTGCGCCGCGCTGCTTACACCGTCGCCTTGGCCCTTTTTCTCAGAAAGGCAAAAAAGCTGTCTTAGCGTGACAGCTTTCAGAAACAAGGTTTCAACATTCGTCCATCTGACGCCGATTGACGTGTCCCTAGCGCCGGATAGATTGAAGCTTGGTATCCGATGATGAGTTTTTATGTCATAATGAAGCCATATAATTGAGCCTTATAAGACAGAATAGAGCCGACTATAACAATTGCTAAATCATAACGAAATACATGTTTTACACATACATGCCGAGTTTCTCGTGGTATATACATTTGCAATACCAATATCTCTTCTACTATAATGTCGACTGAAAATCCGCCATCATTTTTTATTTCGCTTCCAGTCGAATCTCTCAGCTCTGCTACCGATTTTTATAAATCTCTCTCATTTACTCCTCTTCCTGAGTTCTCTGACTCTAACACTGCTGCCTTCCGCTTCCCTTACAAATCTAACTCTAATATCTGCCTTATGCTACACTCAACATCTCGGTTTGGAGAATTTATTCGCCATGGTTCAGAGATTATACATGCGAAGAAGGTTACGGGCGCGATATACACTCTAGGCGTGGCCGGCAGAGACGTTGTAGATGGGCTGTTAGAGAAAGCTGAGAAGGCGGGTGGCAAAAAAGATCCATTCAAAATGGAAGAATATGGGAAATCTGTGGGGATATATACAAGGAGCTTTGAGGATCTTGATGGACATATCTGGGAAGCGACAACAATGTTAGAGACGAAGAAGAAGAAGAAGAAGGAAAAGGACGAAGCGAAATCAGAAAAATCGATGGCTTCTTCAACTTAGTTGGTTGGATGGTAGTTTGTTGTATTTGACTTGGAGAAATGGTGTTAGGTGTCTGGTGGTTGATTTTCTATCATTTCCGCTAATTTATTGTTGGATTACATGGGCTGCTTATTTGCGAAATACTCTCTTGTATTGCTCTTGTGCCCTTCGCTATCAATTTTCTGCCCTGGCTCAGGCCAGAATTACACATACTCATACATACTCAATAGCTATAACTATTATCAATTGTGGATCGCATCATGAATGCCATGTTAGCTCTAGGTAGACTACCGCAACGTCAAAAGGTCTGTCCCAGCATACGAACCTCTCGTCGGGCTGGCCTACGATTCTCGGCATCTGTGAAACATGAACCACGTTGGCTTGATTATGATCTAGATTTCGGATCATATTGACGCGTGCAACGGTGGTTTCTAAGCCGGCGGCCGTTAGTTATAGACACTTATTCTAATAGCTGTACCTCTCCTTCGGGAGCTAAATTATGAATTTGGCCGGCTAGCATCTCATGAATCCTTTCCAAGCTACGCATAGGGCAAGATCTTATATGTATCCCCGCTCTTTCAAGGATCCTTTAGCGTAGGATGATCTATCAACTCAATTACTAGATGCAACACCCGAACTCTCCAAGTTGGTTTGCTTTGCGTTGGCACTTTGTATCCCATCGCGGGGGGGCCAGATCGCGGATCTAACCCCGCATGTAGATTCAGGACAGGGTTACACTCGGGGGGTAATAACGCGAAATTACCGATAGGATCGTCCAGCTAATCATGGGTGCCTAAAGGAGCTATTCTATTAAAGCTTCCAGATGATGCTGTGTTGTCTGTTGTAACTAAGCGACGCTGTCTATCATTTGCGAGACGATAATCATGGTTTCCAACAGCTTGATTACGCTTTATACTGGCCTTGTGCTATCGACTAGCATCCAGTATGGTGCAGCTGATACAGCCCCGAGCTGGCAAAAATATGTCAGATCGCCTGCTTCTCAGATAGTGAAGCCAGTCGGAATTGTATCAAATAGCACAATTGGCAATGTTTCAAACCCCAATGGCGTGATTGGCGGCCAAGAGCCGACAGTACTGAGTCGCAACACTGAAAGCGACCAATTGCCGACAATAGTGGTGGATTTTGGACAGAATGTAGTTGGGATTTTAAGGCTACAATTCAGCGGATCACAGAGCTTGTCCACAGGACTGCCGGGTTTGAGATTGGCCTTTTCTGAGACGACAGAGTATCTTACCGATCGGAGCGATTTTACACGATCCGATAATGCCAGCGGAGTAAGTCCAGAGATCACATATCCTTTTGCTGTCCTCTTTTGTTCTTAAAGGACTGTTGACTAAGTTGTCGACACAGGGTGAAAAATTGACAAATGGAACAGATCAGGTAAGAAATGAAATCATCAAGTTGTCAAGCAATCTGGACACCAATGTTTAGATCGTATATCATAGGTGGCTGTCAAGGACGGTAGTTACACTTGGAGTGATCTTCATGGATGTGATAACGGCTCTCAAGTCTGTTCAGATGGGCTCCACGGCTTCCGTTACGTGAAAATCTGGCTGGAAGCTTTAGCGTCGGATGCGCCATACACATCTTCCCTGGGTTCTGTTTCCATCTCGGGCGTGAGCCTTGAATGGTCTGCGTATCTTGGGACACCGGACACTTTCACCGGATCGTTTGAATGTTCAGACGAAGACCTCACACAATGGTGGTACGATGGAGTATATACCGTGGATATGGGAACAGATGTGTTTCTTGCCAACGAGACAGAGCCTAGAAGTGCTTCTAGTCCGACCTTGGAGGGCAAGCAAGTACTTTTCGACGGCGCCAAGCGTGATAGAGACCCATATGTTGGAGATCTGGCAGTGTCATCGCTTACTTCGTACTTGTCTCATGACTTTGCCGAATCGTCGAGGAATGTGTTGGAAGATTTGGCACAGCATCAGCGCTCTGATGGCTGGATTCCTCCTGCAAGCATGCAAGTCTTTCCTCAAGATTACAAAACATGACTTCTTGTAAAGCGAATTTCTGCTAACGGAATTTAAAAAACAGAAACAACTACGGTCTTCCATTATTTGACTACCCCCTCTGGTGGGTTGTCTGTAGTGTCGACCTTGTCATGTACACAGGCAATGCCTCTTATGCGAATGCTTATTGGGGTACACTAACTAAGGCTCTTGACGGATATTACCTTTCGAATATAGATGGAGTGACAGGGCTTCTGGATAAAAACGACACTGGCTATGGCGATTATGCGTTTCTGCCTCGTTCAGGGCCCGTAACGTACTACAACGCCTTGTACGTCCATGCACTATCGTATGCCTCGCAGCTGGCTACGAGCCTTGGCCGTAATGACGACGCAGGAAGATGGTCTTCTAGAGCTGCATCTGTTGGAAAAGCACTTATAAGTCACAATTTTGACCAGAGCGTTGGCGCATTTTATGATGGCGGCCCTTGCCCCGGAGCGGCAGCAGGCACATACTGCAATGTTCATGCGCAAGACGGCAACTCTATTGCGATTCTTGCAGGAGTGACAAATGACACAACTTCGGCTCAGATATTGAACTACTGGCAAAATGCAACTTCTCAGGAATATGGAAACGCATTCTACGACAGCAGCATATTGAGTCCCGGCGACCAATTCAATAATCGAGTCTACGCTTTCATCTCCTATTTTGAGATTGCGGCCCGATTTGCTACTCCTGGGCAAGCTTCGTCTGCCTTTGACGAACTCCGAAGACTGTATGGATGGATGGCTAGCCATGATCCTCAGATCACCATGTGGGAGGGCATCGGACCAGGCGGGGCTCCTTATGAGGGTGCATTTACATCCATGGCGCATGGCTGGTCAACGGGAATAGTCCCGCTTCTGACCGGATATGTCCTTGGAGTGAAACCCCAGTCACCTGGGTTTCAGACGTGGAAAATTTGCCCCGTGGTAGATGGCGGAGGGCTCACATGGGCTAAAGGAGAAGTGCCAACGCCACAAGGAAAGATAACAGTCTCATGGGAGACTGAGGATGCGCAGACGGGAGTGGTGTTTACTCTTGATATTGAAACACCAGATAACTCATCTGGCGTGGTGTGCGTTCCCATTATGGGACTGAATAATCCAACGATAAGCATGGATGGAGCACCTATAAATGTGTCTTCTAACCCAACAACTGGCTGGGCGAGCGTTGATGCTACTGGAGGAAAGCATGTCTTTACAGTTGAAGCATAACGAGTATATATGGGGATTCTATATAGGTATTCTATAACTTTTGGGGGTGCCATTCTTGCGAGCGGACGTATGCTCGCTAAATCTGAAGCCTTTTGTGCAACACGGAAACAGGCTTGGATGCTGATAGATGACTTATCAGCGAAGAGCTCTATCTTATATGAATGTCATGAGATGCATGGAATTTTTGATAAACAAAGTGTTTTGTAACATTAATTTTGATCTTCTCCTGTTTCTTCAGCTTCCTCATCAACTAGTGTACTGCCTGCAGGTGGGAAGTTGGAAAATAGCAAGACGGCCATTCCAACCACTGCAATTGCCTAAACAATTTCATCCATATTAGCCTCTTATTAACGTTGTCCAGCTCGTCTGGTGTTTGACAGAACTTACCGCATTGCAGAAAAACGTGACATATGCCTTGCCCACGCCTGCAAGACTCGAAAATACAAATCCAAATAGCCCCTGTGTTGACAATCGGGCAATGTTCTCTACAAGGGTTACGGCGTTTAGGGCATCCGCACGCTGCGACTCTGAGCACATATCTGTGATGACGCCTTTGGCAGCCGGCGCAGAGCCGGACCCGAAGGGTAGGAGGAACGCAGCTACAAAGAGATGGATTAGTATTTCCGTGAGTTGAAGTTGGTTCAATGGTAATGGTCTTACCCAAATAAATATGCCACCTTTTCGTAGCAAATGCAACCACAGTAGTGAGTGCTCCGTCAACTACGAGGCTCCACCGTAGGAAAATGAGATCAAAGTGCCCGACTTCGCGGTGATGCGCTGAGGATAGTGGCTTAGTTGGCTCTACGTCCGTCTGCTCGCCAGCAGCTGCATCGAAGTCACCAGGCTCGGTCGGTAACTGGGTGTCCGCTGTGGATATGGACGAATCGTCAGAGTCTTCTGGTGATGGGCTTGAAGTGCGCTTCATCAGGTGGCGACCGAAATTGATGATGCGCGGGAAGAGAAGGATGAGAAAGATGCTTCGCATAAAGGCAAATTCGGACATGAGCCACCCATTGTCGGCCTGGTCAAAGTCGAATGCTGCGGTGGCGTACATCTGGATCAGCAGAGGTGCGTAATCCGTTGCAAGCTGGAGAGGATCTAGTCAGTCCTGAAGACACATTATATGAAATGATGGGCTTGCTACGTACGACTCCGAGGAATATGCCGGCGCAGAGAATCACAACGCCGTAATGCTTCTTGATACCGCCGTTGGCTAAGCGCATGCGCTGCGGCACGAGAATTTTGAGCGGCGCGAAGAAGCCTGCAATGCCTTGCCGGCCTGGCTTCTTATTGCTCATGGACTCTGGAGAGATGTACGGGATTCCAAAGCGGACGTACACGCAGGCGATGAGAAACGTGATGCAGGCGACATCGAAAGGGGCGCGAATATCGATGGCATCACCAATCATTCCACCGGCTGTGCATTCAACCTATTAGTTGGGCAAACTACCAAGAATAAACAGAGACTATTCATACCCAAGTATCCAATACTTTGCCCAAGCATGATGCTTCCCTGTAGTTTACCAAAGACAACGGTACGCCGAGATGGCTCAACGAGCTCACTAGCGATGATGTTGGTGACGAGAATGTACCCTGCTGGCCCGCCAACAATGGTGAAGAGCTGGGTACTTTGGATAATCAGCATGCCTGTCCGTTTGCCGGCGATGACTCCAAGAATCTGTGCAAGGACTCGAATAGCAGGCACAAAGGTCTGGATCATGAGAGCAGCACGAGGGCCAATCTTCTTGACCGTCCATCCTGCGAGAAATAGATTGAGAGTTCCTGAGTGTCACACATGCATGCGTGCCTATTGTCAATATTACATGTACTCATGAAAATAACGATTGCGGATATGATAATCTGGTATGACAGTTAGGATTACTCACCGCATAGTGTCGTACTCATTCCCAGAATACTAAACTGTGCTGCGGTCCCAGCAGCGATTTCGTCGCGGCTGCATCGCTGGCCGGGACCTTCAAAGGGAGGATGATGGTCGTAATACTCGTCGCACACCATGAGATGGAAAACATACATGAGCCTATTCGAGTCGAATGTTAGCTTTGGCTAATATGCACTATCTATACAGATGGGCATTGCGACTCACGGGACTTGTGTGTAACTAAAGGCGACACATATTAGAAACCCAGCTGCTAGGATGCGGTTCTCGACATTAGTGAAGATGCCTCTGACCGACGCTCCAAAGCCCTTCTTTTGACTGGCCAAAGGCGAGGCCTTGCGGCCCGGGAGCAGCGGCGTAGTTTCATCCGTTGCCATTCTGAGCCAGCAGCACCTTTTGAGCCTTTTGATTTCTCCGGCTCTGCTTTGTCGCGTGCGCGGTGTAGAATGAAGCAATGGATTGGAAAGACGGCGTCTCTGGCCCGTTTCGCTCAGTGAACGGCAGCCGGCTTGTCGGTGGATCACTGATATCGCAAATGGCGAATAGAAGCTGCTGATTGCGCGAATCCCCGCCGAGTCGGAAAGCTGAGCGCTTGGAATGGCAGCTTTTTCGGCAGATAGTGGGCCTTAGCAGCGGGGATGGGTTCGTTCCCAGCAATTACCAATGCATATGCAGAGGCAAGGGAGAGAGTGAGGAAGCGGCATCGCTCTTAGTCAGACGAGGTAATGGCTGTGTATTTTTACCCTGTTAGTAATAATGGCCAGACGCCGGGTTTTAAAGTAGCAAGTTTTCTTCTACAAGGCACAACTCAATAAAGGTATATCTGCCTTTTACTTATACACTGTCCTTCATAGAATGGTTGCGGGTTGGTACTTTATGAATATGTTATTTCGTACATCATCTCATGAATCTTCACGCGTTGCAAGACTTCTCTATTCAACATCTAGTGAAATGTTAAAAGTACTGCTTGCGAGTGCCGTACCATAATAGAAATGTCTCCCTTGCTATTAGGGCGAAGTGCGCTCTCGTACTGTTTCGCCACCCTCACAGGCTTTCCCTCAGCCAGGTCATAATCGTAACTAATCCCAGCGACAGTGATATTTGTTTCCGATAGTGCACCTGGAGCAGTCATCAGCTCGACAGTAGCATAATTGACTCCGCTTCGGCTAGTGTTAAGAGTAAAGGCCGTGCTTGGTGCTGCTTCGGCTTCGGCTTCGGCTTGACTATTGCTTGGAGGGTTCCATTCGTTAAGATTTAGAGGACAACTCGCGCTAGTCGTCCTTCTAAGTATGCTGCGTATGCAGAGTAAAAATCACTGTTTAGATCAATGTTGTTGATTCTCGTGTTGGGGTTGCTTCCGATGAATTTTGAAACCATAACATGCCCGTAGTAAGGAGGGTTGGCCGATGGCCTTGTGCCGTTCTGAGAAATGGGCATCCAAGCGCCATACGGTAAGCGGTTCCCTGATGCAGGTGCATGCGGTTCACTCCCTGCCAGATTGCATTAAAAATATTATCTTAAAAATAAAGATTAAGGTGACTCACGAAAGACGCATAATAGAGCTCATAGTCAAGAATGAATAAGGCGGATCCAAATACATTAGAAACTCCAAAAGCCCCTTGACCGGAGACGCTGTTGGTCTCTCCAAGAGTATAAACACGACCAGCGCCGTGATTTAAGTTGCAGAGAGATTGATGAACAGTCCCATTTATCACTACGCTTGTGTGATTCATGAGAGTGCCTGCTATATTGTTAGTATCTTGGCTCATAGAGAACACAATAGTCTTATCTTGCAGAGACGGATTCTGCGACGTTGACGATATGTACCTATGTCTCCAATTTTGCAAACAAATCTCCTCTGAGCAAGCTTTGGCTGCAGCCTACCCGTGCTGGGATACTTCTGAGATCCATCCATCTCGAGTAAGGCGTCGTGATATTATAACAACAAGTTGAAGGAGCGTAAAAACGTAATGACTTGGCCGGTGTTTGAATGTTTTGCGAACGGTAAACCCACTCATTGACCCAATCCTCTTGAGTCCATGTTGGAGGCTGGAATCCAGACAGAGCGCCGTAATCATTCTCGTTGCCTATTTCGAATAGGTGCAGTCGCTCAGGCGGAATCTGCAGCAAGGACTGCGCTACCTCTCCCCCAAGGTTATCAAGAAATGTAGAATCATTTTTGTAAAAGTTTAGCCCAAAAATATATTTTGTCCCTTCAATGGCCGTAAGGGCCTCCCAAAAAGTTGGGCCAATAGAAGTATTGCGTGGCTGGTCCGAATTGTACGACGGATCCCTGAAATTGATGATTTGCTCTTGTTGGTCAGGAAAATACGTGACATGATCCCTGGGTTCCTTTATTAATAACCAGCTGCTGATGTAAGTGATGGACACGCACTGAGTATTTCCCCCAATGCGAAGAATCTGAGGAACATCTCCATTAAAGGCTCTTAGATTGGCCAAGAGATTATTGGTGAATTTATTCGGACGAGATTTATTTCCTGAGAGGAACAATGAGTACTTTTGCTGAGCCGCGAGTAAATCATACTTTACCTTGGAAATCAACAAGGAATGCAAATTCAATGGAAAATGACTGGAAATCAAGCGAGATTGGCGGACTTGATGATGCTGGTGCTGATCTGGCGATATCTAGGTGGACTGTTTCGCTTGCGGCGAGGGCGATGAGAGTCGCGGTTGACGATGCTGCCAAAGTCCGAACCATTTTGCAATTGTCAAATTAGCCAAATGTACATGTACCTAAATAAACTGGACGCGCTTTATATTCTTATACACCCTCATCACAATGCTAGACTAGTGTGCATTGGAGAGTGACCTTGTGGATATATGGTACGTTGATATTGAGAAGAGTATCAGATTGACGTCATTCTGGCTTCTATATCTTGCCAATGACAACAAATCTAGAAAATGGAAGGTTAATTAGCCTAAACAATACGCTTCAATTGAGGTAAGTTGTTGATTCCTGTTTCGACTGAATCCCCACGACGGGTCGCGGCAAGGTTACATCCCGACGGATCGGAAAACAGAGATCTGAAGTGTCTAAATGAATATTGACTCTAGCCTATATGTGGCGCTTGACAGGTTTAATCCCTCTCTTTTGTAAGTGCAATAACCCAAGAATTTCTCTAGTATATGATCGGTAAGTATGATGTAGTTTGTCCCATTTATCGCTACTCTAAATACTTAAATCTCTCTTTCATCCTTCTTAAAATTGTACGTGAGGTCCTACCCCCCAGATCATCGCTTTAAGAAAGTACAATTAATGGTATAAGTTATAGAAAAACCACGGGTAAAAAAATAGGTAGCTAGTATAGCGAGACGCCGTAAAGGAAGAGAAATTTTGCACAAGTGAGTCGTTTTGAGTATATTACGCTATGTAACATAGTATACTTACTCTTTCTTTCGTGGTAGCTTGCATTTAAGCGCACTGATCTATCTTTGGACCCTGTATTCGTTGCGTTGTTCATGAATCGATGTAATAGGCATATATAATAGCCTGCTCTTAACGAAAATACGGCTTACAGACCGGCTTGACCACTTCCCATCCCTTGTCAAAGGCCGCAATGAGTTCATCTGGAAGTGGCCCCTTTTGCAAGCTTGTCAAGTTCTCCTTTAGCTGCTGAACACTGCTTGCCCCAATAATCACAGCGTCACCATATTGATTCTGCATTAAGCTGTGGTGAAGAGACCATCTAAGGGCCGCCTCAACGGTGCTGATGCCGAGCTTAGCAGCCGCTGGCCTCACAATATCCAGGGCCTTGAAATAAGTCTCATTCCAGTATCTCTCTCGGTAATTAGCACCCTGCTGATGTGAAGGATCAAATCGACTGCCTTGCTCGTGTTCTTTATAATCCAGTTTATACTTGTCAGTGAGCATTCCTCCTGCCAAGGGGTTAAATTGGTAAAACGCGATGCCATAATATCTCAGACAAGGGAACAGCTCTGGTTCTACGCCTCGGTGGAGGGCATTGTACACGCCTTGGTAGACATCGGGCTTCTTCCAACCATTACGAATGCAAAGTTCGCTTATCTGAGCTGTTTCCCAGGCTGAGTAGTTGCTAATCCCCAACCGTTTGAAGTAGCCTTCTTCGTATAACTTGTTGACCTCGCGAAGAGTATCCTCGTACGGTGTATTATGATCAGGCGCATGTAGGTACCACATATCAACCTAATCAACGTTTAGTTCGAAAACGGTATACCTGACAACATACATGTCATATCCATGTCCCCTATCAACTTACATTTTCAGCTCCGAGAGCCTTCATGCTCTCCAAGAGGCCTTGTCGAATACCTGCCGGCGTATGGTTGTACTTGCCGCCAGCAGGTGACAGTTTGGTATCCATGACAATGCCTCTCTTTTGCCAATCTAGTTGTCTAAGGAACTCTTCAGAGCTCCCTCCGCCGTACACTCGGGCTGTGTCGACCTCTGAGTGGCCAAACCCTTGAAATACATCTAAGATTTCTGCACATTCCTCCAAGGTATGAATTCGAGCTTGATCAGCGCCTTGAAGTTTGCAATTAGCATACATAACGCTCTTCATAGGCTGGATTTACAAACCTTTCTCTCCGAGGGTCATAGCCCCAAAGACTATTTTTAGTGCCGAGTTAGAATGTGAACCCATCTTTTGTTACACTTTCTCAGTCCTATATCTCCTCTAAGTGAAATGATATAATTTGTATATATGTCTAATTATTGAAATTTATCACCAACAGCATAACCACCACGTCGCGAAATTTGTCCTAGATATACCAATACTTCTGGTTATGATATACGGCGGGGTAAATACGAAATGCTTAACCCCGCAATTCAGAATGGTGCCATAGGAATTAGCACGATGAAAACAGGGGGATGGGGCAAAATTCGGGCCATGAGCGGTAATAAAATCCATTTGCGCCATTTATTGGTGGAAAATTGACCATTTGACCAATATTTCGCGTAGAGAGTGGAATTTTTGCGCTGCTATCTTAACAGTTGAACTATACCTGGAGCTATAAAGATATTCACAAGCGGAAAGGCACTTCTGGAGGCTGTACTGATGGTATTCAATGTATTTCGGAGAGTACTGAAGAAAAGAATGTGCTAATTGCGATGAGTCTGTAACTATTTCATATATAACGTAACTATAAGTCTATTGGATTACACTGATAACAATTATCTATCTGTTGTAGTAATATCTTATCAAGATAACTGGCTGTCTAATTTATCTTTTGGGTCGGGGTCGGGTAATTCATTTAGCGCACTTGGACGTGTACTAATGGACAGGTAATTTAAATGCGGCCATTCACTTTGTACTTTCTTGTCCAAGTACTTGGTTAGAAATTTATATAAAAAGTAAATGGAATTTAAGAGACGCCTCATAACGCGTGGAACTGACTGGAGTCCACTGCTACTGCAAGGGATTGATATACCAAAGCTGCTGCTGGGCTGTTGCCTTTAAGTATAAAATTATATGTAGACGTGTATTCTCTCATGTTATACAAGACTGAGAAGCGTATATCACGAATTTGGGATATCTTTTAAATCCATGCTTCGTTAAAGAAAGTTCCCATAGCAAGTTTTGCAAGTACACATGTACTGCTTGTGGGAATCGTTGCTGTGGCGCTCGTATTTATAAAATCCGGCTCAGCGGGCAGACCTAAACCGGTAATTATGGCTGTTCTGAGGTGAGCTACCTGTTAGCGTGGCGTCTCAGGGCATCAATGGTAGAGCCGCTTTGGACGGTTTTAATTTGCAAAACCTTTCTGTATGTCAACTGGTAGACTAATTATTAATAGCAACTTCTATCAGACGAGAATTTAGAATTCAGTGATAGCTTTTACTGGTAAACTCCGATCCATGTAAACTCGGAATCGCCCCGCTATATATCCGCCTGATAGTTTCGATTTGTCTGAAAAGACAATTCTCAAGACAGTAATTAATAACTATTATATGTCTAGTCGCGTTTGCTATTTAAGGAGCATTATAAATTGAATACTCTGTTGTCTGAATATACATTAATGATGGCTAATAATTTAGGGCTCTTGGAGCATCATACCTCTCTACAGCGAATTAATAATGCGATCCCTGAATACAGTCTGTTTATTCCTAACGAGCGAGCTTTATATAAAGAAGGATCGTTTTGCGAATTAGAGTGATAAAGTCGCACGTTCTATCAAAAACTTCATCTATAAACATTATCCAAGTCTAATCTCACAGATATTTGCATATTAATTGACGGCGTCTCATTTATATCACGGCGCACCAAGATGGCAGACAAAATCCCCAAAGCTGTATACCAGTGGAACGTCACTGAGGGAGAAGGTTTTGAATCTTTAAAATACTCCAAGCAACCCCTTTCTCAGTTAGGGGACAGCCAAGTACTTGTGAAATGTAAGCTTTACTATAAAGATCCCACTTATATGCATGCCACATCCTAACCAATTCATACAGTGGAAGCGGCATCACTCAACGTGAGTTAATACACACTAACAATGTGACTATTACCACTAACTAGAGGATTTATTTCCTAGTATCGCGATCTTATGATAATACAAGGGTTAACCGCACACATGGTTGGCCCGAACCCGAACGTCATCCCAGGCTCGGATGGGGCTGGAACTGTCGTCGCAGTTGGGAAGCATGTCCGTCGCTTCACACCAGGCGATAGAGTTGTCACGGCATTCTTCCAAGACTACGTAGGCGGGCGCTTCCAGCCTAATATGGCTGCTTCGATGCTTGGAGGCACCCTTGATGGTACACTTCGCACTTATGGAGCGTTCAATGAGCAGGGACTGGCACGAATCCCATCGAATTTGAGCTTTCTTGAAGCCTCAACGCTGAGTTGTGCTGGATTAACCGCCTGGAGTGCTCTCTTCGGGCTGTCTGATTACAAATTGAACGCTGGCCAATGGGTACTGACTCAAGGCACCGGAGGAGTCAGCGTATTTGCGCTGCAGTTTGCCAAAGCAGTCGGCGCAAGAGTCATTGCAACTACGGGTTCCAGCGACAAGGTGAAGTTTTTGAAGGATCTTGGAGCTGATCACGTTATAAACTATAAAGAGGACTCCGAATGGGGCGCTACGGCCAAAACGTTGACGGGAGGTGTTGGCGTTGACCAAGTTGTGGAAGTTGCTGGTCCGGTGTCCATGGCGCAGAGCTTGAAGGCTACCAAGGTAGAGGGTGTCATCAATATTGTTGGCTATCTGGGAGGTGTTGAAGGCAACCAACCTAGCTTCTCGGACAGTTTCGCGCACAGGTGTATAGTACGGCCTATTGCTGTAGGATCAAGAATCTTGCTGGAAGATTTGTGTCGCTTGTCGAGGCCAATCCGGAGAAGCTTCGACCGGTGATTGACCCCAAGACGTTTCGTCTGGATCAACTCAAGGAAGCATGTGAGTATCAGTGGTCGGGGCAACACAAAGGAAAGGTTTGCATTGAGATGCCTTAAGATGGAAATGAGATTCAGAGGGCATCTGGAAGTGGTGGAACGGCGTGGAGATTGGAATTACCTACATGTATCTTCATGTCATAACGCCCTATGTAATTACTTATGCAGTGGTTTACTGCACGAGGCATTATTTATGTTCACACACACATCTAGACACCTCTTGTATAGATACTAGGCACTCCATAATACCATGTACGAATACGCTGCCACATCCTCTCGATAAGGACCTCGTGATAAATTGTGCGTGATTCGCTAGCTACTATATGCGATATATTAATTGTATCCAAGGTGGCGTCATTAGTCCACTAAGGTCCATTAACCCCGCCCTCTCTGTGCGACCCCTCCTTACTTTCGCTCCCAGGCGCCGGTGATACTGCCAGGCTGCAGGTTAGCCTTCATGTTTGTGAAGTTGACCACGTCGCCGATGACAATCTTTGACGCCTCGTGCGCAAGCGCCGCTTCGGCCTGGCCTTCATTTTCCCAGTTCAAGACGGCGACCACGTGGAATGGGGCATCAGGGCCGAACTGGAGGACCTGCCAGCTCTTGAGGCCGAGAGGCGTCCACTGCTCGTTCGCGATGGGCATGTGTTTGTTGATGTAGTAATCCATGTCGAAGTACTCGCCCTCCTTGGGCTGGTTGTAGAAAACTGTGACGTTGGAAGGCATTGTGTCGGTCTTTGCTGTGCACGAGGTATTTAGCTTGGGTCTCGTAGTATCCTATTGTTGGGCCAGTTCGTACTTTAAGATTGAGTTGCTGGTCAAAAGCTGGATCTGCGAGTTGACTGATGGCGTTGAGGCTGGACTGTCTGTTGGATGAATACCTAGGTATTTATTTATCCGCCGAGAGCTTTCCGAGGATGCGGCTTTGTGCCGCGCCGGGTGGGGCTTCGGACTAATGACTTGATGTGTCGGCGGGCTTACGAGACATTTACTGCATTCCACCAGCTGCCCAGACTCATTGCCTTTTGTCCGAGTGCTGTTGAGCTTCCATGCATGAGATTGCAAGAGGAGAAGAAGACCTGGGGAAGGATTTGGGAGGATCGCTGCAGGAATCGATATTTGCAACAAATGTATAAAATCTTGCTCGGTAGTATCTGACCTGGATGCTCTGGACATCGCTTTTCTTCTACGCTCAATATTTACAATGTATAAGCCGCATTGCGCCTTAAGAGGAAATTCAGCTTTCAGATTACCAATCACCTTCCCAGGGAAGATGGCTGAGAGTTAGATCAAATGAAGTATTATAAATCAACATTCTTTGAAGTTTAGTCTCTGAGGGAACTTCAAACCCCCCTTACGCTCCCACAGATATTGCAAGCAGATGCCGAAACCTGGCAGTTTGCAACGTAGCCTTTCAGTGTTACCAACATAGTTGTATGCACTTGTTACATGCCGGGTATGCAAAGCCTAGTAGGAATAACCATACCAGTTCCCTCAGCACATGATTCAAACCAAAAACGTGGCCGCAGAGGAGACATTAATAATACGCTTAGATGGATAGCTGGTGATTTTTGATCTTTGGTACGCATGCACGTGTGTCTCTCCCTCTGCTGCACACACACACATAGCAAAAACGAGCCGAATTGCTAGTTATATTGCTAATGAAGTTGTAGGATCTCCTCCCTCCGCGATAAACAAGATTGGCCAGGTTGGCTTCTTCATGCATTCGTCACAAATAGTGTCGCACGATACTGCGGGGAGCTGCCCATAGCTGCTATTAGCGCTGGCCTTATGGCCCAAAAACAGCAAAAAAAAGTGCCATTACGAGGAGTCGAACCTCGGTCTTCAGTGGTTTGTAGTAATACCACAAACTGATGTCTTAACCGTTGGACCATAATAGCTAGCACTTGATGATGCTACGGTCGGCAATTAGTTACCATATGAAAGTATGATAGCGCGTGAGAAACAATTCGCACCATGTCCCAAAGAAAGCAGCCAGATCTTGCTCGTGATTCGGAAATTTTCAAGCATCCCATCCCATCTCATTTTATTTTTCTTTATTTGATCATTCGCCTCCTGATTTCATGTCCCGCGCTGCTGGTTGTGAGATGCGCTGGTGCAAAGAACCTGGCATTAAATCACTTGGTTATGAGGCCAAGCGATATGATACAGTCAGTGCGCATCATGTTAAACTTCCTGCGTGTAGGCATGTAACACACACGTTTTTTTATCTGTTCTCTTTAATATAGAGCGCTGCCAATAAAGTATTTTCATCTTGCAAAAAATAGAATAAGGTGACGGGCTGGGCACAGGATATCCCTCGAATGGGCAATGATGGGCTTCCGAAATTCGTTCTACCATCAATAATGATGCTAAAATAGAGAAAACATATTGCCCATACGTCCCTTGTCCGACCTTTGCTGTGCCACAAACAGTCTTTTCCACCTTGGAATTTGCGGCGTGTATATCGGGCGCCGTCACAAGTCGGGGCTGTGATTCCACCACCATCCATTTTCGCGACAATTTTGAAGAGGCTCAACATCTTCATAAATCTAACTACGGTTACCGTTGGCGTAGCATAAGTCGCTCGTGTAGTCACTACGCCCTCCAGTGCAATTATTCGTGCGGCTATCTTTGCCAAATTTACGAACCTGCCTCCATTTCCAGATGCTACGATCGCCAAACTCCTAAGCTTCACCGCATATCGGCGCAGAGAATAGCAAACCAAAAAAAAAAAAAAAAAAACCACCTGCTATTTTAGAAAGGAACTTTCGCAAATGATACAATTGTTTCCCTCTATTGTCAGCACGAGCTTTCCTCTCCTAGTCGACTCCGACTGCCAAGGACCAACGACAGTGGCTAACAAAAATAAGATTAGCCAATAATTTAAGCTTATATGTCTATTCTCCGTTCTCCGTTCTCCGCCCAAGCTGATCTACTGCTCTTGGCCCGAATGTCACCTCACTTATCAAGGAAAATGCTATAATAGCGAGGGCATTAGGTTCGACCGCGGCCTCTCATTGCCGGATCGGGAAGCTCCATAAGCTCCCAGATAAGTCGCCATACCGCAATACAAATGAGATGATTGGTTGCTACCGCTTTCTGATATGGCAAGTGGCAGTGAATCTATGCCTAGAGAATATGGCTAGTTCTCAATACGAGCCTTCCTGCGTGTATCTCTTGCGACGCCTCTTGCAGTGAAAGCATAAAATGGGTTACTGGCCCGTTCATACTGGACGCTTTTGACTGCATGTAAGAATATCTATCAGACTTATCGACTTGAGCAAATCTTGGAAAAAAAATAAAAATGATTACCAAAATTGCCATACCTCTACTTGTGGCAACTTACCCGCTTGCTCTCTCCGCGCCTCTGGCTAGCAGTGACTCAGGGCTCCGCCTCATCAAGACCTCTGAGGCTGACGTAGGCCAATGGGTAACTGAACAAGAGAAATTCGACAGATTCATCTCAAAGAATATAGGATTCATCGATATCACGGACATTAAGGTGGGTATCTCGAAATATGATTCACCATCGATTGAATACTATGGCCAGCTCTTTTAATAAAGTCAGCATACAGGACGACGAAGTGTTATCTATTCTATCCATCCCATCTTCAGAAGCCTCCATCTCCACTCGGGCGGTTACCTATCCAACTAGAGTCGAGCATGTAGACGAGGCAAAGTCGCTCATCGCGAACGTGTCTATCAGTGGCCCACAGAGCTGGCTAACCACGTTTACGCAGTGCGTACTGCACTAGTGCTGGTTATTTTGTTGCGTGGTGATGTTAACTGTAAACTAGATTTACAACGCGACACTACCGTTCGACTACTGGCACTCAAGCCTCAGCCTGGCTATTCGATCAAATCTCCAGCATCGCATCTGTGAGGCCCGAAATCATTGTGCAGAGATTCACTCACACATGGAACCAGCCCTCTATTATTGCTCGCCTACCCGGTCAAAGCTCCAATTTAAGTAAGTTCGCTGCCTTTGTAAAATTGGATACCGTTATGCCGCTGACGGACTTTAAGTTATTGTGGGAGCCCACATGGACTCTACCGCTGGCTCTACTACGGCCCGCAGTCCTGGTGCAGATGATAATGGCTCAGGATCTGTTACTATATTGGAGGCCTTACGTGTCATTGCCAATTCAGATTTTACTCCTAAAAACACCATTGAGTTTCACTGGTACAGTGGTGAGGAGGGAGGGCTCCTAGGTTCTCAGGCGATCTTTTCAAATTATAAATCCACCAAAAAGAGTGTGCTCGCCATGCTCAATCAAGATATGACTGGATATTCGCCGAGTAACCAGCTAGCTGTATATACTGACAACGTAGATGCGTCCTTGACTCAGTATGTTAGAGTAATTGCTACTCAGTACACAGGTGCTGCTCCTCTGACCACTCGATGTGGTTATGGCTGCTCCGATCACGCCAGCGCTCGATCCAACGGTTTCCGTCAGTTACGTCCCAGCCTTGAGAAGACGGTGATTTTACTTACTCTGGTTAATAGCATCTGCTTTCGTCAATGAAGACACATTCGAAAAGTCTAACCCCAACATTCATACTGCTGCAGATGTAAGGTCCACCGTGGAATTTGTTTAGCTCTGACTTACATATTCATAGTCTCTTGAGAAGATTCAGTGGCCAGCTATTCTTCGACATGCCAAATTTACAGTCGGGTTCATCGTGGAGGCATCTTACATTTAAATTATTTTACGGCTGGCTTCACGACCAATACGCGCTGACCATCCCCCCCAATGGTTGTTTTAGATGCGATTATTCTAGAAAATTAGTGAATAATTACATCTACTTGTCATTTGCATTCACTTATCGCCACTGAAAAGAAGCATCACAAAATACATGCCACTAATATTGCTTATCCAGATTACCTCGCTTCCATTAACGCCAGTTTACAAAATGTAATTACTGTACTTGTTTAAAAATAAGTATATGCTTTTATTTAAATTAGTGTTATTATCTTCTAGTATTTGCTTGCTTGTACTATATAGCCGCTTTTAATGGCTGTATGTCTCAGTGTGGATTATAAAAATTGAGTGCCATATCCTGTATCTGGCCCTCTCTGCACATCGACGGCTTGTGGTTTTCCGTAAGAATAGCCATTTGTGAATGTTCCCTCATACGTCGGATATGGAATTCCTTTCCACATTTTTTGAATCTTCTTTGCCGCTTCCAAAAAGTTCTTTCGAATCTTAGGATATTCGCCATTTACCAATTTTTTATCCTTCTTGACAAATTTGCCATCGATCAGTACGTGCAAAATGTCTCCAATATTAGCGTGTAAAATAATTGCTGCAACGGGATCTTCCCATCCCAGCATTGAAGGCGAATTTTCTGCATCCCAGACTACCAAATCAGCTTTGGCGCCGACTTTGATAACACCAAGATCTGGGCGCCGAAGAGCTAGTCCTCCAGACCGAGTGGCTAGCAAAAATGCCTGGTTGACGCTCATAGGGTTATATGTCGGCACATTCCAGTTCTCCAAGACTTGGTTATAGAAGTAATGCCTTGCGGATTGAAGCCACATACGAGCCTGCGTCAAGATATCTGAGGAATAGGTAAAATGTGTATCAATCCCCAGTGCTGCTTGGTCCTGCGCATAGTACGAGTGAGGATGACCATGGCCGTACTGCATCTCTGACTCCGCCGTGATGGAGATGTATTGGTTGGTGGAACGAAGGAGCTGTAAATCATCTGCGGTTATGAAACTCGAATGCGAGAAGACGACTGGGATAGATCCGTCCAAAAGATCAAATCGTTGAACTTGGGATGCAAGGTTGCTAAATCCCCATGGTCCAGCAAGAGAGTGTGTTGTCACAACCGAGACATTAAACTCCTTGGCAAGATCTGCAACAGTCTGGGCTTCGTTGACATCTGGGTTCGGTCCCCAGTAGTCATATGCGATGCCTAGTTCAGCAGGAGAATTACCCAGCAGCGCCTTTTTATTTTCGGCCATCTCCCGAAAGAGTGGGAACTGATCCTCTGCCGTGTAGTTCAGCGATGTTATATTGTGAAAAGTAAAGGCCCAGAAAACTCTAGCTCCGCTATCGACGGATGCATTGAGTCCGGCGTAAGATGTATCCGCTGACCAAGTGTGTGAGGCGTGATCAAGAATTGTTGTCACTCCGCCATTCATGGCTTCATAGATGCCAGCAAGCTGGCTAATGTACACATCGTCTGCTGTGAACTTGTCTGCTGAAAAATACTCTCCGTAACGATTGAAGTATTCGGTAAGCGATGTATTTGATCCAATGGTTTTAAAGACAGTTTGCCACCCATGGCGATGAGTGTCAATGAATCCAGGAGTTAAGATCTGATTTGATATGTCCACAACCGTTGTGCCAGACGGCAAATTGGATGGTAGTGGATCTGTATTCACATTGGCGATACGATCGTTCGTGATTAATACAGAACCATTTTGGATTATACGTAAATAGTTCTCATTGTCGTCCCATGCAATGATTGTGCCGCCTGAGAGCAACGTTGATGCGGCGTGAACGATGTTTGAGAGCCCAAGAGCTCCCAAAAGCAATTGGCAGCGGTGCATTGGGAATAGAGAAAGCTGCGACTGTTATAAGCAAATGATAAATATTGAAGCCTACGTGTTACAGTAATTCTACAGAGAGTTGGCCGTTTATTTATACAGCGCACCACGTCTCGCGTCACCAGGAATTTTCTCGCGAGGCTCATTGGAGCCCATTGTGTGGAACCTTTAAATAGGAGGCACAAGGCATACGTTAGCTTGCTTTCAATCAATTGGTCCTGTCTTGACGAACCCTTCATTGTGAGGCATCTGCGCGAAACTCGAAGTTCTGCCAACTCGCATGGCCCGCGTTGTCCGCGATTGCCACTTATACGCCGAACGCATACAAATGTAACCTCGCACATGGATTGCGTGGAACCGTTCGTTCATTCGGCAAATTGCGGACCAATGGCTTGGGAGACATTTGGTTGTTGGCTCGCCATTTACATAATTCTTGGTCATCCTTGCTGCCCACATATGTGGACCTGTTGGAGCCTCGGTTGCGAGTATACGCAAATGGATGTTGATAAATCTGTATTATAGGGAGGAGTGTGACGAAATATCTGCCGATGCGCCAAGTGAAATAGTAACGAGGCTTGCCAGGCTGAATTGGATCATATCGTTCATCACCGACGCTATCGGTGACCCGTCCCTGTAGATATCCTGATGCAATCTAGCCACACCGCTGGTGTCTTCATTGTAAGAGATCGTGTGTGCATTAATGCTCATCCCTCTTATCCCTCATTCCTACATCGTTGTGCAGTCGAAAAATATCTCCAGAGACCGAAAAGCTAATTTTGCCAATCTAAACCTGATGGTGAATGATGCATGGAGCTGGAGTTAAATACTGTCATCGCACCGCTGGTCACCGTCATAATCGAGAGACCGGCCAGCTGTTGAAGCTACCTGGTATCAGTGTTCGTCATGGTTGACAAATGAGCCCTACACAGTTACAGGAACAGTGGCTAAAGAATTTTCCGAGCCGCCGCTAAAGCGGTATAAAGGCATAAGCCACTGCCGTCTAGCTGTAGTAACCTATATGTAAGCTTAATTAACAGGCCTATGGCGATGGCTCTTTTCAACTATAGTAGCTGCTGATTTCCCGTCCCGTCCAGTAAGCTAAGATATGCTGAGATTACATTAACCATATCTATTTCGCACATTCTCGAGAAAAATATCTTTATAATTCTTCAATCGATGGGAGTGGATAACGCTATGTCGCTTTCAAGCCAGAAGTTACAACAGAAGCACATATTCGCTATACTTCACATCACGACTATAATGAATAGAGAGATCTGCTACCAAGTATCTAGTTCTACTGTAGCATCGATCGCCGCTATATAATAATTCGGTGACCGATTAAAAAAAAAAAAAAAAAAAAAAAAAAAAAGAAAGTTAAATCTCGCCAAGCCAAAGTGTTCGCCAGAGCTTACAAGGCTCCCAACCCTGCAGTAGGAGGCGAAGAGCCTAAGACTCTAGCCAAGTGAGAACTACAACTCAATAATGCGAGACAAACTTGCAAGCTGAAATGCATCGCTATATATGCGAGAGGCAGACTCCTCACTTGAGCTGATAGCCTGACCATGGAACAGGCGCAATAAGACGGATCTTACTGTAATCAAATATGTAACTATGCAATAACAAGTTGAATTATCAACATATCACGGCATAGAAGCTTCACAGCATCTTCAAAGTTGAATGCTATGATAGTTTTGCTTTGTAGTTTCCATCTTATCGGCCATATGCGGGTCTTGGCCGTGCGACCTTTGGTATCTCTTAAAACACACTGCTGTTAAAAAAGGATCTTGAAGTGATTAAAAGCTGTATAGCTCCTCTAGCTTGCAAAGCTGTGGGATGACGTGGTATGAATTTTGATGGCATGCTAAATGTAAGACCGAATGATTTTACATCTTTCTCTTTAGTCCATTAACTATTCGGTTTGTTAGACGCAAAGTGACATTGCCCTGAGAATACAAGCGCTGAAGTAACTTAAATTGAAAAAAATTTCTCCGTGCATATGCCTTTTAGTCGGCAAGTCCGCGAGCCGCATGAGCTGCTGTATTGAAGTCTTTAATAATTGAACTATATGTGGAGATATAGTTATGACATTGTTCTTTATAATGAAGCGGCATATACGAATAACCTACAGCCCATTTAAGACTCGCATCATCATCAAGCCACGGCTTCTTTACTGTCAGCTACCTGTCAACATAGCATAAGCGTGGGGGGCGTTTCATTACTAGTGGAACCTGGGCAATTTTCTTAGAGAGTGCAGAACGCTGCCTTATAGGGCGCTGGTCAAGGCTTAGCGGCAGAGCTGACTGTAGAATTACAAACGTAGGATCCACCTGTCAACTTTATACGCCCAGTGAATTGACCCTGGTAATAGTACAACGTATCTCCATTAGTAACGCCACTTAGACTCGATGGATTTGCTTACTGCGGCAAAAGAACTCAATGGTACAGGCAAATCTGGATTTTTCCCCTTCTTTTTTACTAGAGAATGGTAGATAGAGGCTTGACAAATTGCTCCGTAATGATGAAGGCATCTTCAGATGAGAAATTTCTAGGGCTGTATCCTTTATTTGACCTGTAGAGAATCAAGCTCAATGACAAGGGTATTGTAGTATATATATCAAGAAGAATCCAAGCAAACGATATCTCTTCTTTACACAAACTCAGTCTTAACTATCCAACTCAGGCATCGGAGCACTCATAAGTATAGTTTAGAAATCGCCGTATCAGCAACACCAATGAAGCTCTTCTCTATCTTCACCGTAGCAATCGCATCGATGTCTACAACCGCTGTGGGAAGCAGTAAGTACTATATGAATCTCAAATTTGGGTTGATACTGATATCTCTTTTCTTGCAATTATAGCGTATCCTTATGAGAGGCTTGACAAAGACAAGGCTGTATGTTAAAACCTCTCTTTATGACCAACTTCCACACTAATACTACTCAAAGGTTCTTCTTGTCGTTGATTTGCAAGTTGGCCTTTACAATGCTGTCCGAGACTTTGATCCGGTTACGTATAAGGAGAGCATTATTGGACATGCCGCCATTGGTCAACTGTTTGACCTACCAGTTATCTTGACGACTTCTGCAGAACAAGGTAAGATAATCCCCTTGCCTACCAAAATTCAGACCTAAGTAGATATCTACAGGACCAAATGGACCATTGCCAAAGGAAATTACGGACATGTATCCAAATGCAACTTATATCAAGCGCCAGGGTGAAGTTGACGCCTGGGACAATGAGGATTTCCGCAATGCTGTTAAAGCTACAAACAGGACTCAGATAATCATGGCTGGCATTGTGACAGATGTTTGTACTGCTCATCTAGCATTGTCTCTTCGTTCTGAAGGATACTCTGTGTGGGCCAATGCCGAAGCGTCGGGTAGCTCTTCTACATTTGTCCGCGACGTCTCTAACGATAGGATGAGACATGCAGGTGTGCAGGTCGTCAGTCTTTTCTCTATCATTTGCGATCTCATGAGGGACTGGCGTAATGTTCCTGGTGCCGCGGAAGTATTTCCTTATCTTGATAAGTATTTTCCTGTTTACGGCATGGTTGCTAGGGCTCATGCCGCTGCGACCACCAACGGAGTGGTTCAGCCAGGAGAGGGTGGCCTTATCTAAGCTGAATGCAAGTTGGATTTGTGGGAATAGACTGATAGGTTGCCATGGAATCGGGTGGTTTTGACGAAAATATGGATGCGTTTTGTTTTTGAGCAGATGTAGCTGCTGACCTTGGTATGGTTTTTTCCTGTATGGTTTTCCCATGCCTTCGTGCGAATGCAAAGGTTATTTCGTTTGGAATACTTGTTACTTTAGTTGCTCAATTTATTGTTATTGATATTCTATAGCTATTTCTCTTTTTAGTAGTCTATTCACCAGGCATACTGTGTTTCTTGTACATTATTTTGTTAAAGACTCTGTTGAAGTCATGGCTATCCACTTTTTCCTTCCGCTATTGGCCGACAGTGGCCATAAATTTATAACTGGTTACCTAAATTCTTATGTCATTCTCCTTGCGATGGTCTTAGACCATATGTCTTTACGAGTGATAAGAAGCACTGGCAGACATTGCCAAAAAAAATATCTACAATCGCGACGGGTGGTATATGGGGTACCAAGATCAATTAATATCACAATAGTGAGCTCAAATGACACTATGTACAGTTCATCCTATCATTATATTCTTAAGATCTCCTCGGCAACGTGCTGATCTTTGTAGCTTGACCAGTCAAAGTGAAATTGAACGTTTGTGGTCCATTGACGTCTAGAGTGAGGGTGTATGAACCGGGGTAAATCCATCTATCACCATTGGTATCTGCACGTGCCAATGATCCGAGGTTTACTTTCAAAGTCAATTGCTGGGTCCCTCCGACACCAACGCTCTTGACACGCCCATATGCAGCCAGTTGCTTATTGGGGTGTGGTGACGGACCTGCGTTTGTGGATGAGAGGAACAGGAGACCGACATAGTCGGACGCAAGATTTGCCTTGCCGCCGGTGTTGTGAACGTTCACAACGAGCGTCGCAAATACCGATGTATCTTTGACCGCTCCTGCGTTATTAACAATAGTTGCAACATCTGTGCCAACAGTGCTTGTAGATTGGAAGGACACAGAGAAGTTGGTATAGTGCAAACCGTAACCGAATGGAAGAACTGGCGTGCCAGTGTACCAGGCATATGTGCGTCCAGGAATGCCATTGCTTGGTCGCAGGTTCATATCTTGGATATTGTTGTTATTGATGTAACTAGCGGGGTACTGGGTAATAGGAAGTCTTCCAGCTGGCGGGTTTGCGCCGGTGAGAACATCAAAAATGGCATTGCCGCCATCCTGCCCTGGATATCCGGCCCACAGAATCGAGTTAACATTGGGGTTGCTTAGCAGGGAGCTGTCATCAATCTGGCCACCTCCAAACTGAACGATCACCAGAGGCTTGCCCAGGTTTGCCAACTGAGAGATCAGACTGAGCTGGTTTCCAGGCCAAGTGATTGAGCCGCGGTCAAAACCTTCGTTCTCTACAGTTATATCAATTCCGCCGAGGTAAACAATGACATCAGAAGAGCTTGCAGCAGAGAGAGCAGCACTAAATCCGCTAGTGTCTTGGGAGTTAATAGCAGTACCCTGAGCATACTTGACATTACCCCATTTCTGTTGGAAGACAGTCAAAGGGTTTACCAGGAATGGTGCCGTGCCGGCGTAGTTGCCCTGCATCTCGGTTGTGACGTCAACCCATGGGCCAATAACAGCGACATTGGAGAGGGTGCGAGAAAGTGGAAGAGTCCCGTCATTCTTCAACAATGTCATTCCTTCAGTGGCAGCATCGTGAGCAAGTGCCTGGGTTTGAGTGGTATTGACATTTGCCCAGCTCAGCGAAGCGTATTTGGCTGGCTGATCAAAATATCCGACCTTGATCAGCGCCGAATATAAACGGACCAATGACTGGTTCAGAGCAGCTTCCGACGTCAAAGAGGCCTCTACCGAGGCGTTCAAGACGTTATAAGAGCTACCGCAGTCGAGATCGGTACCAGCATTCAGACTCAAGGCAGCAGCTTCAGTCAGGTTGCTGGCGTAGTTGTGGGGATCAAAAACGTTCTCAACAGCATCGCAGTCAGAAACGACATAGTTGAAGTCTTCAGTAAACCCAAAGCCATCTCGTAGGACATCTTGCAGGAGGTACTCGCTCGCGCAAGCTGGAACGCCATCGACAGCGTTATACGCGCACATGACAGAGGCGACCTTTGCGTCACGAACGCAAGTCTCAAACATTGGCAGATAGTAGTCAGCCATATCTTGCTGAGTGGGATTAAGATTGTTGCCCGTTCGGCCATTTTCAACGTCGTAGGCCGCAAAATGTTTGCAGGTTGCGATTATCCTGAGGAAATCAGGGTTGATTCCTCCTTGAAGACCACTAATCAGTGCCAGGACATAGCCTTGGATGCGGAAGGCATCTTCTCCTGGAGTCTCCATGCCTCGACCCCATCGCGGATCTCGGAATGGGTTGATATTTGGCGTCCAAAAGTCAAGTCCAGCAAATCCGAAATTTGCAAAGGCACGCGCTTCCGTACTGATGGCGGTGGCAACGCTTTGGACTAGAGCATCGTCAAAGGCAGCAGAGAGGAGAATGGGCATGGGAAAACTGGTTGCAGCACTAAAGTTGGCACCAAGAGGCGACTGAAACTGGACACCAGTACTGCCAGCAACTCCGTGGAGTGCTTCATTCTGCCATTGGTATGCGGGCAAACCGAGTCTTGCACTGCCGGAAGCAGAACTGCCAACGTTGGAAACCTTCTCATCAAGTGTCATAGGCTTCACAATCGCAGCGGCTCTGTCAGCCATGCTAAGAGTGGTATCGCAGATATCATTGCTGCACAGTGGATCACGAGTACAGTCCGGGAATGAAGGCGTCAAGGGGGGATTTGCCGAGGGGTTGGTGACGGAGTAGATATTAATCCTTCCAAGCGTGAGTTAGCCTGGAACATTCCATGATACATCAAGATTGTTCAGAATCATGGGATGACATACATATTTCCACCACCACATATCTTGCTGGAGTCCGCGGGACATGGTGAGCTGCATTGGCTCTCATCAGCCTTTATGGCTGTGCTCTCAATACGATGCCCGCAGAAGCATTGTCTTTCAACAGTAGAACAGTCAGTCTCAAAATGCTAAAGGTTCAATGTTTAACAAGTATGAATTCCAGATCTTCCAATATACTTACATGGTAAACTCGACACCAGCAAACTGATAACCAGCCGCACCACACACGTTGGCGCAGTACTGCGGCGAGTTGAGGTTTCCAACCGTCAAGAAAGGGCCCGCGAGATCGCGAGGCGAGTTAGGATCATGGTAGCACCCTACGTACGATATTTGCGCCTCATACGCGGGCAAACAAGTTCGAGATTGGGCGGCATGAAAGAGAGCCATGGAAAACATCCATGGTAACAACTGTAGACGCGCCATGGCTGACTTTGAAAGCGATGCACCAGACACCCTGAGGCATCAGAATATCAATCTGAGCGCCCGGTTTATAGCGATGGATCTTATTCCATATTTGCGCAAAAACAAATTCCCACCCATTATATACACCTCCCAGTTGCATATGCTCTCCGCTTACTGTCGCCCGCAGCATTCTGACTACATTAAAAAATGGCTTCATAACCTAAACCCGCTTTCTTAATCGAGCAACGCTTATAACCCGACGGGTGTGACCATGTCCGGTTTCCGAACGCCTGATTTTTTTTTTTTTTTTTTTTTTTTGCGATATGCCGATCCTCGCCATCTGCGGAAAGCTCACTCACATCTCCAACTCATCTTCTAACGATGCTTCTTCTACCAAACTAGCGTTGAACGACTAAATCATTGCGTCTATCGTCTTCCCCATATTTTCCCGTCTCCTAAAGGCTAGATTCCCGGCGGCTCGTTCGTTGACAGCCGTCGACAAGGCTTTCCCCGCAGCCTCAGCTGTCACCCCTCCCTGTTAGTTGGTGAAGCCTCTCAACAGCTACGCTGTAGAGGAGGGAGAAGCTTGCAGCTAGAGTTACGGACTATGGTTAGGCTTCAAATGTTATTTTCCGGCTAGATCTTGCAGCTGTTTAGCCTAAAGCCGCAACGCCAGCGCAACGTGAACGTGATATTAGTGGCAGATGATTTGAAAAAGTCCCGGCCCCGGGTACCCAATAATTCCTCCATGCATCGCCAATCCGGCAATCCACCTTGAAGCTAAGCTGTTTTCCTGGTTCTCAACCTCCATCTGAGATCTTGCTCTTGGTTGTCGTTACGCAACATTGGCATGCTTGTAGGTGTCTAATGCGATGGTGGGGACCATGCGTCTCGTCGTGGTGAGTTGACAGGGAACGACCGAGATTACTGCCGAACCGAGTGAGCGCCGGACACTTTTGTGGTAGGTGGCTATCGTGTTTGCTCTCCCCTGAGTAATCAGCTATTAATCCGCCATTCACAGAGTCTTTCTCTGACTGTCAATTGAAAGCTCGAAAGTAAAGGGGCAAGCGTGGAGCTTCTTGATCGGGCCTAGTCTGTTCCTAGCTGTAAGATACAGCCAAGATATACCCTATTTTTGACAACTACGACAGCATCAGACCCGGGCACTATCGATTTTAGCATCGGATGATTGTGGGCTTACCTTGGTACTTGCTCCAGTTTCAATGTGGTATCGTTTCTGAAACACGTAAACTTCCCGTTATCCGACTATCGGGAGAGTAAGCGGATAGTACGGATTATGATGAATTAGCCCGTAGCTAAAAAAAAAAAATAGGAGAACCGAGCTGGATAGATAAAAATGCAGAGAAGCACTAAGGACGATCCTATTTCTCCAGATCTTCATTGCTCTGATAGGCACTCCAGCTTTTGATCGCTGCCTATAAACCTCTGACTTCTTATACAGGGTTATCAAATCGCACTAGCAAGCCAGGATGAAGAGTGTCTTCAAAGGTAGCCTGCTGACTGCGGCTGCATTGCCGGCGCTGGCATCCGCAGCTTGTATATCTTCCGGAGACCAGAGCGTAATCAACAATGCCTTCCAATCTGGAGGAGCAAATACCGTTGTTCAACTCTGCGCCAATGCTTTGATTCAGATCACCGATCAAATCACCTTCACCGCCGATGGCCAGGAGCTCTCCACACAGGGCTACCCTACTGACAGCTCTAGAGCTACCATCGAGGTCGCTGTAGGCAGTTCTGCTAGCACTTTGATTCACGCTAGAGATCTCAACAACATTCGCATCAAGAATATCCAGCTGGAAGGTAACCGACAGAATGCTGGCTTTTTACCAGGCGGCGACGCCAACATCATCATTGGTGGTGTCACTTCCGGCGGCCAGGTCGTCTCGAATGTAGCATCGCGGAACACCCGCAGCTGGAGCTGTCTTCATGTTATTGGCTCTGGCCAGGATAGCAACCCCTGCAGAAACGTTACCCTTACCAACAATGATATTGGTCCCTGTGGTCAGTCTGGCACCGATTCCAATGGTAACGGCCTGTGGGCCGATGGTATCTCACTGGACTGCACTGCCTCTTTAGTACAGGGAAATACTGTAAGCGGCAATGCCATAGAACCTCCTGATGCGTTTGATGCTTCTAAGAGAATACTAGTAGCTAACATAGCAACGCTAGATTACGGGTAGCACAGATGGTGGTATTGTTCTCTTCGGCTCTCCTGGTAGCACCGTCACCGGTAACACTATCATATCATCTGCGGATTATCTAGGATTTGGTGCCATCAATCTTGTCGATGATGAATACGACGGTAGCTACGCCGGCGTGACCGTTACTAACAACAAAATCCAAGGCAATAAATTGTTCAACATTGGTATTGGCATTGGCTCGAATGTCTGGTCTTTCAACGACCCCTCGGCACTGTCCGGCCCAGTCACCATCACTGGCAATACCATTAGCGGACATGTCAGCTTCCCCATTGCCATCAACGGATGGACCAATGGCATCACAGTATGTGATATACGTGCACTAGTTACTTGCGGCCGTCACTGACATATCTTCAGGTCACAGGAAATACTGTATCGGGCGTAACATCTCCCAAGTCCAGCTTTGCTGATGCTTCTCAATGCAACTCAGCGATTCAAAGCGTATTCAACTCTAACGCAAATCTCATTTACTACCCTGCTGGAATTTCTGGATCTCAGAACCTCCAGTCTGGTTTTGTTGCCACTCCTGGTAACGCGACCAACTTCTTGTGCTCGACTTTGCCGCTGCCAAACTCGGTCACGTTCAGCCCCGGACAGCTGACTGTTGTTTCCGACTCCGGCCCATTTGCCACTCTTCATAATGTTATTGCTCAGTATCAGGGCGATAATAACTTGGTGGTTCTCCAGGGAGGTACCCCTGTTTGGGCATCAGGTCACACTTTGCCCAACGGTGGAAACTGCGGTAGCCCTTCCGGATGCCGACTGATTTTTGGATCCGACGGTAACCTTGGATCTTACTTCAACGGCGCCCAGCAGTGGAGCACCAACACTTCGGGCTCTGGAAAGTCCATGGTTGTCCTAAACCAGTCCCCTTGGATCCAGATTAAGGACGGCTCTGGTAACGTTATTTGGGATACTACGAAAAGTCAATAGCTGTGAAAAGACGGCAGAGTTGATCCTGTACATAGTATATATAGGTATACATAAAAAAAAAAAGAACTTGGTAGCTCAGTTAGCTGCTTGAAAGCTTCAGTTATTGTTCCAGAAAGTCAAATATTGGCTATGTCTCGTAGAAAAGATTCCACAAGAGTAGTACCTATAGCTGTTTAGCTGAGGATGCAAGCGGGTAATGAAGATTGACGATTTTTTCACTCTTTCTTGCCTTTTGACAACTATAATTACTGCATACGAAAACCTATCCGCTTGTACTGGCAAATTTTGAAGTAGGACAGAGTTGACATGAATCAAGAATATGTATTTGGTATCGACTACAACAGGCTGTTTCCAAAAAAAGAAAAAGACTTGGCTAGTGTTTAAATTTGAGTCATTACTTAAAACTAAGACATGCATTAAGCATAAGATGCTTTCTTAGGGATAGCTATCTGTGATTAGCAGTTTGACATACATCAGCTAGGCAATATTATAGACATAAGAGGTTGCTCGCATGAATTATTGTATTTGCTGGCATGTGTGTTTTATCAACAGAAGCTATGGTATGCAAAGGGAGCAAATGGAGAGGCTCAAACATTTAAATTAATACTCTTGATCTTAAAAGATTTTACATTTTGGAACTGCTTGGATATAGAACCAGTGATATAGTATGAGACCAGTGATGTAGATAGCTGTGAGGTAACCTGACGAAACCGTGTATCCTACCAGTAACCTTCATAGCCTTTCAAGAGTTCTTTTATTTCATATATAATTTGGCCCAAAATCTTCATATAAACGCTGCCTTGTAAACGAAACAACTGGCGGGCTTGAGTTTAGAGATCCAAAACTCAAATGTTTATATCATACTAGAATCAAACGAAAGACACAGCCGTTGAATAAGATTAGTTAGTGGTTTGCACGAAGTCAGTCAGCAAGAGTTAAGATTGTAGAAGTGGTCAATCGTTTCTATGAAATACGACCATTCTAATGCATACGTATGCGTGCACCTCGCTAATAGTCAAGTGGCGGATTTCTAATGAGGGAAATGAGCCCAGAAAGGTGCCTAGGATCCTCAATAAGGCTAAACTATCTCCATTGTGTGGAGCTTATTGCTATAAATAGCAGCTGATGGCAAGGGATGACCAAGCAGGAACAGCATGGCGATCTGGCTGGGGTTGTGGTAACTGATTCCTGGACTTCAAACTTGGATGCCGCGAGACCATTTTTCTCCATCGAGCCGGCGAATTAATAGTGGAGCGACATGAGCTCGCTACTCCAGAACTGGAAGCTATTCCTGCTTGCACGACCACGTACTGCTACCACGAGGCACATCGACGTCTGATTGCATTGTCTAATTTGTTTGTTCATTAACAGATTACCGCCGGGATGGAATGGTCCTATTTGGAGTTAAAAATAGGACAGAAGCCAAATACTTAAGAGTACACTAGTCAATGTCACACAAGCTTTGATTAACTGTTTACCTCTTTGCATTGAGTGGAGACAGCTTGGGAATAATCTTAAAACTATCTCGCGTAATCTTAAAAAGAGGGAAAACTTTCATTGTGGTTCTTGCTCATTCAAGAGAGAGAGGGAGAGAGGCAGAGGGGATATAACTGATACCTACTACGTACTCCGCGTACTCCGCGTTAACTAGCCTCAATAAACCCATGGTTGTGGATCTTGAACGAAGGTGAACAGCCTTGGGCTACTTCTGTATTGAAGACATGCGTGTAGGGATAGATGAGACAACTATTCGCTCTGTAAAGTATGCACCGGGATGCCAAGTAAGTCGAAACACCGACATAATTCCGTATTCAAGGCTGAGAAGCTGACATTGGATGAAGTCTCTCGCAGCACCCTACACATACTCAGCCCATCGGAAAATATCTTCACAAGAATACAAAATGTGACACAGATTGCATACAAGCACACACGCCCACCCAATTACTGCACGACACTGAGTGACGAGCAAGACTATTGAGCTTAGCGTCTCGGAGGCAAAAAGTGGCTGCCAATCCCTCCCCTAGCCCCGCACATCATCACAGGGACGGCCCGCGTATAGACCAATAGAGTAGCCCTGGAGGTTACATTTCTTTGTGATCACAGCAAACACGCCTAATGGTGGTATACCGGGCGGCTCGGCGAAGAGGTTACAGAGCATTTAGTGTATTACGTTTATGGAGTTCTGTCTTGTTGAGTATAAATGATCCGGGGTCCATGGAACGGATAATCGGAACGAGTTCGTAATGCCTTTCCCAGTATTCAACACGGCGCTCCACTAACTTCTATGAGAACAAACGTCACGATGCGACATTGTGGGCTTTGATTCAAGCGAAACCACGGATAGTTCGGCTCCAAGTAGGCCAATCTAGGTTTTCGATCTTTCCATTTTGAGACATCATGCTCCAGTAACTAGACTGCTGTTCTAAGAATAGAAGAGAGCCTTTCGATGATTCATCGAATGGAGAACTTGAAGCGCGCCAACAGAGACGGCTTCAGAGATACTCTTATTGTGTTACAGCCAATGGGCAAGCCCCTTTTGTTCAAGATTCTACTTAGGAGAGATTATTGCTTGCTTAGGTTGAACGTATGAGGTGAAATGGAACTGTGCATCACAAGTCCAGATACTGTTTGGGCGGCAAGCCTCCCTTGTTCCACAAGCAGGGAATACATCGTATAGCAGTTCTTCAACGCTGCCTAGAAGTGGATTACTGGCTGCATTGAAAAAAGTTGAAGTCGGTCTTTGCATTGTTACCAGGGAGGATCATGCCTCGATCGGCAATGCTCGGGGAGTCATCGGAAAGTGACAACAATGCGGACCTCTTCCACAGAGGATATGAAGAGTCACCGAATTCGAATCTCGGATCCAGAACTGGGGATATGTCCCTGGTGCCATTTGATATAAAAGCTCCAGGCGCTACCCTCGAAATTCTATTCATCACTCGCTTTGTATCACCAGCATCTGGCAGACAAGGTAGTGAGACACCACTAGTTGAGAGCAACAAGAGAACTATAAACTCTTCATCAATATGCACGCAAAGCTTTCTTCTGCGATAGCGGGCCTTATGCCCGCAATGATGGCCATAGCAGCCCCAGCTCCTCAGTATGTCAAATCTCCCTCTATTAGTTTAAAAGTTGGCGGCTAACAGATCATGCGGCAGGATCCAATCTCTTGGAGGGAACACTGGAGCTGTTGCTGGTGTCACTCCTCCTATTGCTACTGTCACTGCTCCTGTTGGTAGTCTTTATGGCAGCACCAGCCTCCAAGGCGGCAATGCTGCTAACATCCCCGACACTAGCAAGGAAAGCGCCGAGGTTAAGAGTTTCAAGGAGGTTCCCGGCCAGGATGCTGACTCCAGCCTTGGTGTCTATCTCGACTTCGAGAGCGTTGATGAGCCACAGCCCATCCGTGGTGCCTTTGGTGGCACAGATGCCGGCCCTCGCACATTTGAGTACGAGAAGCTGAACCCTGATCTGTTTGCGGCCCCTGGTACAGACTCTGGAGCCGTTCCCAATGCTGTTTGGCCTCTTGGTTTGTCTCATAACCGACCTGGAGCCTCTGGCAGAGCTGGCTGGGCCCGACAGCAAAACACTGCTGTGCTCCCTAACGCCAAGGACATGGCAGGTGTCGATATGAAGCTTGAGCCTCACGCTTACCGTGAGCTTCACTGGCACACTGCCGGCGAATGGTCCCTGATTCTGAAGGGCTGTGTCCGTGTTGCAGCTATCAACGACGAGTCTCAGACTTTCACTGACGACCTTTGCGAGGGAGATGTCTGGTTCTTCCCTGCTGGTGTTCCTCACTCAATTCAGGCCTTCGAGAACGGTGCTGAGTTCTTGCTTGTCTTTGATCAGGGTGACTTTGACGAGAATGGAACTTTCCTCATCACCGAGATGTTTGCTCGAACCCCTCGATCTGTCTTGTCTAAGAACTTCCGCGCCCCTGTCAATGCTTTCAAGAACCTACCCTCTAATCAGCTGTACATTTTCAATGGTACTCCTCAGCCCAAGGATATCAGCAAACAGAACACAACCGCTCCTGGTGGATTTCTTAGTGGTCCCAACGGCTACACTTTCCACTGGTCTCAGCAGAAGGCTTACGAGGTCCCAGGAGGCTCAGTCAAGATCCTAGATCCTACTACTTTCCCCATCGCCTCCAAGTTTTCTGCTGCTCTTGTTACTATCCAACCTGGCGCTATGCGAGAGATTCATTGGCACCCAACTTCTGATGAGTGGGATTACTTTATCCAAGGCTCTGGCCGTGCTACTCTATATGCTGCCCCCAGCTCCGCCAACACTTTCGATTTCACTGCTGGCGATGTCGGTTACATTCCTGTCGCGAACGCGCACTACGTTGAGAATACTGGCACCGAGGACCTGATCTTCTTGGAAGTGCTGCAAGCCACTAAATTCTCTGATATTTCAGTTGCCCAGTGGCTTGCTCTGACTCCTGAACAGACTATTATTGACCACTTGAACATTTCCAGCGACGTCATTGCGGCCCTGCCCAAGGAGAAGACACTCCTTAAAACTGGAAATACTAACCTTACCGAGATGGTTGAAAGTGGCAAGGCTTACTAAGCTAACATGAAGAAATAATAGTGGTAGAGACTCAAGGTGCTGAGTCGAGAAGTAGGTGCAAGGAGATATGTTAAAGATGAGTTTACGTAGAAGACGTTAGCCGGTGTTTTATTATTTACCGCCTCTTCTTTTTATTTTTACAAAGTCATTGCTTTAGACGTTTATCATGTATATACAATAAATGATGAGATTCAATTCACAATATGAAATGTTAGTCGAAAGTCAACACACTGTTTCTCTTATATTACATTTGATTTGTGAAATATGAAACATTTAATAGCCGTGGGAATACTATGACTGTTGCTCCGCCACAAATTCTATTAGTGCCTCTACTTTCAGTTATATACCACATCAAAACCCGACATATCATCAAGCGCCTTGCGAATTTCCTTTGCATACGTAGGAACCCCGCTGGGGTAACAGACCGGTTCAAGGGTCTTGTTAGGGTTACTTCCACCCATATAAGTTGATCTCACGGTCGGAACCAACATCTCGTTAGTGAGATCGACGATTTTCTTCTTCCAAGCTACAGATGCCGCGTGCTTCGGATTTATGTATTTAATACCATTGAGCTGCATCTTTTGAATGCAATCGGCGATCCAGCGGCCTTGCACTTCTATGGTGCTCGGGCCGTTGCTGAAAAGGGTTGGAGCTTGAGGGCCGTACAGATAGAACATATTGGGGTACCCGCTTACGGTGAGACCTAGGTATGTTTGGGCGCCAGAGAGCCACTCTTCGTCGAGTTTAGTCTTAGACAGACTCTCAAGCCCTAGTTGTGTCATTGCTGTAAAGAGATTAGCGGAATTGAAGTCAACTATAATATCAGCTCGGGATGTCCTCTCTGTGTATCGTACCTCCCGTCACAATATCCTATACGAAGACCAGTTAGCATTGTGCCGCTTGGTGTCATAAAAATGTTGGGGGTGGAGGGTTGCATACAAAGCCCGTTGCTATCGCGATCACGTCAGATTCATGGTGCGTTCCATCTTCAAGAATGATACCAGTTTCATCAAAAGCCTTGATAGCGTTGTTTTTGATGTTTACAACATCGACATTTGGCCTATTAAACTGCTCATAGTAGTTATGCTCGAGACAAGGTCGTTTAATCCCGAAATAATGAGGCATGTCCAGAGGAGCCAGTATATCCCTTTTTTTCGGGTCTTCTATACGACTTCGGATTTTCTTAGCCCAAAAATCGTAGGATTTTCTATTTGCTTCTGCATTGAAGAGGTTGTCTTTGTATAGCGCAAGCCAGAATCGGAATCCGCCACCATTCCACATTTCTTCATAAAATGCTTCTCGGTCTTCGGCCGTGTCGTCGAACGTGTTCTTCTCAGCCCAGTCATACATGAAGCCTGCGAAGCTCGTTTCACGATATCTAAAAAGTTCTGGATAATATTTCTTAGTCTTCTCTTGCTCTTCAATGCTTAGATCTCGTCTGCGCAACGGAATCGTGAGATTGGGAGTGCGTTGGAAGACTTTGAGTTCTCCAGCTTCGGGGCCCCAGGTTTGTACTATTTGCACTCCAGATGCCCCTGTGCCTATAACAGCACATTTTTTGTCCTTTACACTTATCTTTTCTTCCGGCCAAAATGATGAATGGTGAATGGTGCCTTTGAATTTGTCAATTCCAGGCCAGTCAGGGATATATCTTTTGGCCGACTGTATAATTTTAGAAACATACGAGTAAACATGGCTGGAAGGAAAGAAACTTACGAATCCAGTCCCAGGGATGAGATACTTGGCCTTTGTGATTCGGCCGTCTTCGGTACGTATGATCCATTTTCCTGCCGCCAAGTCAAAGTGTGCTCCAACTACAACAGTGTTGAATGCGCAGTCTTTTTTGACTCCAATGACTTTATCAACGTGATCAAAGTATGCTCGCAGATCCTCATAGTTGGGATAATTGTTTGACCAATTCCACGACTTCCATACTTCAGGCCAGGAAAATTCGTACTCAGGCACCTCAGAGTCAACTCCAGCACCTGGATAGCAATTCCAACGCCAAGTGCCACCAATGTCATTACCAGCTTCAAATATATATGCTTTTAGACCAAGATCACGAAGAGTCTTAAGCACAAAGATACCAGCTAGGCAGTAGGTTCGAATTAATTAGCATCAGTGAAGGCAAACATAGGAAGCCGGTATTTCTTCATACCGAAACCTGCCCCAACCACAAGGGCATCTATTTCAAGAGTGTCTGCATAAGGACCAGTTTTGTCATTGTTTGAAATGGAATAGTCTGCCAGCCCAGTGTTGAACTTCTTGGGCCCTAAAGAAATATTGTCTCCCATATTGATGTTGTATAAAGCTTTGTAAGGATGTGTAGAAGGTGTGTTAATTCGATTTTGAATACGAAATGAAATAAACCATGCTCTGTACACAAGAAGGATCTTTTGAATTTAAGCATAAATCTTATCTTATATCAACATTATTACGTCAAGATATATTCTAGTACCCACCTACCGCCTCCCCATCAGTGCGACATTAGATAAGGTAAATAGTCAAATCATTGGTGGCGTCGAGCTTCTTGCATTGCATAGCTGAGGCATCCCTGCAGCTGTGCGCCAGGCCTACGTAAAATATGTTACATCCTGCAACATCTCCACGGGTAGAACCGGATAGAAGAGGGGGATGTATGCATGCGGAGCCATATTGAGGAATAAATGCAGATTTAGATACACGTCATGCCTGGATGATCATGGGATTCGCTCGTGAGACACCTCGGCAAGTTTGATAGCTTGGCCCTCATGTGAGAATTGTATTAAAAGATAACTATATGGCTGAATGAAAAGCGAACATATTACATGAAAAAATTGTTCCGGTTTCTGATATTGAACTTGGTTTTTTCGATTACCAAAAAATGAGTTTCAGCGCTCAAACTCTGTCTCAGCTCCGTGACATAGTCGACAGAGCTTGTCTTGACCCTCAAAAAGATATCCCAGGCGCTGCGATCGTGGTCATTGGCAAAGATGGAAAGGAATTGTTCGCACACTCTGCTGGTAAGCGTGGTTTGGTATCAAAAGATCCAATGACTCTTGATACCGTTTTCTGGATTGCATCGTGCACTAAGATGCTCACTGGCTTGGCTTGCATGCAGCTTGTCGAACAAGGTGCCTTGAAACTGGATGACGGGGATCATCTTGAAAATCTTGTCCCCGAACTTAAGGAAGTACAAGTGCTACGTGAAGATGGAACCTGTGAGGCGAAAAATAGAAAAATCACTCTACGAATGCTATTGAGCCATACTTCTGGGTTCGGCTACACCTTTTTTAACGAGAGGCTGAGAGATTGGTCTTTTCCCGCTGGCGCAAATGAATTTTCTGGAAGAATTGAGGATATCATTTCTCTGCCTTTGCTATTTCAACCCGGCGAGGGATGGGAATATGGCGTGAGTGCTCATCTCTATCTTTCTCAACGAATTTAAATTCTTTTGCATACTCATAACCTTCCTGAGCTGCTAACATCATTTCATTAGACAGGCGTTGATTGGGCTGGACTAGCTGTTGAACGGATAAGTGGACTTGGCCTCAATGCATATTTACAAAAACATTTGTTCGAGCCTCTAGGCATCGAAGACATGTCCATGTTTCCTAGCAAGGACATGAGAAACAAACTTGCATACATGCACACGAGATCCCCGGATGGCATCATAAGGCCACGGGATCACCTTCTTCGAACTCCACTCGTTGTCAATCTTGATGATGTGGCTGAGACAGGCCGGGTGTTTAATAGTGGTGGTGCCGGCATGTTTGCAAAGCCCCAAGAATACTGCAGTAAGCCATATCCCTTCCTTAATGACTCACAGTTGAGGTAAATTGTGACACCTAATCGGGATATCAGAAGTATTGGCTGTTTTGTTGAACGACGGCACCTGCCCACGGACAGGTGTCCAATTACTGCATAAAGAGACAGTGGATGAAATGTTCCAAAACCAGATTCCACAGTTTCCAAATTACGGCCGCCAGGGAATTCCCGCCTCCAAACCAGATTTAACTAACGTTATTGGCGAGCTGTATCCGGTCCAGGATATTCCACCACAGGGCTGGGGGCTTACATTTATGAAGGCCAATGGAGGTACTACTGGCAGATCTACGGATGCGGCTCACTGGGCTGGATTAGCAAATTTATGGTGGTGGTGCGATCGAGAAAATGGAGTGGCTGGGATGGTATGCAGTCAGATACTTCCATTCGCAGATAGCCGAGTCATCAATCTTTGGATTGAACTGGAGGCTCAAGTGTACAAAGCACTTTCTAAATAGCTTACGTCGCAAATTTCTTGAAGAACCATCTCACTCCAGTTTGATTGTACGGCTGTCGCTCATAGATACCCATTTCAATTCCCTTAATGGCTGAGCTGCCGAGTGGGATATTGTACATTTTACTAAGGCAACGTGGCGTGATGTAATCATTTCAGTCATGTAAACAATATGGTCATGGTTGTAAATACTGTTTGTAGATTATTAACGCCGTATCAGGGTTGGGAGCGGATGATCCAAGCGGCCAGACATAACATCGCATTCCAACCACGGTTAAGTCTAACCCTTTGACTTCAGTGGAGACTTATGATATAGGAACAAGTAAACATAAAATACACCATAGTATTGAGATATGGGCAGTGTGTTTGCGAATAAGGCATGATCTAAGTTAGATAGTTATTCGACTTATAGCTTGCCAAATTTCATTCATCCTTTTGAGCCAATTTATCAACGTGTGATATTGTACTTCTGTAAATGTTTAGAGCTAGTTACCAACTTCATGGAACCTATGCAAGAACCTGGTGGAAGAATTAAAAAGCTAAAGCACTGGCTGATACGACGAAAGCTTCCCCCTCCCTTAGCGGCCGTGATAGTATACACGGTCGTGTTGGCATGGCAGCGTAATTTTTTTTTAAGAGCATCATATAAATTAGTGCGGTTCTAATGAATTAATTAATTATCCGTAACTCTCACTATCCCCTGTAAACGGATATCTCGACTGCTCGCTCCAACAGATATCTTGTACTCTCCCTCTTGGATAACCCACGCCTGTGAAACTACATCCCATACACTGAGGTCTCTTCTCGTAAGCTCAAAATGAACTACTTCTGACGTCTGGGGAGGCAGCTGCGTTTTATAGAAACCACGCAACTGCTTCGGTGGGCTATTTGGGATAGCCAAATAGAGCTGTGCGACTTCCTGTCCCGAAACAGGGCCGTCGTTGGTGATGGTTGCAGAAACTTTCGCCACAGGTTGCCACAGCTTATCGTCATTGCACTTCGACTTGGAGAGACGTACTGAAGGCTCAATTGACAGGGATGAGTATCGGAAAGACGTATAACTGAGACCATATCCAAATTCAAATCGCGGCGTGATTTCCTTCGCATCAAACGCGCGATAATCCAGGTAAACACCTTCTGTAAAATCACACTGTGGGTCAATGTCGTCTGCAGAAATACGCTTGCACGGCGCATATACTGAATAGTCGCTTTCGTTCTTTGCGATTGTGTAAGGCAGCTTGCCTGAAAAGTTGGCTTCGCCATAAAGCAGCTTCACGAGAGCCTCGCCGCTATCCTGACCAGGTAAGTGGGCGATAATAGTAGCAGTAACGTTGGGATGCTCAATCCACTTGTCAACCAGGCGGATACCTGCGGCATGGATAACGACAATGGTATTGGAACATTTGGAGGCCACGTTTTTAACAAGGTCATCGCTGAAATCATCGTGTAAGCCCTCGCGGTCCCAGCCCTCAGTCGCAATAGCATTGATGAAAACTAGGCAGGCATCGGAAGCAGCATTGACGTCGGGGTTGGAAGAGTCGAGATCCCAGTTCACCCAAGTGCCGTTTTCGCGAGCTCGGCGTTGGATAGCACTGAGTGGCTAGACAAATGTTAGCTAAAAGGAGATTCAACATTGTTCAGGGCAAAAAATATATTAATTCAAGAAGTTAGTTCACATACATCGTCAATGTAGGCTGGTGAGTTTGCGCCCGCTCGGCCGCCAGTGACGATTGTACCTCCCCTCGCGGCTTGGTCAAAATGAGCTTCATGGCCCAACACAGCTTGGCCCATCTCTGGAGACGAAGTATATCCATGCTGGAACAAGAGATCGGTGTTTTTCGTGCGTGGGATAGTGGCGTCGTAGCCAAAAACAGATATCATGGTCAGTCTATGTTTAAATGGCAACGTGTCATTCAAATTCTTAACCAAGACATGTCCTGCTATAGCACCCTCCAAAATTACGGGCTTTGATGCCGTATCTCGTGCATCTATCTGTTCATGGGGCTGCGTGAGTTGTTTCAGGCCAATACCCGGAGTTGGGAAATTGTCGCCGTCTTGGCCGGCTAAGTACCATGCGGCAATAATCCTTCAGCCCGTATAGTCAGTACAAAAGGATGTTGAGACGATAGTAGAAGGGATTCTTACCGTGTTGCCATGTCGGTTACTCGAGCTTCGCTAACCGTCCCATTTGCGACTGCGTCTGTCAGATTCTTGCCCCATGCGCCAGCAAGAGGCATAACCATGTCCAGTCCTGCTTCTGCACTATCTATATCGTGCTGCGCGTCCCAGTCTAGCATGACGAATCCTTTGAACTTCAGCTCAGTTTTAAGGATGCCATTCATCAGCTTATCGTTTTTGCATCCATATGTATTGTTGATTCTGTTATAAGAGCACATGACAGATCCCACACCAGCATGCACGCTATCCATGAATGGCCATAGATAATACTCGTGTAAAGTTTTATCATCAATATTTGCAGACATAGCTTCAACTCCAAAGTATGGACGTCTCAGTGTCTCTTGCTCATTGGCGATGAAATGCTATGATCCAGAATGGTTAGTATTTCGGATAGGCAATCTAAGCATCTATATGATACGGCGATACCTTGATATTGGCGATTACGCCGGCTTCTTGCATCCCAATAATGGTTTCAGCATTCAATTGGCCAGAAAGATATGGATCAATAGAAAAGCCTTCCCAGTTCCGACCGCCTAGAGGCGTCCGCCCCAATGGGCCAGCATTTGGACCAAGCGGTACGTTGACTAATGGGGTGGATGCTTAGTATACAGCTTTCTCACTCAAAAATTATTGGCCGAGTATAGAATATCTCACCTCCTTTGGCCTTGAATTCCTTGCCCATGTAGAATCCTCTTTTATGTGTCAGACTTCGGTCCCAGCTTGCACCGATGTGGATTCCAGACGGATAAGAGTTGACCATGTCGGTTGCACGAACTCCATTTCCAGCATCGTGAACACACATACCGGGCCATCCCAAGCGAGGGACAGAGCCAGTGTTGCCAGCGCAGACATTATCGCTGTGAAATCCGCGCGTGATGTTAGCTTTTTCTTCCAAAGTCATTTGCTGCACCAGCTTTTCAGCTCGGCGATACGCGTGTGCCCATTGCCCATTGCCTTTACTGTGAGCTGCCCGGTATTAGCAAATATTCGCTATATCTATGAAATAATAATAATAATCCAAGGGTGCCATGGAAAACACACGTGTTAGGGCGATTTGAGATGCATCTGAGTTCGGGGGTAAGGCCGCGACGACGAGAAACAAGCTCGCATAGCTGGACAGCGCATGCAGCCACATGGTATTGATATATCAGATTTTGCTCCAATCTCATGAACTTCTGCGTTGCAATCAAATCACAAATTACAGCCTTGTCTGGGAGCCTTCCAGCTTTAATACTGGCTAACATATGATGTCGCCTCAAGTTTGAGCATCGCGTTGGATACAAGCTGGGGGCTGGGCTCCGTTCACCGCTGCATATCCGCTATTCCCCAGCAAATAGGAACCATATCCGGTGCGGGGACCAGGCATCAGAAGCTATGAGAATCCCCACCCAGCCATAGTGCGTCTCGTAGTGCGACAGCGGACGCCGAAGCCGTCCCGCTATGTGAGATGACCGTGTCAAGGCTGGATATTGAAATGCGTCGTACAAACGCAAAGTTGAGTTGGCCACCACCCAGCGGGGAATCGGAGAATTTCCCGACGAGTTTTTCTGGAATGAGTTGCGTCATGTTGCATAAATTACAAAGCATAAAATTCTCTCTTTGAACAGCCGCAAGCTTGTTGAATCTTTCCTGAAATCACTAGCACAGACGTTCGTTTTCGTGATATGACCACCAGGGGTCTTCCGATTGCTTGGCCGACATTAGGCTCCAATAGAAAATTCCGTGCGCTTCTCGTGAGTGTATTTAGTGTCATTCTCGCCGCGCGGCAATGGCAATTTCGGGCCTTAGAATGCGGACCGTCGTTGTCTCAATAGTAACCCGATTTCATCCGCCTCGTCTCAAGTAAAAGAAGGAGGAATATCATAAGAGCTGACGACGGTGTTCAGTATGGCTGATGCATCCGCTTGTTCATTGCCTTGGAGATCTTGTTGCGCCCAGATGCTTCGAATGATATGCTCCGTAGAGGTTAGATTACTTAGCGGCCTCTCATTGATCGCGTTTTCCAGCGCTGAAAGAACTAATAGCCGGTCGCTGTCGCCCTCTGCTTGCAAAGCCAGCATGACCATTATGAAGGGCCTCTCGCACAATCCAAGATCACGCAACAGAGCAAACCCTTCTTCGGCACTTGTACGTGACAGCCGGGAGTCGGCAGCCGACCCGCGGACCACTCGATCAAGGTAGATGAGGACCGCAAGTTGGTACATGCGAGCAATCGTGACGTAGCGCTTCCTACTTCCGGAGACGTGGTAATCTTCTCTGTCTATTCCAACGCATGGATGCTGATTGATGTCTCTGATCTTACTTTCGAGGTCGTAGATTGCATGTGAACTGCGCTTCGAATTGTCTCGGTTGTTTACGAGGTCAATAGCCTGGCTAAGGAATTCTAGAAGCTCGAGTGAGCAGCCTAGGGTGCTGTGAATCTAGGTGTGCTTTACTTAGATATATCCATTATCGCCGCGATATGGGGGGGTCTATACTGTGCCAAAATGATCATAAGAGACAATCTGGGCGATGAACATGTCTCGCTGGGCAATGGCTGCCATTTGTGGGGTGCGTTGCTGCCAGTGTTGCAGACTGAATTTATAGAGTACACTGTGGTAAAATACCCAGTCCAAGAGAACCGCGTGTTCCCCTTCAATCTCTCGACGGTCTTGATAGCTTGACTTGACGATGGTCATACAGCCATCAAAATGTACGGACCAGACGGTTGTCTTGCCACTTGGACAGAGCACCTAAGGATGAATGAGTATTCCTACCAATACGTACAAATAGTATATAAGAGGGCAGCCAAGTCACTACAAACCTCGTACAGACTTAGGAGCAAGCTTGCAGCGATAGCTTGAGCTCTACACCTGGGATCTTTGATACGATCAATGGCGCCTTGCAAGGCCGCAACAGCGTGCATTTGATGCAACGTTGCCTCATCTGCCTTTTTGAGATAAAGATACGAAATGGCGTTCATGGCGTAGCGGACGGCAAGAGATGAAACGCCATCGTCTGTGAGCGACATACGGCGCAGAAGGCCACATACATCTTGTCGGAGGTCTCCTCGAGAGGTAATGAGTCGAACAGCCGATGATATTTCATTATCGTCTAGTGTATTCAGCATTGCCAGTTTTGAAACCAAAATCATGAAAAATGCCGGAGACAACTTACATATGGGACATTTGTTAGTGCCGAATCGCGGGAGCTTCGGTGAGCGGACTGGCGATGGTGGTGTCCAGACACCAACTCTGTTCACTATCCAATGAAGTCATCATCAGCACGACAAGTTTGATCATAGCCAGTCCTCCGAAGCTCACATTGAGATTTTGCATCAAAGTTCTCGTAGTGGAGCATGACGTCCCAGCTGGAAGTGTTTAGGAATGCGAAAGTGTCGGTCTGGTACTTCTGAGGCGGAACAGCCGCCGTAGCAGCCCGGCGCTTGTCGCCAGAACGTGGCCATGATAGATTATAGTCGTAGCCGGAGCAGATCTTCTTTCGCCGTTTGCATGAAGAACATACCGGCATCAACCTGTCACAAGCAATCTTGCGGTCTAGTAGCTGTCAGTCGTCACAGTACCCTTAAAGGGTTTTTCTTCGCGCAGTTCATGGTGCAAAATCAAGCTAAGAACTCTCACGGGAGCATACGTTTGCAGTTGAGACATGATTTCTGTCCTCTAGGCGTGAAAACTATGACTTCTTCGGTGGCCATTATGAGTTTAGGATGCTATGTCCTGTAATTATCTGTTAGCTGGTATTTGTCGCCTCTCAGAATGGGCCGTGATTGCAGATATCATGCAGTAGCCCAGAGCCACACAGTGTAAATAACGACCCAACTCGCGTGCTCAAGGCGGCTCCGCACCATCTTCAGGCAGCGAATAGATCCTAGCATTGGGCGGTTGACTCAGCTAAGCTTAGACTTAATACAGTGTGACAAGGAAATAGGAACTCACTGGAAAACGCAGGGAATTTGTCACATGTGCTCAACTTAAGATTCGGCCGAATGCAGATGTATGACCACTCGGCAAATTGAAGTTATGTGAATCCCCATAATATAATTGTATAAAAATAAATGCGAAATAATTTATCACAAATTTAGCCTATTTTCCTTTGAGTAAAATCATATATTGGTGCTTCAGCGGGCGTGCGTCAGTGTGAGACAGAGTCATAGGTGCCCCAGCTTCTCTACAGGATCTAATGGGCGCTCCAGATGAAGAAGCATTGAACATAATCCAATTCACTACCTGTGCTTTTGAAGCAGACTTACGCTGTTGTATTCTGCCACAAAAACAAACCAACAAAAAAAAAAAAAAAAAAAAAAAAAAAAACCATGCAACCTGAGCATTTAACTAGTCACAAGAATAGCCCTTCGTTACCATCTGGATGGGTCTAGTCTGACATAATTTTGCCTTACAGGCCCAAGTTTTATAGTCAGTGCAGTGTAGGAAGCTCATCATTAGCTTCCATACATGTAGCTGGATTACTCATAGCCAGCCCAAGATTAGCCCTAAAGACGTACAATTATAAGAGATGCGAGAAGAGAATAATGATTGGGCTACGTTATTGCACAATAATGTTTCAATTACTATTTAAACTCAAAAGCCCATGAAAACAGCTAATCAAGGATTCATACTGTCATTAGAACTAAAGAAAATGGAACTCATTTGTTTTGTTTGACGAATCTCTCTTCCTATGCGCTTGATGTGTCGACCACACCGCCATCCAGCTTATACAAAGGCTCAAGTTTCGCTTTGCGCTGGAAAAAGATGTACTTCTTAATGAACCAAGGTAGCCAAGTGCCTACTTGGTAAGAAATATGGCGCCGTGTTGGTACGCCAAATATAAAGTCGAGCTCTTCCAATGTACGTTTCCTGTACTCAAGTTAGCGGTTGACATATTGCGTAATTAGAGCGATTGGGGGCGGTGGCATACATTGTTTCTGGAACGATGAAAAATATGACCACGAATGCGAACATGTTTAATCCTGCGTAAAATCCAAATGCTCCAGTAGGTCCGAGCCCTTTCAGGAGCGAAGGGAAAGTAAGACTCAAAGCGCTGCCAACAGCGTTGTTGATGCAAATGGTAAAACCAGCGCCAAGCTCACGATGAGATAGAGGGAACGCCTCGGCAAAGTAGATTGATGGTAAGGGACCAATACCTTGACAAAATTTAGTGATTCACCCATCCAATGCAGAAGAATGTACATACCAGGTCCATAGAAAGCAGTGAAGAGGTAGATGAAGAAAGCAATGCAAGGGATCCGAGCGCTGTTGTCATTTGACATCAAAAAACAAAGCCCGGCAGCAAGAAGGCACCAAGCCATATTTGGAAATGTTGTTAAAAGTAAATTTCGACGGCCAAAAGTATCCATGGTGTAGACTGCTGGGAAAGCAAAGACAAAGAGAACGAGGCCAAAGCCCATGGAAGCGAGCAGGCTGCTAAGAGTCGAGTAACCCGCCTCAACGAAAATTGTTGAACTGTAGAAGGCCATGCTTTGTAACACACAGTCAGTACACACATTTTTGTACTACGTAGTGAAATATGGCCGCTTACATGTTGATTCCAGAGAATTGTTGACTGATGACGATCCATCCACTGGCTACAACCGCACGCCGCAATCGAGGCACAGAGAAGAGCTCCCATGCTCGGTGCCAATAGCTAACGCCGGCAAACGCATCTCTCTCTTCCATCACTTGGCAGTGGGCATAATACAGGTCCCTTGCGGATTGCATCTCAGTGTTCCTCAACCGACAAAATGATTGGAATGACTCCGCGTATCGCCCCTTTTTCATCAGCCATCTAGGCGATTCTGTATGCAATTGTCAGCTTTTGCTTGCTCTTCCAATAGAATAGCCGGCGATGAAGGACGAGTAGCCATACCGGGACAGAACCACACAAATATCACAACAGGAATCGCCGGTGCAAATGCTGATGCAAGCTGAAACCTCCAAGCCAACTTTCCAACCCGATAGAAGATCAGATTGCAGCAGTATCCCACAAACATGCCAAATGACACCCAAAGTTGGAAGCTGGTGACTAACCCACCACGAATAGATGCTGGTGCGACCTCTGCGGAAAATACTGGGATGGTCGAAATCTTGATACCCATTCCAAGGCCCATGAACAAGCGGCAGATCATTAAGCCCCACCAGTTCTGCGTGAATGCCTGCGCCAAGACCGGAAAGATACAGAACAGGCCCGTGACGAAGACTGTTCCCCGTCGACCGAGAAGGTTATTCACTGGGTCAGCGGCCCATGCGCTGAGAAGGCCAAAGAGAGTTGGACCTGCGTTGATGACGCCAACGAGCCAACCGTTGTCTTCAATGCCAAATTCCTGAGGAAACGACAAGTTTGCGCCGTTGGCACCGGTGTTATCCCAGCCTTGGATGGCTGATCCAAGGGAGCAAAGAGCGATGGTATAGTAAAGAGCCTTGGGCAAATGCCACCGATTGGTGACTTCGCGCTTTAGCCAATACTTGTCATCGTTTGTGAGCTCTGGTATATCTTCGTAATCTCTTGGATTCTGGGCTGCCAGAGCACCTCGGAAGAAGACATCTTCCTTGTCTTCAAAACCGTACTCTATGCAAAAGGCCCGAACTTGAGATTTCAGGTTATCTTTGGATATGCCCATCAAAGGGTTCCAAATTCTAACAAAGTTGTTAACTGAGAGATCCTGGTGAGAATAACAAATGGAAGTGAACTAACTTGGCGTTGACATTGTGAGAAATATGGGAGTCAGAGGGCTCAACGTAGGAAATAAACTCATCCTTGGGCTGCTTCAAATCTAGTGAATGGGCCATGATGGGCATAGATTCATCGAATTCTAGCAATCAATCTTCGAATCCAGTGTTTTGCTGCCGTCTAGACGGAAACGAATCAGTTTCAGATGTGCCACAGAGCAATATTTATATGTTTTTAAGATACTTAATCGAACTATCGTGCTACGGGTAGAGTCATTACCCCCCCATGGGGTTCAATCGAGTTCCACAAAACCCCAGGTTTTGGTCCGGCTCATTCAAAATAGCACCATGGCGTTAGCCCGTCTCGCTGGCTCCCAGCCACATGGAAGTTCGGATCGAAGTACCGTACGATTACGACTGTCCATAGTTTTGCCGATTCAATTAATTCTTTTATCTTTATTCAAGTATTCTAAATTGATGATGTCAGTTTCCATCTGGCCTTCTTTCATTTCACAAACCTTCATGTGGATTTTCAATTCTCATGGCTATTCAAATCCGACATACCACGAACAGATCATGCGTTTTCATGATCTTCACGATGGCCATCCCTCCACGCTAACCATCACTCTTCGTTGCAAGAGGCTAGAATGTAAAACGGGGGTCATCCTTTAAAACTCAAAATATGTTATTCCCATTCAATCCCCTGCATGCATGCATTCCACACCAGCTTCTTCGCCACCCAGTATTGCTACCCCTTGGCAACTCCCTCCCTTCTGTTCTTTTCGGCTTCTGCCCTGCGTGTTCTTCAGTTCTAAATTTGAAGTGTGGGGAACTCCCTCTGTTGCCCTGCGTGTGTTTCTTGGCAAAAGCTGTGAGCCACGCATGATTTAGCCATTTAGGCGTCTTTCTGCTAGTAGCGGTAGTATAGTTCGATGCCGAAATCCTAGGCTTTAAACTTTCCCCCGCATAAAACGGAATCTGGTTATGCATAGTTGCCCTGCGTGTGTCGAGTTCGACCTGTGCAGGTCCGCTGGAAAAAATGAGGAGATCGGCTCTTTAGCATCAAATTAGCGGCACGGCATGTGGGAGGGATCGAAGTGTCCAATCGTAACGGATAGTAACATCAAATTCGACACTGGCTTGTGACAAACCATGAGATCATTTGGCTGCTGTGTAGTTTTTCGGTGGTATTCGGCTCAGTTAAGCCCGAAATAAAGTCAGCATGAATAGTTGTATACAAATCGCAGGAGCATATGAAAGGTGGATAGGCCCGTAATAAACCAATATATAAACCTATCTCAGCATCACCTACTATTCAGATATTACAGCGCAAGCCTTTCGCAAAATATTCGACCATCTGAAACTCACTCATTCACGACCAGATCTGTTTTATTGTTTGGATGCCATTATAAATACAATGGGAAGCAAAGAAGCTCAAACATGGCTCGACAAGCTCGAGGAGCAGCGTAAGCCGATCTTACATACATACGACTGGGCGAATACGATGAACCGAAGCTGACCAGAATCTCAGTCAATGTCGATGTCGACTGGATGGACCCTGAATATATCAAGGCCATGCCAATTAAGCCGCATGACCAGACCAGTAATCAACTTTGGGTTGATATCCAGCTTGGTCATCCATCCAACGCCCAACTGTTAGTTGAAACTGCGAAAGAGCTACAAGATCAAGGCTGGCTGGCCATATACACACGCATGGTACGTTTTATCTCTTTTGGTATGATAAATGTCTTCATCTAACGACGTGTGCAAGGCCGTGTTGATGTGCAAAAAGAATATCGACTTGATTAGCGGTCGTGTCCTGCTTCAAACCCTCCCGTCCAAGGCGTATGATACACAGGCGACTCTCGATCACGCTCGGCTGTACGACAAGGAGTTTGCTAGGGCCGGCATTAGCCGAGATCGATACTGCATCAAGATTCCATCCACTGGGCCAGCCTTGAATGCGGCAAAGATTCTGAGCTCCGAGGGAATCCCGACGCTCGGAACAGCGTTATTTGGCCTCCCACAAGCCATAGCCTGTAGCCAGGCGGGTATGCTTTATATCAGCCCATACTTTAATGGTTTGTGAACAGCACTCATATTCTGTGATATGCGCGACAAATGCTAAGATACATCTAGAAACTAGGGCACACGATGATTTATCGCTCTGGCCCGACGTTGAAGATCCTGCGACCCAACATCCAATGAGCGCTCGAGTCTTCCAAATCCTCGAAACGTATCGACGATTATACAAAGAGACTGGCAAGGAGCAGCCACTTCTGAAGAATGCTAGGTGAGATGCACAAAATCTGAAGGCTCCAAACGCCAAATCCATTGACTGAACTTTTTTTTTTGTCAAGTTTTATCTCTGCCAAAGAAGCCATGGCTGCGGGGGAGTTGGGCTGCCATTCAGCCACCATCTCTCATACCGTCCTGGACCAACTCGCCAAGCTCAAGTATGATGGCACCAAGCAGCCCGGTGAAGGTGCACCCAAGCCTGTCCATGTATACAAGAACGCTCCTCCGGTTCCCGAAAGGCTTCGCAAGTTAGCGAAGATCGATCCCCTTGCTGCTGCAGAGTGGGATGGCAAGCTAGCTAGCACCGGTATCGACTACCTCGCCAACGGCGGCGCGGAACTGGCCAAGGCAATTGAGGCTGATCCCATTACTAAAGAAAGATTGGCAATCGCTCTAGAGCTCTTCACTGGCGGCGAGAACAGGAGCAAGGATAAGATCGAAAAAACGCTTCGAGCTCTATGAGTGTGCCGTAGGGCGGATTATTTGGCATCTCCAGAATGTATGGATGCCATGCGTATTGAAGCAGACAGGGGCGGAAGAGAGTAGTTTGAGATTCTTCAATCAGCAAAAGTTGTCATCACCGATTATAAATATATGTGTCATTGTGGAATGATGATGGATCAGCCATGTGCATCATTGCTGTGTTGAAATGTAGAGTTTCTTCATCCAGATCATTGGTGGCCATGCCATACGTCATTGGTAGGTGAGTGTAGGATGGCGATTTATTGAGTGCATCAGCGGGAAACTCTCTATTTATAGGGATCGAGTTGGGAATAGAGAAATTCATCTCAGGAGGCATCCATGGAATTCCTGTGTTGGTTGATGTTGATGTTGGTGGCAGTTCCGTCTCGGCTGCCGGAACTAAGACTGCTTCAGGTGGAAGCTCATGTTCTGTAGGCGTAAATGAAGATTGTTCTTCCAGATATATTGGGCCGCTGCCCGTTACTCCCTGCTCTTCGCCGATTCCAATAGATGAAATGCTAGTTCTCAGCATCGAAGCGTCTACCTCGCCCATTATTGGTATTGAGGCAGCCTCAGGATCATCAGCTATAACTCGGGCTTGATGGACTTCAAGACCAGCATTCAACCGCCATGTATTTAGCTCAGAGAGGAGCTCATCGCGTTCGGCTGCGAGGCGATGAATCTTCTGGTCAGACTCGGCTATTTTCTGCTGCTCGGCTTTGTGAAGCGCAACGCTTTGGTCGATTACAACGTGTTTGGAAAGTCTGTTCGGGTCGGTTGATCGCAGTGATGGTATAAGGCTCGCAAGCGTCTAGAGGCCATATTAGCTGCATACATACACGCAAAGATTGGCAGACAACTCGTCTTGTTGCTGTTGTTGTTGTTGTTGTTGTTGTTGTTGTTGTTGTTGTTAGTTCGACTTACGGTCAATCGTTCTTTGAACGCTTCCCGTCGAGATCTCTCAAACACTCGATGTGCTGCGCGGTCATCTGCGGTCCAGTTCCTAATGCGCTTCTTCTTATTTCTGTCGGGCGGCGACTGTGTGTTCGCCGACAAGCCCTGATCTGCCATGGGAGGCGAAGTGTTGTCTGTGGATGACATGCCCGCCGCAGAAATGCGATGGGGCGCTGCCGAGATGGGGGCAAAGGATGGCGAATATCGATCGCAGCCTTCTCAGCCAAACTGGAGTCAGTGCGCGTCCTCAATAGTCTCGACAGCCCACTGTCGCATGTCGAGGCATCGTGAGATAACAAAGAGGGGAAGCATGGAGTTGAGTGACGGCGGTGGCGAGGCTGGGCTATTAGCGCTCATGTGCTCAGGTGCTCACGCCTCAGCGCTTCAGCGCTTCTAGCGGCCGAGCTTTAAGCTCCGAATGGGAATCTGGGGTGCATGAACCGCTAAGCCTACCCTGGCGGGGGCATCTCCGCTGAAGACTCAGCTGACCATTTCGCCGGGCTGCAGGTCGACAGAATGACCCGGCCGCAAATCGGTAAACACGTCCTCCTTTGCTCAATCTCAGGACGGAGGGCATTTGAGGCATATTTGTCTCTACAGGTATTCAAAAGCGCTGAGAAATAGCCACGCAAAGGAGGGGAGTATCTATGGAAATCGCCAATAGGTATGGCCCAAAACCAGTGTAGTACATGTACCCATTCCTGATTCCAGATGCCAGATGCCTAATCTCATTCACAGCAACGACAACGACAACGGCAGATACCTGATGAGAACCAAATTGAGGCATTATTTTAATATAGGTATTCGTCTTGAATCGCTTCTACAAAGTGTCGTGCCATTATAATATCATCGCAATACGCTCATGTCCCCCTGGTACCATCCAGACATATCCGTTACTAAATCCAACCCACCCAAGCCCCCAAAGCTATCATCCATCATGCCCATGCCTCCAAAGTCTTCCGCATTCATGAAATACGACAGCCAGTCTGTCGACACGAACGAATCCAACGTCGTGGTCGGATAAGCAGGGAACTCGGCAGTCATATCCGGAAGGTCTGCGAGAGACAGCGGCTGCGAGCCCAGCGTCGGTTCGCCATGAGGCAGTAATCCTTCTCCCGGAGCAAGCATTGCATCCGCCGAAGCGACAAATCCATCTATCGTGGAGACAAGTCCGTCTCCATATGGACTATTCCCAGACTGGGACGAGATGCTAGTGCCATCAGTCATGCCCGTTGATGGCGCGGCGCTGCCAGGCTGAGAATCCGATGGCGATAACAATGGTACCCCCTTTGGATAGTCTTGTCGCGGAGAAAATCGTCTCATGGTCGCTGAGAAGATTCGATCCAAGACGTCCCGGCTCCGCTTTGCCTCGGGCCAGTACTCTCCAGTCGCACTGAGAACATCCGACGCTGCCTTCAGAGACTGGGTCAGGCAGTCAAAATTAACCTGTTCGGCAATGCTGTCTGGCGTCCAGACGCAATAGAAGAGCGTCATAATACATAAAAATAATGAGTGGACGGTAAGCCATCCGTAGCGCAGCTGATTCTCGCCATATAGTTTCGCGTAGAGTTTGCTGCATGCAATAGCGCTGCTGAAACATTCGCCCATATCCACTTTCGTTGGCCGTTGAAACACAGGATTGGGGCGCAGGATAAGCATCATCAGTTCGTGGTATCGGATTTCACAGAGATCATTCAAGTAAGACATGCGCTCGCCTTCAGCATGCTTGGGGATCTCTTGTCGCCATTTTCGCACGCGGCTGATCACGTCCGTGCGCCATGCCGACATGTCGTGAACGGCGGGAGTTACATACGGCGGATAGCTTCGATCGGTACAAAATATAACAGTTTTGATTTCAGAGCTGAGTCTGGCGTATTTGAAAAGATGAATTGCGCTTGTCATGGTTGTAAGGCTTCCAGGAGGTCTCGGGGAAGGCCTAACTCCTTCCTCGGTCAACTCGTCGTCGTTCACGTCCAACGGCATCTATTCAGCTGATGTGTCAGTGGAAACTGCCCGGGCTCGTGGGGACGCTTTGAAACCTACTCTTAATTCACATTGCTCGTCGAAAAAGCCTAGCGGACGCCCCATTGTGGTACAGAGCTGCCGGTTCATAGCATACGTGCACCAAAAGATTCTCGTGCGTAGTTCGACTTGGAGAGGATTAAAGTGGCGAGGATTCCGAACGTCGCGATGCAAGCCCAGTTCCAAGCATGAGGCCAGCGAATGGTAGTGAAGAGTCCAGAGATTCAGCCCTGAGGATGGGTCATGGAGAGTATACATCTCCAGCAATAAAAGGCATTGGCAGGTGGCGAGGGACGGCGTTCTAAAAACAGTATCCAGACGCTGCAAAGCAGAAGCATAATACCCTTCGCCCAGCATATGCCGCCGCGAGCGCCGACCATAAATCGTGGCTCCGATTGCCAGTACCATAAATACGTGGAACTCTTCCAGGGGATCCAGGATTTCACCATTGTAAATCCGGTCAATAATGCCAAGGAGAGTGGGCTCGTGCAAGAAAGGAAACTGGAGGTGAACGGAGTCGAGGTATATCTGAGTGAGGAATAGGGTTTGTCTCTTGTCATTTGGGAAATCTTTCGCTTGCAGATCAACCAAGTCTCCTGGCAAGAGCCCGTCGTTTTCGTTGCAGCCGGTGCCGCGAAGGTTTACTGTCTCAATATCTGCAACATGCGCTAAGCCTGCAAGCACGAATTTGGTGAAGAAGAGGCCGCTGGAGGGGCCCAAGTATCGAAGGTCTGAGCCACCAGAAATTGATACGAGACTCATTTGCTCCGTTATCTCATGAGGTGAAGTCTCTTCTGGGGAGTCTTTAGAATTATGGCGCGTGGAATATTGCCCACGGCCAGTCGATGCTGCCTTGGCTTGTGATGGCCTTCCCGGCCCTGAGCTGAGGTCGACATCTGGACATCTATCACGAACAATAGATTCCAGCCATGAAACTCGCGATTCAAGGTCCGTCAGATAGCTGCACAAGTTTAGATAGCGTTAGTTAGGCACACCAGCAGGGGCGCAGCAACAAACGCCGCCCCTAGTTGAAGCTGAAGGTCTCACTTTCGAGGTATCTCACGCGAGGTACCGCCATCCACACACCGGACGCCGGCCTTCTGGCAACCTGTGCATGCTGGTAAAATTCCATCACACTAGATATATTACATTGGTTAGTCAACGTCTTGATGGCCACTTTGAAGGCAGCATGTCGCAGAGATACGTGCCCGAATCTTCCTCTTTTGACATCTCACACAGGCTGCGCTTATCCGAGCACGAGTCCTCGCTCTTCTGTGAGTGGGTTGAGTGGCTGCTTGTGAATCGCGGTCTGGAATCGAGTCGCTGGGACTGGTTTTTGGCTCCATGCCGTGGTATTTCCTGTGAATATGAATGAAACTCTCATTCGATAGAGTTGCTTCTACTGCTCTGTGGACGCTTTCCTAGTGAGTGAGCGCCCAGGCCTTGTCTCATGCGGCTTGAATGCGGAGCTTACGGGGGGGCATTCAATTATCAAGCAAAGCTGATTGTCACGTGAGAGTGAGATTATTGATTCGCCTGTCGGCTACAAGATGCGCGGCATTTGTCAGCCCAGCTACTAATAAGGTTTGCTTAGGAGCAGAGTGCATACGATCTCTTCGTGCTGTTTTCTTCGATGTTCTATGTTGTAATATTGACTAACTTATTCAAAATTTCAAAGGTAGCAGGGTCCGGATTCATTTCGTGCTCATAACTTTTTATTAAGCTTGGGGAGCTGCTAAGACATCTGGCAGGCAGCTCTGTCTTTGAGCTTTCAGAAATAGCTGTTGAGCTCATCTCTTCGTATCGCCACTAGGCCGTATCATCCGCTAGTGATATATGCGTACTTATGACACTACTGTGGTAACAGTTTAGGCAGTTGTACTAATAAGTACAAGTGGGCGTCAGAACGATGATGTAAGCTCCCGGCTAGCCGTTTTGTTATTGCCTAGGCGAGGCATGTTAGGTTAGGTAGTACAGTAGTTGAGACATGAGTCGTCAGAATGTCAGAATGTCACTTATGATATCATTATTATCATTATACATCTTGGCCATAATGGACACATATGATAACTAATCTCAATTGGTAGCAGAAGAGAATAGGAAAGACTAATGAAAAGGTTAAAAAAAGAAAAGAAGACTTGGGGGGAGGGGGGGGGGGGGATCCCAAGGTTAAAAAGTAATACACAAAAGAATTATGGGAAAAAAAAGGCGGTAGTTTTGAAACTCCCGTGTTAGGGCCATACGAGACTTCATGTATAGAGATGGTGAAATAATCAAGGCTAGTGTTATAATAATCTATTAAGTGCCAAATACCTGGCATCTGAGTCTAAAGATAGCTTATAAGTCTAATGTTATATTTTCCAGCAGTCTATCGCTTAACAAACAATTCGTTACATCATTATTAGAGTGAGATTAATTTCTCGTTGCCCCATCATACCTGTCAAATGGCCTAGTTCTGTGCAACGAGGACTGCGCGGTATCGGACGTTACCCTCAACTAGTCTAGCCATGGCATCAGTCATACCGGTTTCGTTGAGCGGGAACTTCTCAATCTGAGGAGTAATCTTGTGCAGAGCACAGAATTTCAGCATCTTCCGCATCTCAGTGGTGGAAACCACGACTGAGCCCTGGATTCGGATACCCTTCATGACAAGGTTGAACAGGATAATCTTGGAAGGGTTGAAGTCGACTGCAAGAGGGTAGATTGCGCTGTTAGGAGCCATCAAAGGAATGACGCTAGAGAATTATTAGTTAGTATTAATGATACAATTGCTCAGTAGGTAGCTTTGAAAAGTTGGAAACTTACGCATCGTAGTCAATCTGGGCATTTCCACAGAGGAGAAGGTGCTTTATGGGCTCCATCTTGCCTTCAAACTTCTCTCCCCGGCGGAGTATATGAAACTCCTGAGCGCCGAAATCGAGAGCCTCCTGGCGCTTAGACTCGCTGCTGGAAAAGACAACAACGTGGCAGCCCATGGCAGCGGCCATCTTGATGGCGATATGGCCCAAACCACCAATGCCCATGATACCAACTCGATCAGTGGACTTGATTCCATACTGGTCGAGAACGGTCCAGACAGTAGCACCTCCGCACATCAACGGTGCGGCATCAGCTGGGTCGATCTCATCGGGGATCTTGAAGACACAGCGGGCATCGAGAACAGCTCCGTGAGAGAAGCTACCGGTATCGAAATCGGCGTTGCCATATGCGACAGCCTGAGAGCAGTACTGGTCCCAGCCTAGAGAGTGTTATTAGCAATTGTCCAGCATTGCAGCCAATATCGGCTATGAGCTGTAGTTTACCAGTCAAGCATTCCATGCAGTTACCGCAGACTTGGCGAATATAGCCAAATCCGGCGACATCACCGACCTTGAGGTCCTTGACGGCAGGGCCAACCTGCTTGACAATTCCGACTCCCTCGTGTCCGAGAGTAATGTCGGCGTGTCTGAAGTGGAGGTCGGTGCCGCAAACGCCGGAGTGGGTCATCTCAAGGAAAACATCATTGGGGCGAAGTTCTCTGGTAACAGTCTTGCGAACCGGGGTCTCGCCCTCAGCACCGCGGTAGACGTCGAAGGTAACCTGGCCGCTCATTCTGATTGTGTTGGTGTGGTGTTATATAAAGTCGAAAGGTTGGTAATTATAATTATGTGTTGTAAAGCTGAAAGAGTTTGGAATTGATGTCTTAATGTAATTGTTTTATAAGTGTTGCGGTGGTTGATATTGTTGTTGATTGTTGATGTTCTTCTGGCTGGGAAAGTTGTATCGAGGGGCTGGCCCGCGATTCTTTAATACTTGCATCGCGGCAACAGTTCAAGCAACAATTGATATCATTTTTCGGCGTTTCTAAACTTAGCACCGATGAAACACAAATCTCAAGGATAATTACAAACACACTCTCTCATTACCGAGGAAACCCACCAGTCAAAGCGCCTGCTTTGCAGCTACCGGAAGATCCCATCGACGGCAGATGCTCCCTGTGTACGGCATGTCCCGTATATGTTCCGCATTAGGCTTAGTGACGCAGTGATTGCTTCGAGAAAGTTTCTAGGCCATAATTGAAAGAAATTTTCAGAGCATTTTGCGGATCTTCCCAAGCACTAGTGACATCATGTCCGAAGCCTGCTTATCTCATCGCCCGAAACCCTGCATTCAGCCAATAGAAGAGAGACATTGTTTAGTGATCCGTAGTGAAGTTTTATTGCGTTATCAAGCTGTGCGAATGTTCAAGATAACGCTGCATGTAAAAACAACCTGGAAAGTCAACGGGCCTTTCCGAGTAGAAGTTAATGGATTGAATCGACATTTTTTGCCCATCTTACTCAGCAGACAAGTACGAACAGAATTGATAATTATTGCAGAGGATCACTTTGTACGACTCGATGGCCGTATATCCGTATGCGCAACATGTGGTGGATCTTCGCCACATTGTGATCGATTCATTCTCTGAGAGTCCTTTTGAGCTATTATACAAACAATGCTGCCATGCACCCGTACATGTATACGTCAGTTGACATCGTACGCAGTGGTTGATCCACTCTCGCTAAAGTGCGCATTTGCATGAGATATAAATGTAATGCAAAAGACAGACACCGAAACTGAACGAGTCAATTTTCTTGCAAACTAAGGATAGCGAGGTGCGAAATAGTACCAGACTCCACTAACTGAGAGCTTCAGCCAGTCAACTGAGGTACCAGCGGGCCACAAAGGGATTTTGATACCACGGGAAAGGTACTATACCTGAGCCGCATTGAAACCACATCCGAGGTTAAAGATTTATTTATTAGTTAGAAATAGAATGAAGGGACAAAGGAGGGAAATGCCCCCACGCTCAATCACAGTGCATAGGGGATCAAAGATCCAATCTAGCAGCAGTTGGGACGTCTGTGCACAATGATAATGAAAATCCATCAATCTGTTCGGTATAGCAGTATATACGAATACGCATTATCCACTTGGTTACTCCGTCCGAGGCACATCATAGTCACTTAGGGTAGGCTATTATGTTGATAGAAGTTCGACCGGCTTTTCCGCCTGCAGCCATTATTAGACCCCCACTCAACTACAACGAGACTCAGTCTATTGGAGAACGAGTTACTCTTGATGTTACAGACAAAATATATTGATTATACAGAGTAATCGTCATGAGCAGAATTTGGGAGGATATGCATACTGATTCATAAGTGATGTCATGTGTATTACGGTATAATGCTGCCTTGAGGCTAGGTACAATGTACAAAGTATCCAGGAGTTGCTAGAAGTCAATGAAATCCTCAGGAGACAGTTTCATCAATGCCGGGCATCAGGTCCCAGTCGATGTCGGTGAGAACGTTCCAACCTGGGTCCCACTCCATTGCTGCCGAGGCGCAATGGAACTCATCTTGAGCGGACCCCACTTCGGCGCCTCCCATAAACCCGCCGAGATTGGCCCGGTCAAGTCCGCGATGGCTAATATACTGTAGCGAAAATCCATTTAAACTCCATGGATTTTCCACAACCGGGACATTAGCTCCTGGATCGGCTGAATAATAAGGAAGAGGAGGAGGAGCAGGCCGAGGAGGCGGGACAGAGTTTTCATCAACGTTATAGCCGACTGATTGCAATAGATTCCGGGAATTAATGGACTGTGTGTGGCGAGAACGTTTGCGAATCACTGCGCCAAAATACGGTATCACAACTTCCCGGTATTCGTCCGATGGCTCGGGCCCTTTCAAACTGAGCATTTCAAGCACCTTTCGACACTGTGCTGCAACTTTGCAGTCGCTCTTGACCTCTTCATCGAGTAAAATCTTGTCGGTAGCGGCCACCAGCTCCAGATCTTCTTCGACGTTTGGCGACAGACCTTCAGCGCTGCAATGGAAAGTCCCAACAAGAAGAACTACAGCGGCAGTGAAACAAGCAAAATCCGTTGTCTGGCATTCGAATAAACAGTTGCCCGACTTGTTCCTGTAGCGCAAAACCCGATATCTCCTCAAGATCTGTTTTGCCGATTCTATACAAGCCATTCTGCTAAAGTAATGGGGTGAACCCACCGATGAGTCTACTAAAAATGGCAAGTGAAGATATAGCTTGACCCAAAAGAAGTATAATTGCTGTAATAGCTGTTCTCTGAGATTGTCAGACTCGAGTGGCTGTAGTGATTGTCCTAGATCATTCGGGATCATCCACCAATCCTTGGATAGGGACGACGCGATCGATTCCAATTCTTCATCCAGCTCTATCGCTTTCGCGTAAGAAGGCTTGCTGGGAGTCAAATTTCGATCAATTATCTTTCCGGAAATGACTGCACAGTTGAGAACGAAATAAAATCCTTGGGACATTCCGGGTGCTGTAATAGCAGATTGATAATGGTTGTCGTTCAGCCCATAAGGCAGGCCTAGTAGCATACTACTAAATCGATCGCCATGATAAACTGCAGACCAGAGCCTCAGCTCTGTCCCAGAATAGTTGTTTCCAATGCATATGCCCTGCGCATAGTCAGATAAAGCACGAAATCATTAACTTGATTAACAAGGGGACGAACCATCAGCTGAATTGCAGCTATGCCCTTCTTCCATACAAGCCATGATCTTTTTGGCTGGCCGCAATCAGTATACGATTTAGCAAGCAGTATCAGGCATTCCAAGCCTTCTATAGTTGCTGTATAGGTAATATCTGAGATTACAAGTTCATCTACAAGGGTAAACATATAACGGTGCTTATTTAAGCTCCTCGCAAATGCAATGGCGAGAGCACCTACATCGGCCGGGTTGCTGCTTGTATAAGTTCGCTTTGCAAAGGCCTCGATTGTCTGAGACGGGGCTTCAGAAATGGCGTATGCTTTTTGACGGAAGCTGTTCCACCACGACCCCTTCGCAGCTAAGACAGACCTTATCGTGTCATAGTTCGGTAGAATTGAACGTAAAGTGGAGCATATACGTGCGGATTTGCTACCGAGAGGGTCATCAAAAGAAAGTCGCAGATTTTGACCTCTGTCTGAAAGTCGAGGGTAAGTCGATTCGCTACCCGTTGACAGCAAAACGGAAGACTCGGCCGTTTCGATTTCTGCTAATTTAGAAAGCTATGTATAACAGTTAGGGCCGAAGGGAAAATAAACATCTATTTTCTAAACAAGAATTTACCTTGGCATTGATTAGCAAGGACACGATCGGTGCAGAGTCGATCTTTTCTGGCAGTATGAGATCGGATGTCTCCGCATCTTCAAAGAGATTATCGGGCTGATCAATAGAAGATCCAGCTCGGATTTTGGATCTTCTCTCATTATCATGGTGTTTACGAAGACTATTTGGCTTCGATTCCGAAGAGCTCGAACCTTCGCTACCTTGTTCAATACAGCGGGCACCACGCGATTTGCACAAGGCGCAGTCGCGATCTCCGGGCGAATAAATACACCGTGTTTTACGTCTTCTACCTGGTAGTTAATTGTTAATATCCGCCGATCCCTTATTATGAGAAATCTTCCGCATGGCAGAGCACATGCAATGGGGGTTTGTCACATGCAAGTCGTCTGTAATTGGCAACTGGTATATACGTACATTCAGTACAGCTTCGGGTTCCCTTCCGCATCTTCTTCGCTCGATGAGCGGGCGCGCTTGTATGATTTCGAGATTCATCCATCTCGGATGAAATGTTTGGTACGAGTTGAAAGCAAAGCTCGTATTTACCGCAGACGAAATCCTATCCGGATGGGTGATATAGGAGTAAAGCGGTCGTCCGCGGACGAAGCCAATAATGGGCATCATCGCTGGCTTGTCCGCTCACGTGATCGGAAATCTTCCTCATCTCTCTGCTGCTCGCATCCACGTAGTCCGCATTTTCGTCCATGTTGTCGGTGCTACCACTACTTTTTGGATCTAGTTCAACAGGCTGTAGAAAGTTTACTTCGATCGGGATCAGCGAAGGTACGACGCCTAAAACACAGATTATGGCTAAAGCGCCAAGAATAAAGAACATACATGTTTATAAAAGGCCGTCAGAACCATACCCCAGATGAGGCCACTGCAATCCTCACATGCAATAACAATAGTTAATCATCTCTTCTTGACAAATCGATCTGTGGCACTCTTCATCCTCAAATATACTATCTATTTGCAACAAAATGGCCCCTCTTGTCTTCCTCGTTACAGGCGCCACATCTGGCATAGGAGCTGCCTTGGCACAGCACATTCTCCTTCGTGGGGATAAAGTCATTGCGAGTGGTAGAAAGGTTGAAGAACGACTTGGCCATCTAAAGTCCACATCAGATAACATCGCGCTTCTGGAACTTGATATAACCGCTGGAATCACAGAGGTTAGGGCTCAAATACAGAAAGCGTGGAACATATTTGGACACATTGATGTGCTGATGAACAACGCTGGCATGTCGGCTGCAAAAACTGTTGAAGATGCAGAGTGAGTTTTTATTCGCGAAGAATGCTCCTTATAGGCGGCTTACTAAATCATGGTTGGAAACAGTGATGCATACGTGCAAAATATGTTCCAAGTCAATGTCTTTGGACAGATGCATACAACTCAGGCTATATTGCCCTTATTCCGTGCTCAGGGTCATGGCTGTATTGCATTTACTTCCTCCAGCTCTAGCTGGATGGCTCTGCCGGCAATGTCTCACTACTCAATGACAAAAGCAGCTCTTAGTGCTTTCGCAGAAAGTCTTCACAAAGAGGTCTGCGACTTGGGTATCCGAAGCGTCGCATTCGATTGTGGCGGTTTTGTCACCAACCTTATGCAACCCCGAGAAGGAGACCATGCTGTACCCCCTTCCGAGATTACAGAGGCATACAAACCCCTTCTTGCAGAATTCCTTGGCGTCTTTGCAACCGATCCCATGGGACTTATGCCGGGGGATCCTGCAAAGGCTGCGTCTACAATGGTTGATGTAGTTAAAAGAGAAGGTGTCGCAGCCGGTCGGCCATGGGCTACTCGCATTGTATTAGGCTCGGATTCGTTTGATGGTGCAAAACACCGGCGAGAGGAAGAGCTGAAATTGCTCAAGGTTTGGGAACCTGTTAGTGTGAGCACTGATGGACGAAAATATGTACCCAGAGAGGATTTTCGGAAGTACACCATTGTAACCGGCGTACAGCTTTAATTGTGGATATAGACCATACATGCATTGATTAGCATAGAGATGACTCAATTACCAAATCCGATTTATTAGCGCATCTCCTATTTCCGAGGTGTAAGATGTACTGAATTTTGTATTGTAATGACTGTGTGCTATCAAGAGATTATCTCGTTTTATACACCTTTTATCTTTTTTTGGTTGTGTTTATGGGCATTTCTTTTAAGTGAGATCAGCTAACGTGCCGCCAACCTTAAAAGACGTTATATCCCGGGGCATCATTACTGATTTTTATATAAAATAACGGTCGAATATATGTAAATGAAAGTAGCGAATGAAAGGGATTCAAGATTCTGCTTGTATCTTACGATCGGCTGATGTTTCTACCAGGATCGATAAATTGGGGAAGTACCACAGCTGAGAGAATTTTCTCTCAGTCAGTAATCGTCTCCGCGGCTAATGACCTCCTTTACGGTAGGTCTGAGCAAGATAGTCTATTATAGTTCGTTAGTAGGTATCACTAAAAGTAGTAGCATGACAAAGGCAATACTTACATGCTCGAATTGGGCCGAATACGACCCTTTTTTATCAACCAAAGGCGGGTAGTCTTCAACTATACCACTCTTCACAAGGGTATTAAGCTGTCCGAAATGTCAGTTATTTTGAGTGCAGAATTTGACGGTTGATGGACCATACACCAAGTAGATACTTTTCCTGGCCGATTCTATCCAAGTATCGTCGGCAAAATGGAACGGTGTGAAAATTCTTCTTGATAACATTCAAGAGTGACTTGGCCGAAGAGAGACGTAAGTCTACCTTTGGTGCATCGCTGCGGAGAGCGTAATGAGAGACGTCTCCATGGTCGTATACCCAGCCATTACCAGTACTACCAAAAGTCTCGATGGCAAAGATATCACCCTCTTCCATCTTGGTAATGTCGTCCGATTTTACAGCCGGGATGCTTTTGGTACCATGGATGCGATATGGTAAGATGCTGTGGCCTCCTATATTGCGAATCGATTTAATCGGATAAGTCGTACCGTCAATCTCACATTCGTAACTTTCCATGGTTTCTTGGACATAACCACCTATCTCGCCAAGACGAACATCAATTCCTGCCTCGCGGACGCCAGTATTCGTAGCGTCTTTCACAGCTGCAAGAAGGTTATCATATTTATGATCAAACGCCATTGTAAAGGCGCTGTCGACAATGCGACCGTTGACATGCACGCCAATATCAACTTTTAACACGTTATTTTGCCCAAGCACAGTCTTATCACCTGCATTTGGACTAAAATGAGCCGCAATCTCATCGATATTCACGCCGGTCGGGAAACCCATGCCGGCAATAATCGAATCCCCTTCAGTTAAGCCGTCATGCCCCAAGAGTCGCCGAACGCTATCTTCAATGCCGTTGGCAATTTCAGTGAGGCTCTGGCCGGGCTTAATATTCTTTTGCGCCCATTGGCGGACCTGGCGATGCGTTTCGGCTGCCTGGCGGTAATCAGAGAGGAAGTCGTTGTTAATGTTATCTAAATGACGCTTTTCTTCGTAAGTAGTGCGATACAAATTCTCATCTTTATATTCGACCTCTTCGCCCTTTGGATAGTTATTGTTTGGGAATAATTTCGATACAAGGATCGATGGAGGATCCGTTTGAACAGCCTTCTTCTTCCTCTTGTTCTTCTTTTTTTTATTCTTCGGCTTCTTCATGTCACCACCCTCACCGGTGGCAGCCGCGACTTCAATAGTATGTTGATCTGGATCATCATCCGAATCTTCACCAGACTGCTCCGCAGCGTTTCCTGTAGCGGATCCATTGGTGTGAGCGGTGCTGATGACCTTTACAGATCCTTGGCCTATTCAAGGTAGTATTAGCGAAACAATGCTCGTCGGTCGTTTCTGAAAGGTGCAAACAGACCATTGAGCATCTTTCGCTCATCAGAAGGTGTTTTGGCAGCCATTTTAATTGTTTAATAGATGCCTGAAATTTTGCAAAACAGAATTGCCAAGTCTAATACCAGTCCCTGCTTCTGCTGCGTCTATGAAATCATGCGACATGTAATCCGAAGGGCGTGGGTTTCACAGTGATGCATTTACTGAGAGTAATCAAAGGCGGGCATGCAAATAAAGAGATTTTCTAGAAAACCGGGGTCTATATGCCAGATTCAAGCTCTGAAGGCCGCTGCTGTTCAGCTTGATCACTATTTAGAGAAGTATCATTTGTTTTAACCAGGGTATAGGCTTTACATTTTACGAGTGAAGACCATTTTGAAACGCTTTAATGAAATGCGTAGTGCGCACTAGCTTTACTAGAGCTTTGCGCCTCTTTCGTCTAGTTAGGTTCATGTACTGAGCCCAGCCGTTTCAGTGCCTATTTGTCTTTGGTAATACCGTAAAGAGAGATGTTTAGCAAGCGCATCGAAGGTACGCACCAATGGTTCCGAAAGGCCAAGTACGAAAATGTGGGAGTCCGATAATGTTAAATTAAGATTTTTTTTAATTGTTTGCTTCGTTGGTTAAGACTTTGTCACATCGTTGGTTTATAGCTATGGCTTGAAGACAACTTTCTGTACCTTCATCTCGTCAAATAGTGTATAGCCCTGAACAGCTTCTTGAAGCGGCATAGTGTTTTCAAACATGAATCTACCGTCTCTAGTTAGATCACCCGTCAAATTTGAATTCGATGGGAATGGGAGCTCACCCAAAGAGATGCTGCTTCTTCTCAAATAGAGCGAGAGCCTCTGAAAAAATGCTGCGAACAGGGCATCGACCCATCTGTAAACGAATATTCTTGCTATACGTATTCATCCGTTAGAATTCTGCTCTTCCCCCTTTTTCCATCTGGAGGCTAGTTTGTACTTACCCATACGCTTCATTGCCTGACCATGGAATCTGCTCGATGTTAGCGTCGAGCTGAGTCGCATTGCATTGCATTATGATGAAACTTACCTCCGCATTGTGAACACCAATGCTACTAATACATCCAAAAGGCCTCACAAGATCAAACGCTGTCCTTAATGCTGGTGAAAGTCCAACAACCTCAACGACCAAGTCGGCGCCTCTTCCTTCTGTAACCTCCCGGATTCTAGCCGTCATTCCTGCTTTGTCCTTGACAAAATTAAGAGGCTCGGCGCCGAGTTGCTTCGCTTGATTGAGTCTACTATCCACGCTATCAATAGCAAATAGATGCTTAGGCTTCAATTCGGCTGCTGCAACAATCGCACATAAACCAACAGGGCCACATCCAATAACAACCATGGTGGATTCATGTATATTGAGAGTTGGAGGGGCAAGACTGAGTGCAGACTTGACGCCGAAAAAGCCAGTGGGGAAGATGTCTGCCATTAGAATAAGAGCTTCGTCAGAGATCGAGGGCGGTGCTTTGTGCGTAGTGCCGTCTGCAAAAGGCACACGGACGTATTCGGCTTGGCCACCGTCGAGCTTGGTTGAGCCAAAGAGCAACCCTTTCTCACAGCGTGCAGAAGCGCCATTGAGGCAGTAAAAGCATTTGCCGCTGGCATTCTTGTAAGCACAAATGCTTCTATTGCGCGGAGCGAGAACGAAAGTATTATATCAAGATACGAGTACATACCATGATGCGGTAAACGGAGTTACAACCTTGTCACCCACTGCAACTGACTTAACAGCTGAGCCTATGGCTACAACAGTTCCTGTGAATTCATGCCCCATAATGAATCCAGGTTGCGGCCGTTCATGGCCGCGATAAACGTGCAGCTCGCTTATAGGGCATCCTGCATTAGCTGGGAGATTTTCCCGGTTAGGTTGGGAGAAAAATACTTACGAGCCACAGAGAGCAGTCGCGCTGACTTTGATAATGATGTCTTCGTCATCTTGAACTGAACTGAGTTTTAGAATGCTCATCTCACAATTGTAGCGCTGCCACATAGCTAGCTAGAGACTTACTTTGAGGCACTGGCCGATCTTGGACGGACACACTGCGGGGCCCGCCGAAGACGACGGCCTTCATTGTTTGAGGCAATGCCATTTTAGAAAGGAGATTGTAGAGTTATTAACACCAGAGAGCTCTATGTGCCTTGTATGATGATTTTGTAAAGTTATCTGAACCGTTTGAACTGCTATGAGGGGATTAAATGTGGACTGAAGCACCGTCGTCAGTCTGGATCATGCCATGCAATTGTGTCTCTCCACAGAATGTTCTCAGCTCTCTCAACCCCTCTCAAGCACTAGCGCACTAGTGACGCCAATTGATTGCCGAGGGTCGGCCAATCTGCGGAATAATTGAAAGATTGAAGACAGCAATTGCCCGTTTTTATCTCTCTTTAGGTGGAAGATGGAACGCATTAGTTCATGCATGTGTACTCCGTACTAGTATATAAGTTGGGCGAACGCTAGAATGGGAGACTAATAATCTGCTACATTGTTTGGGGTCTTAGCAGGTATTAATACGCCAGCTATGTCTATAATATTGGTCGTTACATACATGCGTCTGCCCTACTCAACCTGTTTCCATATCTGCTCAAGTTGGAACATTTGCATCCACTCATCTGCCCGGTTTGCATTTGCGAAACCAGCTTGCATATTCTGGAACGCTTGCGCTCCCTGTGCGCCTTGGGCTGTGTCATACCAGCCTAGCTGACTACTTCCATGAAGATGCCCATCTGTGGCGCCAGATACAGACAATAATCCATCCATACCCGTGTACATGACACTCACCAGGCCCTGAGTCATCGCGGCTTGCATTTTCGCTTGCTTCATTGAGCGGATTAAATCCATCAGAGGAATTGTTTGAGTATAAATTTTCAGCCGGTTATTTGCAAATTCGGTGAATTCTGCCACCTTGGCATCCGATTCGGGAGAGCCTGGGGCACCAGCGTCACACGCTTGCAGCCACATTGTGCGCATGCGAGACGACCAGATCTGACAAATTTGAGGGCGCTCATCAAATCCTTTCTTTATGGGCACCGAACTGCCAAGTTTAGTGTCGATAACAAAACTCAAATAGCAATCCTGACAGAACAAAGCGCCGGGATAACCCCACCAAGTTGTCTTCTCGACTGTTTTGAGCACAGGGCAGACAGGAATCGAAGCAAACGTCCGGACGTAGTCCAGGTAGTAACTGAAAACTCCTTGATCCATCGATTTGGCATACATTCTTAAATATTGCCGGAATCGAGGGCTCGACACGCAAAAATCGCAGACTAAAGTGGCCTCGGGATTGCGTCGTGCAGGCTCGAAGAAGTGGCCGACTCCACTCGTTCTTAGAATGGACGTATAACAGCTCTCACAAACATCAAAGTTGTCACACCCTCCTTGGATTGTCCACCAGTTGCCGCGAATGATCCCGTTTGCCGTACAAGGGGGGAGTCGACACGCGACTTCTGCCGAGCTACTAAACACAGACCAATCGCGCTGTTCAATTGCATTTTCCATAGCCCACACCAAGGGGAGGTTAGTTTCGTGTAGTTTGCAGGCCCATAATTGAGTAAAATGATGGATAAAAGAATCCAAATCCGTGTTCATGCTATATGCTTCGAATTCTCTTTCAAACCGCGTGAGAACAACTCTGTCCATGTAGCAAGCCTCACAAGCCTGCATATTCTGGATCTTGCGCCGTGGTATGTACCAGGTACAAGAATTTGACTGTATGTCTTTCCCTTCACACTTAGGTAAGGAGAGGCGGCGAGTAGCTCTGGCAACAAATCCGACCCAGTCATTCTGCTGAGCCAGTTTAACAACGGCTCGGGAGATGTATTGCACAGCAACATCACAGGACCAGTTCTCATTGGCAGGCTGCTGGCGATATAGAGAGAACTTGCTCTCAAACGACGTACCTACTATGCGATCCTCGTAGCAAGCTTCGCATGCGATGAACCCGTTAATTTCGCTATTGGACATTCCATACCATTTAATTTGTTCTGTGGCCGCCGTTGGATTTGCCCCTTTGCATGCCTTTATACTGCCACGCTTGTTCATGAACAGTCGCAACGCGTCGATGTTGCCTGTACGAACAGCCTGAGGCCACATAACTTCCTTTACTCGAGGAATCCAGAAAGAACAGGAAGAGTAATAGTTATCAGGCCGCTTTATCTTCTCAAACTGGCTTGCCAGCTGGGTAGATTTGATATGATCAGCGTGGCATTTTGTGCATATCAGGAAATCCGGCATGTCAGGTAAATGATACCAGTAAAGTGAATAATCTAACATCCTTGTTTCTGGACAAAAAGTAATAACTTCCAGGGGCGGCCCTGCAGCACGGATATGCGGTGGAGGCCGCGGTGCATTTTCATCCAACTGCCTTACATAGGGCTGTGACCCTGAACTATCTCCCAGGGGACTCATGCTGAGGTTAACCATTTGCGTGGAAAGACTAGCCATGGGGTCTGCAGATGACGCTGTAGTTGACCGCTGGATTTCTTCTGGGCTGATATCATTTGTGTTTTGAGCTGATGAGGCTTGAGTAGGCCGCGGTTGGTATGCTTGAGGAAGGACATGAGATTCATGTGCTTCGGGCAATGCAGCTGAATTCGGAGGAGGACTGTATGTCAAAGCTGCATGCTGAGAATTGAGAGCTACAGCGGACCTCGGTGGATCCTGCTCTTGGATAGTTTGCGGCTCAGACGACAGTAACGATGATTGATGCGCATTTTGCGATGATGCTGTAGATCGCTGTCCTTGAGTTGCTGGGTCCGTAGTCGGACGAGGCGGAGGAGGGGGAGCGTAATAGATGGTAGTGGTGCTTCCAACCGGAGGACGAGTTGACAGCGGCAAAGGAGGAGGAGATGAAGGTGTATTCGCTATTTGCTGCTGAGATGGTAAATATGGATTTCCGTGTGGCATATATTCTCCTGATACTGGCGACTGTGGTAAAGAGCTAGGCCCGCTGTATTGTTCATTAGACGTATAGCTCGTGTCTTGGTATGTTGAGCTCTGGAGAGGTGTAACTGATGGAGGGCCGGATGTGTTTGGAGCGGTCGCAACACTGCCAGAAGGGCTATTGTAATAGGTGATAGGAGGAGGTGGAAAATATGGATGTGAAGCTTGAGTTTGTGCACTTTGAGCTGGATTATATGGGGGGTGCTGGGAGTAACTAGATGGACTCTGTGGAACTGGGCGGCGGGGAATAGGAGGAGGAGGATAGGACTGAGATGGTATCTGAGTAGATGCTGCCGAGACCACGCTAGGATTTGTCGTTGCTGGACCAAGCGGATAGCTCGACTGCCTAGACGGTGGTGCGCCTGGAGGAGGCGGGTAATATGGCGCCGATGCAGTAGTAGCTGAATACGATGATGGTTCCGAGATAGGTGGAGCTTGATATCCATACGGGGTTTGCTGCTGTGGAATCATGCCTCCGTATGAGTATTGGGCATTATTTTGCACTGGCTGGTCGCCTGTCTGCCTAGGAGGGACTCGAGGAGGGGATTGAGGGGGACCAGATGCATTGCCGTATCGGGGAGGTATCGGCGGTGGCTGTGGATAGCCCGACATTATGTTATAAGCTTAATTGATGCTTTCTATAAGTGACTTTCTTGTGCGTAGATCTCACAGCCAGGTCGCGATGTTTATCGAAAGATTAGCTAGATGATAGTAGTTGGCATTTTGAGTGATTAAATACTAGCTTGTAGTATACGCAAAAGGGTTAGGATATCTTGGCCCTTTTGTGTAACGAATAGGCGATCCGGCTGCTGGCTCAGCCTCTAGCGGGGGTAAACGCACGGAATGCATCTTATTGACTGCGGCGAGGCTCCCACGCCCTTCCGATCTGCTGAAATAAGCCTTGCCAACACGTGGTCACAGGGATATGGACAAGTGAAGCGCTACGCTAACATGCATGTAGAGAGGGAGTAAGATTCTTATAATAAAGATCGATGAGTCGTTAGTTCCATTGTCAACTCAGTGCACACCTTATTTATCACTTATGCTAAAATCAAATCTGGAGCCATGTAGAGGGGCTATCCCGCCGCCATTTGATTTGTCTTTCCCTGCTCACGGCTTGTATTCCTTCGATTCCAAATGTACCGTGTGCCAGTGTCCACGTTCGGATATTATTCTTATTATATCTGAACCAGCTGAGGCTTAATGGCTCACTGCATCACCGAAGATGCATTCCTGTCGTCCTGTGGGGAGTCAGGTGAGGCAGAATCTTTACATGTTGGCTAAATCGTTACATGTTGGCTAAATCGATTCAGCCGCACTTGTATGTGCCCGCATTGCGTGCTTACAACTGCTAACGATTGTTTATCTTATCGTTTCCAGTGCGCCTTGGAGAAGCCTAGGGAGCTGTGGGGCGTCAAACACCAACTGATTACTCCATACTCCCGGAACTCATCTGATCTATATGCATTGCTTCTGATCGATTCGCCTTTGCGGCTGCAACATACAGCGTGGCAATATCAGCAATCATGACTGCATGTTTGGACCAATTTTGTGAGTGTTATATCCTTGCTGTGGCTTTTACAAAAAAAAAAAAAAAAAAAAAAGTGCCCAATGGACTGTAGAGAGCAGGCTACATCAACTGTTTAGCTGACATGATTTCCTTAATAGATATCATTTTCAGTAAGGTCCAATATAAAATGCCAGCAAGAAACATTATATATAGGTCAGCAGCTCAATTTTCTGTATTTAGCACGGTATATTTAAAGCGATAGTAAGAATGGTCTGCTTCACATTTGTTAAGACGCTTAACTCACTTGTCGATGAAGACATCGGTGCATTAGGTAGTAAAACCACTGTTAGCAGCTCTGTGTTGAATAAGTATCAACCAGCAAAGCTTGCATTCTCAAATGATAATAGCAACGGAAGACTTAGCCTTTACACCGAAGGTAATGATGGCGCTGCGGTAGCACCGGTGTCTATTGACTTAGCCGACATTTTCCTTCGCACACACTGTTCTCAGAATTACGCGAGTTTCTAGTCAGTCTTTTGGTAAGGCCAGCCAATTCCACCCCCATGTTATCAGAGAGGATCCGTAGCATAGACCGAGGCTAACGGGCTCAATTTTAGGGTGGGTTTTAGTTCACAAGAAATCGAAAAGCCGCAGTGCAGTGAGTTGCGGAACGCATTTCATCTACAGTGGACCTTCATAGTACGCATTGGGCGGCCTTCTCAGCGGAGTTTCGCGTCAACTTGACCTATTTAGTGGCCTAGGAAACTAGGGGTTTTTGAGACGATATAGTATGACATACATAATACTAAGATGCGGCTCAATTCCTTGAAGTCCGTTTAATTCCTTATGTCCGAGTTTGAGCAGAAGTTGCTCTCATTCCCAGGGTTGTTTCGCTAGAGCTAGAAAGATAAGGTTGACTCGCAGGCGTGCAACGATATGAACTAGAAATTATGACCATATCTGTTCTGAACCACCGCGCAAACCATATTCTCGTCTCCAAATAAAAGGCGAAAGAGAAAGAGGACCAAAAAAAGAAGGAAAGTTAAAAAAAGGAGAAACGCACCCCCTCTATTGCAATCCGCTTAAAAACAGTACGCCACAGACAGACAGTTCCGTCTTAGTTGCGTAAACAAATAAAAACCCGGTCGGTAATGATAGATCCGGACCCAGCTTTAACTCCACCGCACAAATCCGGCTTAATAACTACTATTTGGTGCTACAAATTATTCATACGTCATCCAGTTCACACCTGATGATCTTCAGCGCTCCTTTACTAGCCACAAGTGGCACATTATCGCGGGAACCCGAGGTATGGCTGGCAACTTTAACCTTGGATCTCCGAAAGTGGGCTCGCAATCGCCGATAAAATGTTGTTGCTTAGCTACGACAGGATTAGCACTTTCTTTCGGAATTAGGGCACTAGACAAAATAACCTGGTATGAGACAAAATAACTCAGTACGAATCTCGTTACTGGCTATATTCACCGCAACAAATGGAATAATCCACAAAGTGGAAAAGTGGACCATATTCCGTTTTTGGCGGCGTTCCCGGTATCCAATAGTGTGTAAATGCGTTTGGTTGAAAACCTTCAGTAGCCAAATGCCTACACCTCGACGAAATGCAACCTGGTGCGAAGATAGCCTCTGCTGAAACTTGTAAAGTGGGACGATTATCTCCAGTTTTCCGATGGAAAGGGGCCTCTATGACTTCAATAGCAACGTGTAAAGTCTTCATTGAAAAAGATATAAAGAGGGCCTCACAGCCATGTAGCTGGATTTGAACCAGACAAGCAATTCTACACAGTTCAACTACAAAAGAAACGACATAGACTTTTCTTAATCCGCAACATATTCGAAGCAACCAAAATGTCCACCGACTACAAGTTTGAGGGATGGATGGGTGACGATGTATCCTCGTCAGAAGGCAAGATGGTTTGGAGAGAGTTTCAACCAAAGGCCTGGGAAGAGACTGATGTAGATATTCAAGTCACACACTCTGGTATCTGTGGCTCAGATTTGCACACTTTGAGATCAGGATGGGTGGGTCTTATCCTAACCATATCATTAGTCTCCGCCGTTTCAAGAGTACTAACTCAAGATTCCTTAGGGCGCCACTGAGTACCCTTGTGTTGTCGGGCACGAAATCGTTGGTATCGCGGTTCGAGTTGGCTCCGAAGCTGAGGGTGATATTAGAGTTGGTGATCTTGTCGGTGTTGGTGCTCAGAGCGATGCCTGCCTTGGTCGGGACGGGCCTTGCTCTACTTGCAATGCAGGCTTGCCGCAATATTGCAAAGGCGGCGTCACCACATACAATGCCAGACATCGCAACAAGGGCAAAGCATACGGGGGCTACGCTTTATATCATCGTGCCCCTTCACATTTTGTTGTCAAAATTCCTAAAGGCGTGGAGCCCGAGTATGCTGCCCCATTAATGTGTGGTGGTATTACCGTCTACTCGCCGCTCAAGTTCCACGGTGCTGGTCCGGGTAAAAAGGTTGGCATTGTTGGTGTCGGTGGTCTTGGCCACTTTGCAGTGCTCTTTGCGAAGGCGTTTGGCGCCGACGAAGTTGTCGGAATCTCAAGAAGAGAAAACAAGAGAGCAGATGCCATCAGCTTAGGATGCGACGACTACATTGCCACAAGCGATGACGCAGATTGGGTGAAGAAGAATAGCGAACGCTTTGATCTCATTATCTCAACCGTATCTTCTAATGATGTATGTGCAAAAAACCAATATCCATCTTTGAACTCCCGCGCTAATCTTATAATTTCTAGATGCCATTCAACGAATATGTGGCCCTACTTAAACATGAGGGAACCCTTGTGCAAGTCGGTGCCCCAGAGGCTCCTATTTCTTTGAATCCCATGTCTCTCATCTATGGCCGCAAGAATATTACTGGCTCTGGTATCGGTAGCCCAGGTGAGATCCGCGATATGCTACAACTCGCTGCCGACAAGCAAATCAAGCCTTGGGTGGAGAAGCGACCTATGAAAGACGCGAACCAGGCAATCGTTGACTTGGAGGCGGGCAAGCCTAGATTCCGCTATGTCTTGGTTAACGATTCGTGAAAGATAGAAGAGATGGGTAATTTTAGCGTTGATAAGGACACAACGAAGCGTACTGAGCATTAGAATTAGCATATAACAAAATAGATATGATCATGGGTACTTGAGCCAAAGATGCTTTTTAAATGATAATTGCGCTGAACTTTTGCAATTTGTCGAGCTGAAACCGTTGTGCTGCCCAGAATGCTTCATACTTACGAAGTAGTCTTCCCCAAAAACAAAGTCTATACTTGTATATTTCTTTCGACTACGTAAATTATAACAAAGCGTGAAGCAATACGTCCATCGATGTTTAGGTATATATATATATCTCAGCCTTGGGGTGTGATAGCCTCAATCGCCGAAAAAGAAATACAAAATACATTATGTAATGACCGCGGTTCAGAAAATGCTTTGTCTCACCTAAAATGCAGTACAAAAGGTTTACGCAAGATTTTAATTGGCTGCTTAAAATTTCATTTTATAAAAATTGCATTCTCTCCCGTGAACGTTTTAAAGGTGCTCTTGGCTTGTCTAATAAAAGACTATACAATGGCAGAAATAAGAGTTATTAGTGTAGCTAGACATTAAATTTAAGGACGGCTTATCCAGTATAGAACTTTATTATCTAGGGTGCGAAACGGTAAGAAAGAGCATCAAACAGTGTATAAGTTGACGAATGGAGAGATAGAGCACTATACCAAGCGAGCATATATTAAACTGGTGGTAATGGCTTATCAAAGTGCAGATGACTTGTCTCGTCAGATTCTTACCTGTGGTGAAATGACCCACGACTTTAAAGTAATGTCTTAAGTTTAAAATAGGAATAGCACGCGAAATCTCTTCTTCCCTAGGGTTTTTGCTGTTTTTCTCTTTCTTTTTTCAATATTTCAAGAAATATTGATGCTAATTTATATAACGGAGTTGTATTACGAAGGCTTAAATATGTGCTAGAAAAACACCGAAAGCCAGACTTTGCAAATACGTTTGGAGGATAAAATCCACACAGTCAGATTGACTAATATTTCTCTGTATAATGATGTTTATGTTAACGTTTCCTCTCCCTGGATCTCAAACAGAGCTCTCAAATAAATTTTGTCATCCCGTATTAATTGGCCTTATACAAACTTACGACCGTCTCAAGTCAGGCGCATGCATTCATGAAGAGTTGTGCGAGCTAAAGTTCATAATACGCTTTATTTACAAATACCAATCAGCTATATACGTGAAGCGTTCCAAAGATAAACCGCTATCGAGGCTAAATATTCGTAGCTAATCATTATCATAAACTGAAGTTTAAAAGGTGCGGCTATTCACAATCTTGCCGGTCATTAATTTAGCAGTGAGCAGGGTTGCTAGGATAGACGTGGTTGGTGTTGCAAGTGTTGGGAGCAACGAAGAGAGGAGTGGCTGGAATTCATGATTAGTCGTGGCTATTAAACATCGGGTTATACGAAAACATACTGTCAACACCGTAATTGGTAGGGGGGTTGCGGACGATAGAGTAGCGGCCGCCAAAGGTGAGGTTATCCTCGCAGTTGATCTGGTTCTGACCGCCGTTGACGCTGGGGGAGCCAGTCCAGATGTCAATATGAGGTTGACCGTTGTTCCAGTCACTCTCTGAGAGAGGGGTTAGCGTATGTTAATTTGACAGAGTCATTGAGAAGTGTACGTACCACACTGCTCACAGTCATCCTCATAACGACCATACTTGGTCAACAGGGGAAGGTAGACAATCTCGCAAACGTTAAGCTCGCCAGGGGCGGTAGCAATGGTGATGGGATCGGCGTAAGTTCCGGTACCTAGTTACGTTTAGAACTTCCAATTTCGTACATTCCATATTGCTAGATACTTACCACCAGCCTTGAAGTTACGACCACCGCAGTTGTGGGCAGTAGCGGGTCCGGGAGGGCTGTTGTCGGGGTAGCCATAGAAGGTGACAATGTAGTTGCCAGGAGTAGAGCAAGCCTGGCTGAGGCCGGCCATGGCGGCGCTAATGATGGAGAAAGCAGCGACAGACTTCATTTTGACTGATTAGTCGATTAGATTAAGGCTGAGATGGTACCCTGTAAAAAAAGAAGTGATGAAGATGACCACAATGTTTGCTTGTAATGGAAATGATCTGAAGCAGGCGGAAAGGCGCCCTTTTATATCGGATACATCCTAAACCTTAGGCTCCCTCCAGGTCTAAAGGGAGAAAGGAGCTGCTCCTGTAGAACGAGGTACCTAGTCCACTGCTACGTCAGGTACAGCCGGATTCCGGCATCCCACAGTTGGATCGACGGACCGATAGGACAAGATCCCTTGCTCTAGAAACAACTGATTTTCGCTCCGTCCAAGTGAAATGGCGATGTCATTGATTGGAAAGATTGGGTGGTTGTTGCCCTAGCTTGGCTGTTTTTGCTTCAGCTGCTTGTTTAGGAAATGGAGACGGAGTGGCTGTAGCAATACCTCCGGCGACGGTGATTTGTGGATTTTCAGAACCCCAGATTCAGCGCCGCTAAACTCCCTTCATAGCATTACGGCTACGGGTGGCTGCGATGAAAGACCAGAGCTAAGCTGTGCTGGGAAGGCCCCAACAGATTTGGCGGTAAAAGCAATAATACGAGCTCATCAGGGTGGGCATTCGCATGCACAAGACGTATGCCCAGACTACGCTTCGAAGCAGTTCGCTAGGACATGCTGCAGTCAGCTAGAAGATGTTTCCTTTTGTCCTTGATCCCTAGGTATCTATGCATACGCAGTAATACATGTTGCATTGGTTTCGTAGCATTGCAGAGTACACGTACCATATCTACAGTATGGGCGCAGCAAGAACAACTTACACGGATTGCTCCGAACCATGCTAGACTCCACAGGCGCCTTACACATTGATAGCTATCCGTACGCGAGGAGTTACGAGTAAGTCGATGGCTCTGCATCCTTATAATTTGCGGCTATCCGGTACGGTGATGTGCCAGCAAGATGCCCCTGCTACTATCGTGGAGTAGAGATGGGATCGGCTAGCGAATCTAAACATTTTTAGCAATACTACTACGCAGCACTACGAAGTACTGGCATTACAGTAATAGGTATTGTGTAAATGTTTAGTACTCCTTACTGGGGCACAGGAGTAACCAGATCAGAACAACGGAGTTTTGGGAGTGATACGGAGTGGAGAGTAGCTGTTGCATGTTTAGTGCTGTTTTTCCGCTGCGAGTCAGCCTCTCTCTGCTCTAGAACAGCCATCGAACTCCTAGTCCGCAGCCCCTGATCGATTGATCGTCGTGCCAAGGTGGGAGGACGCAAGCCGGCGGCTTACAGTGGTTACCCTAATGCAGACACGATTCCTCGGCTCAGCTAGGCCGACTGGCTGCACTGTCACCCGTGTTTGTTTTCCTTTTTGCATTAAACTTAAGCATGAAGTACTTAAAATTGCGTGTGCCGTTCTTCCACGGTAAATGGTCGGATAAGTTTCCGCCACTTGCGAGTGAATAGGGATATTTTTACTGTATACGGCGCAATAATTCGCCACTCAGGAACACAAGACCGGCTGTTCGGTATGAGCAAATATTAGTACGGAATATAGGTGAACGCGCCAGTGTTGCCTTAGAGAAATTTGGGTCCAAATATACATTATGTACGATGCAGTCATCCGCAGCCCGAATCTCTCAATAGCATGACACACCTGATATTCGGTCTAGTATCGTAATGTGACCATACTCAGTGATAATCTATGTGTTGTCTAGGTCACATGCTAGCGCACTGCTAAGAGCAAAAACGATGTCCTGGAGTTTGCGTGTCCAGTCGCCTTTTCCACACAAGCAGCCGCATCATCGTGTTCAATCGGTAGCTCCCGTTCTACTGTAAGCATAGCTCTCGATGCGCAGTTTCCAGATATGGGCAAGCGAGAAAAGAACAGCTCCATTTCCCTTGTTTTCCCTCCATCCATCCTCATCGGGCCAGCCTCCGCAGCTTCTTCCATCTCGCTGTTGCAGGCAAACTCAATAGCGCATGTGTTGAGCGTTGGCACTAGCCCATCAAGTAAGGCCCCAGGAGTGGCCTACCATCGCGTAAGCGTCACCGATTCACCCTCTTCATCGATTATGAAGATTAGTGGCACCGCCTGCGACATCATCGAGACGGCTCTCCAGTCAAATAATGGCACAGGCAGAATCTTAGTTCACTGCTCTGCTGGTATATCTCGCTCTCCAGCAGTAGTTGCAGCATATCTTATGAAACATCATGACATGTCATTGAGGGCGGCTCTGGGGCAAATTGTGCGCGCCCGTCCGCAGGTGTCACCGAATCCAGGGTTTTTACGGGAGCTAAAAGAACTCGAGCTACAATTGCGCGGAATGCTGTCTTTGGAAGCAGAGGAATTACCAAAACGAGAAAAAGACCGGCTGGCCATGTTCCCGGAAGAATATCAAGAAAGGCAAGAGCAGCCATATAATGATTAAGCTTACTGAAATTACGTAGACGTTAAAGCACGATTGCTCTAAACTTCTGTATAGTACTATGCAAATAATAAAAGATTAGTTATGGACTCGGAAGTCAAAAATTCTGACAGCGTGTAGCCGAGCCGCTAATAGTAGAGGGCTTTTTGCCACCAGTCACATCTCCTGTTTGCTGTAGGATCTCGAATAACGGATGAAGCGTTGACTAGGATGTTCAGAATGGAATTGTCTCGACCATAGGAAGGCGTGGTAATGCCAGTTGGAGGCTTATTTGGCGAACCATTGTTTACAAAGCCCGCTACAATATTCTTCAAAATGCTCGAAACCTGGGGGTCTACGCCTGGTGTTGGCCCATTCGAGAAAAGCGGAACCTGGTCTGACCCATGAACTGCTGGCCAGACAGAATATTCATAGCCAAATGCAGCAATATTCTGTTGTGCGGCAGCTTTGACCATGACATTCTGGTTGCAAATAAGTGCTGCTTCACCAATGATCAGCTGCGCTCTTCCAAGAGAGTCGGTATATGGCTGAGATCCATCATATGTCTGCGGATAAAGAGTTTCGAAAATAAATTCAACGTCTTTGCTAGAAAGTAGGGTGAATGTGTTTCCAATCTGTTTCCTTAATAGAGGCTCGCTATCATAAGCAGAAGGGTCCGTAAATGTCATTCCCTCGTTTCTGTTGAAAGAGGACAACACCTCCATCCCTTTTACAAATGCTCCTTGAAGAAGCAGTTTCGTCGGCATTCCTGGGACAAAAGAACCATCCACTGTTGGGCCATATATGAAAGTACCATATGGCGCATTACCAACTTGCTTCATATTGGCAGCCAGTAATGCGCTCGATGGCATATCTCTTGCCTCATCTAGTGTAGTGACGTTAAGAATGGATGGAAAGTCGTCGAAAGCTTGCTCTTGTGCTCGATTTCCAGGCATAGGGACCAGACCAGCTGACTGAGGGATAGCACGGCGGAAAAGCGCTGGTTTCTGACCTCCATAGGCAGTGATATGATGCATGATTGATCCACCACCGGCAGAGATACCCATAACAGTGACATTATCAGGATCGCCTCCAAATAAATGGATATTTTCTTGAACCCATTCGAGTGCAAGCCTCTGGTCCAAAAGCCCAGCGTTTGATGTGCCGTTTTGCTGCAATGTCGGGCCTGAAAGAAAACCAAATGCACCTAGACGGTAGTTCATAGCCACCCAGATAGCTCCGTCGGAACCCTTGGTTTGCATTGCTGCCATGAGATCATTCGGACTACCGAACATTGTTTTATCTCCAAGAACATATCCGCCACCCTATATAAAGTGTTAGGTTGCTCATGCTCAACAACGATTCCTCCTTATGACGCTACTCACAAATATCCACACCAAGACCGGTGCCCCTTTGGTAGGCTTGACGCCTTTTTTATATGTATTTCTCGCGTCAAATATTTTTTGAGGAACCAAAACATCAAGAACAAGACAGTCTTCTGTTATTCTGCCATCTTGCGACGGCGGAGGCAATCTCGATATAGTCTCATTTGCCTGTGTGACGTTGAAGGGCAACTGGTGATTCGCGAATGCCGTATCGAATAATGTGCTCATTGCTAACCAGTTAGGAGTAGCCTGAGGGCAGACTTTGCCAATACTTCCATCTTGAATTCCTGATTTTCGCCCTCTGAGTGGAACCGGCAAATTAAATCTTAGAGCACCTAGAGGGGGTTCCGCAAAAGGTATATTGGTAAAGTTATACGTCTTGTATGTTTTCTTTTTGCCAGTCAATACATATTTTCTTCGTAAATTTGATTCAAGAGCCATACATCGAATGAGATTGCACGGTGGACTTGATATCCCAGGTCAACAGTGGGCAGGTTCTTTTGTGGAACGGCAGAGCCGCTCGCAAAGGCCAGCCATGACAAGAATGCGAAAGTATGTTTCATCGCGAGGTTTCAAAACTCAGCTCGGTTTTTCTTCCAGTGGATAGAATGTGACCGAAATTGAAGGGGAAAGCGCTTCAAATATTTATATTCGAACGTTTCTTTTTACAATCGTCATCTTCCAATTTACAAACTGACAACATGTCCTATTCAACACTTTGGCTCAATACCCCCTCGCAGTGCGATATGCCCGGATTTGACATGAGTTCCGCCGAATTCCTGCTTGCGTCATCCTGTACTTCCTGAAGAGTAAAAAAAAAAAAAAAAAAAATCACGAAACATCAAATAAAGCAACAAATGCTGCGCATTCGGTTTGCGTGCCCGGCTTTGTCCAATGGACTGAGGTTATAGCTAGCGGGGCGCAAAGATGCAAATCCGCACATATGCAACTATGCTGTTTTCCGTTAACTTTTGTCAGCTGTCAGCCAATTTATTCTTTTTGGGTCGTGACTCCTTTTGATCTACAGAGCATTAATGGTGCACATGCAGCCCCTAAAATACATGCAAGGAACTGGCAACAACAAGCTACCCTGAAAAGAGCGCCCCAGCAGGTAGGTATTTAAGCTAGTATTTGATGTTCCAAAATGTAATCAGTCTGTGAAAAGTCATTCTTGTTCATTAACTATAGAATAATGATATGCTTCAATGCATGAAAGGATAGCCTTTTATAACAAGAAGTGGGAGAAATTCAACATAAGAGACGCCCCGAAATTAATAAATATTTCCCTAGGAAAGGTCTGCCCAATTCGTTAGTGTTTGTAATTTACAAATCTAGCGACACTGATAAGTGGCGACATTAAGAGTTTGTCTCCTTTACGCACGATGTAACGCAACGATGCGCCTCCTGAACTGTCGTATAAATAATGTCTATGCTTTGATATTGGTTAAACATTTGGTTATTTAAAAAGATAATGGTTTTATAGAAATGCAAAGATATTTGAGCTTTCAGCGTCCGCTTAACTTCTTACAATACTATCTTCTTCGTTTATTACACACCTAGGGTAGCGACATGAGACGATGCCCTCACTTAGAAATGAATGTTTATTAATAATCAGGCCGCGTCTATGATGTAGCACAACCAGCTGTAACCCCGCCTGAAGTCCAGGTAGCCAGCTTTCATAGTCAAGAATGTGCGGGGCCGGAAAGGGACCTTTACTTTGAATTCCGGAGAGAATCCTCCCTTCAACAGCACAAGATATACGAAAAAGATGATACAATCTAGATGAGATTTGGTAGAAAAGTAGGTTATCAAATCGTTTTCCAACCATTCTTCTTCTTTTTCTTTTCTTCTTTTTCAAATTTATTTTCTCCGGGCTACTTACTTCTTTAGAAAATGTTATTTCGCTAGTCTTTTCTTCAATCAGCGGATTGCTCGGCCGTTGGGGGCCATGATCATAATGTTAAATCCACTACGCTGTTGGCGGCTTGCTCCTCGAGGAAATCACAATAGTTCGGATTTTTCTTAGGTAAAAAAAAAAAAAAAAAAAAAAACCTAACACGGTTGGTTCATGAGAGGTAAATAAGCAGACCAACAAAACCATACTGCAATGAGCTTTGTGCACTGTATTTGGTGGTGCAGATACTGTAATGGCTCCATAAGATTTCTCGGAGTCAGTTGCCCCATTTAGCTATGAGCTAATGCTATTGACTTGTTCTGAGGCTCCGTACAGTACGCTCATACCACGCGCTTAGACAGCTTTCTCTTTAACCGCGAGAACGCGTACGCAGTTGTAAAGCGCTGGCTAAGTGGCGTTGCTTTGTCGAATCAACAGCCACACCAAGCACAAATTTTCTGGTTCGGGCAACGCCGGCCAGGGGCAAACGCCACAAGGCGCCTGTCAACTCACCGAAAGGTCTGAATATGCCCAGGAGAAATTTTGTGCAAGTGTGTAAGCGTTGTAAAGAAAGGGCATGTCCTCCGGTGTATTTTATCACGCAGGACGCAGGATATGGCGCAACCGTGCGAAAAGTCTTCTGTGGCAATCTCGGAGTCCCGAGGATAGCCATGCACTCCTCTCACAGGCAATGGTCTTTTTTTTTTTTTTTTTTTTTTAAGCTTCTCCTGCCTCGAGAAGTAATTATAAAAAATGCGGGAAGGAAAATGAAATAATGTTGTTGCGTCTATCAACATCTATTTTGTACTTTCCCCAGAATCCGAGTCGATGATCGGCTCCGTGATCCGTTGCCCCGTATTCTTTACAAAGATGTTCCCTGCTTAATCCTCCTACTTACAGGCGCGGCTTCGGGCCTCTCTGCATTAGTTAGTACTGCGGCACCCTCGGACCGCTGGTTACCCCGGCATTGGCAACAAGTTTCCAATCTGTGTAGACCCTTAGATTTGGGGCGAGAAACTGGAAGTTTAGTAGGCATTACTTGCACTACTCGCAATACCTCAGTTTCCTCGGAAATGGAAGTTGGAATCTTGGCAATGGAGTCTGCTTACGAATTGTATTCATGGATAGGCAGTAGCAGTTGGGTTGTATGTTAACAAAGGAGTGGCTGCTTCTCTAGTGTAAGGCGTCAAACTCTTCTAGAATTTCTTTTGCCTAAATGGTGCTGTCTGTGCCATTGTCATTCAGGGGCAACCTATTGCCTTGATGACTCGGTCACAATGAAAAGCTGCGATACTCCTTCCCGACGTAGAGCCGGAGGCGAATCTAGTGAGACTCGGGAGAAAAAAACACATCTATTTAGCCAGGAACATATGACTGAGAGTGCTTCCTATTCGATAACGTTGACGCCTCGTCTATACGCCAACACATGGCGGTTTGTCGCCATTTTCCATTTATGAATCCACTTGTCCATTCTAGTGACCTTCCAAAGCGCCACTCCGTTAGTTGACACCGCAGTCTACCGAATGGCGCCTCTGATGCATATGTGTTGGATGGTGGTGATACCCAAGCAGTTAGCGCCCCCCCCTTCGGTGACGACATAGTGTTTCAGTCGCTGAAGCTCTCTTGGCAGGTTCTTATATGAAATGAGATCTGAGATGGTGAGGAAAGAACAACATAAAATGGGAAGTTCACGTGAAGAGCAATAATATCGTTTATAAAACAACAACAAAAAGGCATGGCATGGCAAACCATTGCCAACCCATAGTAGAAGGATTGCGAGATTTTCCCCTTTCGCCCACGTGGATTTCACGCTAAAAGACCCTTTGTATCCACATACCGCGAGTCGGGTGCGAGTCGGACTTTTTCAGAATGGTCCCTTGCAGGTGGCGTTTTTAGGCTGCCCCCCAGAGTTGTCTTCGGCGTTTGATACCGTGGGTATCGGCCTCCCCTCATTGTCACCGCCGTCCTTCATATGGAGATTCAAGATACTGGGTAGAGTGAGAAATTTTTTTCAAAACGGTTATTTATTTTTTTTTCTTCTAAAAGATGGCGTTTGCCTTCCTGCGCGAGCATTGTAATGGGCTATATCCTATACTACTTTGCGAGCCAGACAAATAAATAATATGGACGAATCTATGTATAAAAGGCCGCTGATTCCTCCTTCTCTAAAAGAATTTCTCTTCTGAATTATCCAAAGCATTCATTCTATTCAACTTTCCATTCCTTTCTTTCAATCATCTTCCACCAACACTCCTTTCCAAACACTGATATTCTTAGCCTGGGGCTACTTCACTTCTTTCTTTCAATAAAGATTTACACAATCCAAAACATCAAGATGCTCGGAAACATTGCTCTCGTTCTTACTGGCCTCGCTGCCGTGGGTACTGCTCTCCCCGCTGCTGGTACTCCTGCCAAGCGCGGTATTGCGGACAAATATACCTACTATCAAGGTGACGGATCAGTTGCTGCTGGCTGGCCTTCTCAAGACTCTTGGGGTTCTTGGGATGATCTCTGGAAGGCCAACGTCCCTCTCATGAAGCAGTCTTGTGTCTGGAATGGCTGGGTCGACAATGACTCAGAAACCGAGATTCAGGATATCGCCAATGCTATCAAGGCAACTGCAAAGTCTACTGGTGTCGACGAGCGCTTTATCCTCGCCGTCGTGATGCAAGAGAGCAAGGGCTGCGTCCGCGTCCCCACTACCAACAACGGCGTTACCAACCCAGGCCTTATGCAGTCTCACAATGGATCTGGTACTTGCTTCGGTAAAAACCCTTGCCCTTCATCTGCCATCGATCAGATGATCAAGGACGGTGTTGCTGGCACCACCGATGGACCTGGCCTCCAGAAGCTACTCTCACAGGCTGAGAAGGAGGTCAAGAATGACGGCAGCCAGGCCTACTACGCGACAGCACGTCTTTACAACAGCGGCTCTGCTGATTTCAGCAGTCTCGACAATGGCCTGGGTAGCACTGCTTGCTATGCCTCCGACGTTGCTAACCGTCTTACGGGCTGGACCCTTGCTACTAGCACCTGTGCTTAAGCAGCTTGGCTTTACCCACGCAATGATTTAGAAAGATACGCTCTGTCTTACTAGATCATGGGCCATATGTGGATAGATTTCTTATCCTGCATATGCTTACATTTCTTTGAACGATATACCACTCTTAAGACATTCTTGTACATACCTTTATAGAGCCTTGCCTACGCTCGTTTGATACGAAAGGCCTAAATACACTCTTCTGCATAGAGCAGACTATTTACATATAAAAGAACCTTATGTGACTTATTCTGTGACTGGTTCTTCTCATTTTTGTATCATTGATTTAAAGTGATTTTCCAGCACATTTCTATTTCATGCTAGTCGAGGCAAATATACGCATTTGAATTTCGTTCGCCATTTGTGACAAGAATTCCATACATTCCGCGAGGCATATACGAGACTAGTTTGAATAAAAGAGATAAGCTAGCTGGACCATATATTAGACTCCAATAAGTGGACTTAATAATCATAAAGCCATGTATGGTATGTATATAGTATTAGATGAAGTAATTAGGTTATGTGGAAGCCGGCTGACGGATCTCCTAAGTGGAACAATTCAATGAGTTGGACATAGGTATCTAAGAGGAGTAAAACAATACGTTACTAGCCTAAGAAACATCTCCGATGAAAGCAGCCAGTCATTTGCGGCGTTTCCTTTAACATTGTTGGCCGAATAATTTGTATTATGTGGCCAAACGTTTGCGCCGTCCTTTTAGCTGGTCGCTTGGCCCCAATCTAAAGCGAAGGCTATTGTGGCTTACTCGTCACTACGCTACTTACAGCTAAGCTTGATACTACGCTACTTATCCCCGGGTATACAGTGTGTCTGCATTTGTCAACTTTTATGCTTGCTTATTATTGGCGAGAGCGCGATTGGAAGGCTGCGGAATAGTATACTTGTGCTGGCTGTTGTTAGGCTAGTACTCAAAACGTAGGTACGCCTCACACATACATACATATACGAGACATGATACGCTCACTAGGGGAGCTACTTCTTCACTAACATTATTTTTATTTTCTTACTTTACAGGTGCAACGAATACCCATGATAAAACTATTTTTGTATTCCGTGAAGAATGCCAAGGAAGCAGTAGCCAACGGTTTGGGGTTGAGAGAATTATATATGATGCTGTTTATAGCTTTGCGTTTACAAAAGCTCACAAGAGATCCCTTCGGCCGTCGGTGATGAAATAGTTTTGAACATTCTTCGAGAAAGGCCGTCAGCCTCAACTATCTATCGGGCGATATATATAATAATTAATATGATACTTATATAACCTGTGTGATTTGTATCTAGGTATGTAATTTAACCCATAAAGCTTTCAAGTATAGCATTATTCTTTTATCTGGCACTACAACCCTTCTAAAGAGATTCAGTAATGTATCCCATCCCCTTGACGTAATACTGAGACTGCTGCTTTAAGTTTTGTTAAAAACCATATTCTTGTCGGGGAGCCTATTTTAGCAGAAATAGCACCAATCATGAGCTGAAAAGAAGAGAACTCCAAGTAACTACAAGTCGTTCTTTCTGTTAGGGATAGTGCCTCCTTAAGTTCGCTAGCAAGTACTGTTATATTAGCCTCTGGCTGCGTAGGCCAGGACATGTAGAGGATGATTTGGAGGACCAAAGCAGTGCCTTTAACAGCAGGACTATTCTGGTGGAAGAGAGCTTGAGTCTTGCGATGTAGTTTAGCCAAAGGATCTTCAATTGATTGACGGTAAAGCTTAAGCCTTGAGTGCAATTCCGAAAGGAAGCAATTGACTGCCATAACTGTGCTATGCCATGGCAGATTGTAGCCACGCAAAGAATTGGGTGATTGTTATGCAGATTTAATGAATATATGACCTCTATATGATATATTGAGGGAAGTTAAATAGACTGTTGATGGAATCGCTGAGTAGTTAATTAGCTTTCTGAACTAGGCATATAAACGTAAGGATTTTGCGAACGGGACTAGGAGGTCAGTGAACCATGAGGGATGGCGGAAGCTGGCAAATGCCTCGGCTATATCTCTCCCGTATAATTTGGGCCACTCCATCCATGTCTATCTCCAAGCAATATCGCCATTAGCGAGCCGTCTGCCAATGGCCATGGTACACACTACCGCAAGAACAGCATCCGTGTGAGCTTTTGCGGAATTTATACGTTGGATGAGATTATCTACAGCTCAAATTGAGTGAACAAGGGCGTTTTGTTGGCGCGAAACATCGGCTGCCCGGTGTTGCGTGCTTACGGCCAGAGATGATTCAAGGAGCGCCGGTTCGGAAACAAGCATGTTTAACCATTCTGCGTCAGCTGGACTATTAGGATATTCACCGGAATCCAGAAATACTTGTGACTACAATGAGGCAACTACTCTTGGATGGTCAGTAATGCTAGCTGCTGCGACTTGGCATGTACATACATGCAGGTAGTCGGCCTGCTGTTGTGGACTAGATGCAGCAAGAGATAGCGCTAGTGCTGTGTCTGTCTATAGCACCACTGGCCGCAAGAACGCAATGTATTCCCTGTGCGTTTCTTGCCCTGGCCTCTTTAATTCGCTGGCGCCGGTTCGCAAAATTAGTCCGAGTAACGTGAGCTCGCATCCGCTTAGCTGTGGACGGTGATGGGCTAGGCATGCCCGTCGTATTTAAGAATGTAAATCTTGTAGAGCACATTGTTAGCTGCGTTTGGAAAATGAACTTTGAGAGTAGCAGAGACCTTGCACGAAGGTTTTAGCAGCTGAGACACAACACTAAACCCCTCTAGGAAAATGAGATTTTGTGGGGTACTTTATGCCGTATTAGGAAAATCAATACATGTATATCGATGTGACCAACAACGCCAAAATTCATGCTTCTTACTTTAAATTAATACTATTATTCTGTCCATAGAGTGTTTACTAATCTAACATTTGGAGGTAGATTAGTCAAGAGCTGCTAATCAATCATGTAACGTGCTCGTGGCCGTACGTCTGACTTGTAAGCGAACGCAGCAGACAAAGAGTATATATAACGGTGCAGAACATTTGCCTTGGGATGCACAAACTTCATCATACTCAACTGTTGTGGCGAATTTCCCAAGATGGGCAAGCAATTGATCCTGAATAGTCAAGAAGGCTTTGAGACTTCGCTCGAGTACCAAGAAAAAACTGCAGAAGAGCATATCCTACCATCTAGGATGCCCCCTACATGTTGGGTCAACGAACCGACGGAACCCTGCGGTCAATGGGAGTTTTTTTAGACGCAGCACTCATGCATGCTCCCAAGTTTTTGGGGTGGCTGCCAGCGGCGACGCTGCCCTGTAACTGGACAACGGCATGGAATGTGCTCTTTGGACTGGAGGGGAGAGCAGTCGGACCGGGAACATGGGTCCTTGTCCAAGGAACCGGTGGCGTGAGCATCGCTACCCTTCAGCTTTCCACAGCAGCTCGTGCCACAGTAGTGGCCACTACATCAACGGAAGAGAAAATGACTCGCCTGGAAGGGCTCGGGGCAGTGAAAACAGTAAACTATCGCTCCAACCCTAAAGGCAGGGGTCGAGAAGCTCGAAGCTTCACACCTAATGAGAGAGGATTCGACATTGTCGTTGACATATGCGGCAATCAAACTCTTTCGCAGTCATTGGAGGCTGTTAGGACGGATGGTATTGCTTTAATGGTGGGTAAGGTTGCAGATGATGCTGATCCAATATCCTTGTCTGCAGTATTCATGTATACCTGCATTTTCCGTGCGTCATTGGCAGGGAGTCGTTCTCATTTTCGAGAGCTTGTGCGCTACATTGATGAGAAAGGCATAGTGCCTGCAATGGATGATGTTGTGTTTGAACTAGCTGAGTTTAAGGATGCTTACAGGCGCCTTAAGGATAAGAAGCACTTTTCAAAAGTTGTAATTCAAGTTGCTCAATGTCTAGATAGGAATAAATAGAGTCGTCGCTGCGGATCGGCATTGGCTATCCAGCTTGGCAACAAGTCTCCCAGATTAATCTAGTTGACCGTACTCTATATTTGACGGTTTTGCTCATTTCCTCGGTTTTGTCTACACATCTACTCGAAGCTCTACCTGTTTATACAACGCTGGCTGATTGCAGTAAAATAGTAAGCTGTGAATCCTCTGATACATCTATATATTGCATTCTTTTTGTACATAGATCATGACGACCTTTTAATACCCCTTTCCCATTGTTTTTATCCATTCCAGAACCCCAGATTCCCAGGACTTTCCATTTCTTGGACAGACTATACAAAGCACAGCCTAGGACACGTTCTGAACTGCAAATTAGAAACATGCAAGTAGCGTTTTTTGATAAGTGTAGATACAATTTTAAGTTGGCGAGACAAGTTCATTACTCAGTTGATCCAGCCTTTTGGGCCCCCCCAAGTTCCCTTTACCATGTGGTTGTAATAAACCCAGGGGAAAAAGTGCTTCTTCATGTAGTAAAAGGATTTCCGAGGAACCGCCTGGTCGATACCAAACCAATCGCCAAAGGTCTCCTTTGGCTCTCCTCCATACTTGAATTCTGCAAGAAGGACCTTGCCGTACTCTGTTATTAGCGGGCACGAAGCATATCCGTCATATACTGCGTCAGGCGCTTTGCCCTCTAGTGATCCTAATAGGTTATGAACCAGAACAGGCGTCTGTGCTGTGATGGCGGCGGCAGTCTTAGAGGTCGGAAGACTTGATGCATCGCCAGCAGACCACACATTTGGATATTTCTTGTGGCGAGTAGTGCCATCATCTACATCAACGTAACCGGCTTCATTGGCCACGGCGCTGCCCTTGACAAAAGCATGAGGGCCCATCTTGGGTACAACATGCAAAAGGTCGAATCGCTTTGTAACAGAGGCTTTCCCGTCTGGCAGAGCAAAGGTTGCCTTGTCGCCGTCAATGGAAATGAGATCATGCTGGAATAATCCCTCGACTCCTCTCTCCTTGCGAAGCTGCTCCAGCGTGGCGTTGTACTTGGCAACGCCAAACATCACAGGCATGCCTGTAGCAAAGCTGATTTGAACTGCGGAACCTGAGGGGTTGGCGGGATCATAGAGGCCAGCGCGTTTCCAGTGATCCAAAGCGAGCCACAGAATCTTTTGAGGAGCGCCAGCGCACTTAATCGGACCAGCCGGCTGAGTGAAAATGGCAGTGCCTTTGTGGAGCTTCTGGATTGTCTCAAAGGTCTTGTCGCAAGTGTCATAGTTGTAAATGGAAGAAACAAGGCTTTTCGGGTCAGCCAAAGCCTCGGGGAGGCCCTTGACGCTGCCATAGTTGACCGAGACGCCGGGGACGATTACCAGGTGCTCATAGCTGACTTTATCGCCATTGCCGAGTGTGATTGAGTTGTCTTCTGGCGAGAAGCCGGCAACGCTGTCGTTATAGAACTTGAATTTGGAATCGATCAAGCTGTTCAGCGGCCTTCTGAGCTCCTCCTTGGTCTTGATGCCGCCACCAACCAGGGTCCACCCGGGCTGGAAATGGTGCCACGCTGCGGGATCAACAACGGCGACCTCGTCCTGGGAGAACTTCCCAGATCGCAGCAGCTTGTGGCTGATGTCCAGACCAGCCGCGCCGCCTCCAATCACCACAACGCGGTGGCTTCGGGCAGGGGAGACATTTGCTACAGTGGCGAAGCTGCGTGCCAGGCTGCTGGCATTGCGGCAGGCCGCGGACATTGTGCGTGCTTGGAACATGATGGCGACGAGAAGAGAAAAGCCCAGAAAAGACAACAAGCAACAAAACGCAGTAAACCACCAAGAATAAGAAGGACAGAAGAAATTTCCGCAATCAACACCTTAAAAAGCTAAAACATGAGCTTCTCTGCGAGATTGCGATGAATAATCACCGATCGCGCAATCGACTAGTCGCCGCGGGCCGTCTGCATCACCGACATCCGCAGCGCTGGGCAGCCGGGGATGGGCAGAGAGCCGGGATTTAGCCGCGGCCCATGGCGACGAGCCGAGATGTCAGCGACGATCCGGCGACCGCCACCGAAAAACGCATCGTCAGCGTCCGGAACTCGGTGACGGTTGATCGATGGCTGATAATCGCCGACCAGCCTCGTGGCTCGCCGAACACATTTGGCCACTCGTACGACTTAAAATGTGACACAAACTTCCGGGAATTCGATGCGGCAACCCGATTTGCGATATTAGACATGCCTCCGTCAGTTCTGGGCTGCTTGACATCCTAAGGTACGCCGGCGACTACATTACCTTCATTCTGCAACAACTATAAAAGCATTGGCGGTGCACAATGTCGCTTCGATACCACATCGCCGGCTCTTTAAAGCAGTTCGAGGCTGGCTTGTCTCTTACTTCAAACATTGTGACTCGACCTTCATCGCACGCTAGATGCTTTAGCAGTTGCAACATTCGCCCTCTTTGCCATAGTCCCAGACACAAATCATTACATACACGCTCAAGGGCTTCTTCGTCCAGCACCGCGGCTAGTATCAACCAATCCAAGGGACTATCCGCGCGCAGCAAAAAGGCTTTCACCACAACCTCTTCTAAAGTCATGGAGCCCACTATTCATAGCGAATTTGAGCACGACACGGGCACGTGGCAGTATGTCGTGGCTGATCCGTCAACAATGACGGCCGCAATTATTGATCCTGTTCTGGATTATGATCGTACAAGCCAAGGCCTTACTACGCACACCGCTGACGAGTTGTTGGCACTGGTTAAGGAGAAAGGCTACAAAGTGGATTGGATTTTGGAAACCCATGTGCATGCCGATCACCTAACAGCGGCTTCATATCTTCAAAAGCGTCTTGCTGAAGAACAGGGATATAAGCCGTCTGTTGCCATTGGCAAGCGAATTGGCCAAGTCCAAAGGTTCTTCGGCAGGAGATATGGAGTTCCAGAGGAGCAATATCAAGTTGTTTTTGACCATCTGCTAGAAGATGACGAAGAGTTTATGATTGGCAGCATCCAAGCTACGGCTATGCATCTCCCCGGCCATACACCTGACCATATGGGCTACAAAGTTGGAGGTAAGACGCCGCATCAAGTGCCAGTCGATTGCCGTAGGTTGCTGACGTGTTGATTGAAGATAACGTCTTTTGTGGCGATTCTGTTTTTCATGCCGACATTGGCTCCGCGCGCTGTGATTTCCCAGGTGGCAGCGCTGGAAGCCTTTACTCGTCAGGTCGTAAGCTGCTCAGTTTGCCAGACCATGTCAAGATCTGGACTGGTCATGATTATCCTCCGAAAGACGGCCGCTCTCCACAAGCATACATGACTGTGCATGACCACAGGGAGCAAAATAAGCATCTTAAGGACGGTATCACGGCTGAGGAGTTTGTAGCTATGCGAAATGAACGCGATGCAGGCTTAGCAGCGCCGAGGATGCTCCACCAATCTCTTCAAATAAACATACGAGGAGGGCGGCTACCATCCCCGACCCCGGATGGCCACCGAATGCTACGCTTACCGCTGGACATAAAGGGCGCAGAATGGTAGGCTGGTAGAGTGGAAGACTAAAGAATGAAAGCGATACAAGGTATGTAGTCTCTATATAGGTAATTTAATACATTCTCTAACGCGGTAATAACGGGGCGTCTCTCCTCCTTTCTCTTTTTTACTTCTGTTTGAACGGGGAAAAAAAAAAAAAGAAAAAAAAGTAAAAGAATGTTGTTTTCGCATCGTGTTGACTGTGATGAAGTCACTTTGACATTAGTGCCTCATGCGGAAATATGTGTATGAAATTAACCTCGGTTAGAGGTAGAGAGCCTAAGTCATGGCTTTACCCATCGAAGGTTTATAGCGGCAACATTCGCAAAAGTATTTTTAATAATAACAACTTACATGAATTATTTGTAGCTGCCCGGTTTAAACTTTATGTTGAAACCAAATGAATGACTGTTATCCTTGAATCTTCTAGCACTCTCCCACCTAAAATGAAATAATAGAGACGCCTGCAGTTGCAGCAGCGGTAAAAACACCACCCTTTCGCGCGCCCCAGAATGTTGAATATTGCAAATAGCAGGAATTCACTGCTATTTGCAACCTAAGCTGTTCTACTTACTCTAATTAATGGTATCAGCGAAAGTCTCTGCGCATATTTGAGGTTAATACGCCAAGCGGCTCGCTCTCTATGCACACGTTGTTGTAACTGCCAAACACCACCAGCCCATTTGGCGCAACCAACAGCGACTTTGAGCATTGGCAAGAGTACACAAAATATCTACATTTTCGATATTTAGATGAAAATCACTGTTAATTTGTCATCCGCTGAGCTGGAAAAAAAAAGTCCCTCGTGTAGCAGTGACACAAAACTCGCTTCAAGCGAGCTGCTTAGGCCGCGGTCACTTTCGCGGACCTTTTCCGGAGACTTTATCTCAGGTATTTCAAGTCTCCTTTTTCGTTCGCTTTTGGGAGCACAAACTCCAATCTGTTCAAACTCAACAGCAGTTAAACGATTATTACTATTCTGTCCAAATGGAAGGTACCCATCAAGGAAAAGAGGATTTGGCGGCAGCCAACCGCAAATTCTGGAAGTGAGTGTTTAGGTTGCGCCACCTTTGTTGTCTCTTTTGCTAAAGAAGCCGTCAATATCCGATAGTGATCACGGGCGCGAAGTATTTAAGCAGCAGTGGGTGCTCGATATGTCCAAGAAAGTCAGCGATGCCCTTTCCAACAGCGTTCAGTGGATGGGTGTCCGAGGTCGGTCAGAGGGCAGCGCTCCTGTGAAGCTTCTGGACTATGCGTGCGGCTATGGCATGGTTTCGAGCACTCTCCTGGGTCAATTCGACATCATCAGGGGCATAGACATCTCCGAAGCCAGCGTTGCGTCCTACAACGAGCTTGCCCAGAAGTCTGGTGTCCCAGTTGAGAAAATGCATGCTGTTCAGGGCTCTATCCCACCACCGTTGGACAACACGCTGCTCACCACAGAAGAGTTCTTCGATTTTGACCTAATAGCAATCAGTATGGCCCTTCATCATATTGAAGATCAAGCTGGCGTTCTCTCTGGTCTTTATGAACGCCTGCGAAGTGGCGGTGTCTTGGTTGTCATAGATTTGGCTCCAGAGACTCACTCCCATAACCACGCTCAAGATAGCGAATGCGGTGACCATGACGATTATCACACCCAGCATAAAGCTCGGGTCCGGCACACAATTTCGAGACATGGCGGATATGGAATTGAAGATATGAGAGACCTTCTGTATAAAGCTGGCTTTGTTCCCGAAAGCTTTGACTACCAGCTATATCCCAATACATCACCGCATGCGTCCAATATCCCTGACCATGGCACTTGCAAGAATTTCAGTACGAAGCCATTTTTCATCGCCAAAAGCGCAAAAGAATAGAGCTAGGGATAATAACATAGTGAAGGAGGTCGTCATCTCAGGGAGGAGCATCCTCACATCTAGCTGAGTATAAAAAGGCTCAGCATCTAATTAATCTAGTAGTCATAAATCTGACACTCGTGTATTGATTTGAAGATCCTTAGCTTTCTTTCTTCTACTCCTCTTTTACTTTGACTGTGCTCATTGAAGTGTTATATCGCACATAAGCTAGTAGTTGCTTGTTAATTCTCCATGCAACACACACCACTATGGTCTATATTAAAAAAAAAAAAAAAAAAAAAAAAAAAAAAAAAAAANAGAGGGGGGTATATAAACTTTATTTAAAATAATAAAAAAAAAAAAAAAAAAAAAAAAAAAAAAAAAAAAAAAGGCTACATGCAGACACACCCAATGCCTTAAACCGTTCATGATTATTATGCGGCACAAATACACGGGTCTCGCGGTCACATGAGCGAAAAATATGCATGCAGGAACCGTGGGTGTACCAAAGGGCGTCCAATACCAGGCCGCATCAACGACATTCGCGCTTTCGCGTATAAAAATGCCGCGAAAGGATCAGAGCTGCACGTGGCTCTATATAGAAAGTAAAGAATACTCAACTCACTGAAAAGCCCACATTGCACAAATCTTTAATATCGCCGACTCACTAAGTTTCTGGGGAAACGAAACATATCCATCACCAAACCTCCGTCAAACCTTCACAAAGTGTAAATGACGGAAACAATTGTTGAAACTCCTCTAACATTGCGGCCAAGGGCTCAGGCGCTTTTGTCGCCGCTGGATGCGGCGTGGGATCCTTCATTACCAACTGAAGATAAAGACGAATATTGCTGGACACCTCTGCAGCTCGCTGCTAGAAGTGGAGATCTTCAGGCTGTTCGAGACATCCTCGTCTCATCAGGCCCCTCTGCCGTTAACGATCCCCCAAGAGGCTATTATGGTCAAACGGCTCTACAAGCAGCCTGCATGCAGGGACATGAAGACGTTGTAAAACATTTGTTGGACGCTGGAGCTGATGTTCATTTCTGTGGCGGGAACAACTTTCAGCGCACTGGACTGCAGATTGCTTGTGGGCAGGGGAATGAGAAGATCGTGCACCTGCTTCTAGAAGCAGGCTCAGAAGTCAACATGAGCCCCACGACCAATCACGGCATCCGCATACTGACACGAAGTCAACAAGAGGCGCACTCGCCGCCGAAAACTTTTGTCGTCGCTCGCTATAATGGAAGAACTGCACTACAGGCAGCATCAGAACGCGGCCATCTCAGCATCGTGAAGCTACTGTTGGAACGTGGCGCAGAGGTGAACGCGCCTCCATCACCAGTAGCAGGTCGCACCGCCCTACAGGCAGCGACAAGGGGCGGCTTTGGGCCAATAGTGCATCTGCTGCTTTCCCTTGGGGCGCAGGTCAATGCCCCGTCAGCAAGGTATAAAGGCATTACAGCTCTTCAGGGGGCATGCCTGCAGGGCAGTTTGGAGATCGTGGAGCTTCTGCTCAGGTCCGGCGCTGACGTACAGGCTTCAGGCGGCGGCTTTGATCGTAATGGGACTGCTCTACATGCAGCTGCTGAGAAGGGGCATGTTGAGATTGTAAAAAAGCTCATTGGCGTTGGTGCCGACATTAATGCAAGCTCTAATCGTAGAGGACAGACTCCAATGCAAGGGGCTATGGCTGGAGGACACGAAAGGGTTGTCAAATATCTAAGAGACTTGGGCGCTGTGAGTAAAACTGGGCGAGGTTTCTTTATTTTTGAGCATTCAGCTGGTTAGCTGTCATGGGCTGTATTAAATGGGCATTCAGCTTACATGTTTTTTTTTTATTGCAGGAAGGAATGGGCATTTCGATCTTCTACTGAATGTCATCAACTGTATGAGAGTGAGCCACTAAGATTTTAGTATCAGCTAATTGCCCTGTGTGCGAAACACAATCGGCGCTGGGCCCTCAGAGTGAACCGGCGTTTCCGGAATTCGGATGAGATCGAATTATGTAAGATGCCCCTTGTATGTTATTGCGCCAGTGTAATGAGCGTGATTCATGCGAGTAGTAATCATTCTCCTTTTTTGAATCAGTATCAAAGAGCATTCGTGGGAAGTCTGTACATTGTAAAAGCGCGCCTTTGAGCCGGTTGGCACGATCAGTGGGTGAAACACGTGGGTCTCCGTTATATATGGGCAAGCTTGATACAGGGGCTCGTATCCGGGCCCTGTCTCTCCACCAATGAAAAACCTTGGCTGTCAACAAGCTTACTGAGGGCCACAGAATATCTCGACTTTGTACGGAGTAGTCAACTGAGGATTTGAAAGGACGACTGATGCCCTGTTGGATCTGGACCGGCACACGATAGGGGGTGTGATAAAGTCTCAAGCTATTAAAAGATGGCATATTAAGATAGTTCTTCATATCTGAAGGTTAGGATGATCTGGCCCTCGGACGTGCTAGAAAATTTGACAGTCGCATATACGTGAAGGATTCAGCGAAGCTAGGCTCTATATTATACTACAATGATGTACGAACCAGAGTAAAGTGGCTAGAACTCGAGAGACCACCCCGGCGCGCGCTCCTGGCTGCACAATTCGTCAAATTCTGAAGGAAAGTCGTGCATTTAGCTATGATGCTTATTACAGACAGGGTTTCGTACATGTCCAGCTCAAAACATCTGCTGGGGATGTGACCTGTGCTATGGTGTGAGTGAAATCATACATTATTCGGAGTAAGAGCTCCCCAAATAAAGATATACACCTCAATATGTTGTGGTACATTGTGGGTTAGTTACTTCTGTCGAGCTAAGCGGACTAACAGGCTGCTATTTATGTTCCGTTTCGCCCAAGAACTTAAAATTAACCCATACCTGGCAAGTTATAATAACGGCAGGAAATAGCTAACGCTACATGGAAGCTCACGAGAGTCTGCGTTAGCTTAGAGGTGGATGATGAGATACAGATCAGTCAAGCCTAAAAAGAATTCTTGATCTACGTCTAGCTATATTTATTTACGGCTTAACAGTTTAATTCTTATTAACAGGATTCCACGGCCAAATGATAATATATCACATTGAGACGAACCAAACAGAAATGCAAATACGATATAAAAAGCTCAAGTCATAATACTGTTCTATAAATAACGATTACTGTTACTTGAACAACAAAACATTCACGTGTTTCGCAATTACCTAAAGACGCTCCCTATCAAATGGCTTTTCAAATGTGCAGCACACTTTTCCATCTCATTTTGGTTGATTATATGTCTGCTGCTCGGCAAGCCCGCTACGCACCTTCTTTCATATTTAGGGGTTCGAAATCGTACTCCGTGGAAAAATTATAGCCGGTGACAGTTATGTTCCAAGTGATAATAATAATTATAAAAGCGGGCGCTCAGCTGTTGGCAGATACAGGGGTTCTATGCACCAGATCGATCAAAGATGGCAGTTCGTAAGACTTGTATTCTTATTTAATACCTCCTCCGTCGACTCTTAGCCTGTTTCATCGCCTAAGCGCTAACTATTGGGCTGCGAGAAGCAGCCAGACATGTTAGCAGCCAAGAGGAGTGCAAAAAACACCGCCGCCTATCACTTACAATTTTATAGTGTTAACCGGCAGTGTTTTTTGCACCCCGCATGGCAGCGTCAACTTTGAATGGCAACCCTTATGTTTTTCCCGAAACGGGCCGACCGGCGCGCGTACACAAGCCGGATCGAATCTCTATAGAATGCTCAAGGAATAAATACTATTGAAGGAGCTCTTTATTCCTAGCGTACAAGTAATCCAGGCGAGGCAGCCTTGTGATAGTGGCCAAGCTTACGGGTCATCGACCTGCCAATTACATCTTTATGGTCTGAGTGAGATTGGTGTGCAATTCAGCGCAGAAACGGTTAACGTTTGAAAACGTGGATTGTGGTAAGGAGAGTAGCAGAGTCTAATCGGCCATCGTGGGTATCACATATACAGGTATGGCGGTCATTGAGTGTTTCGTATGGACTGTAGGCAGCCTGCTGGACAAATGCGTATTTTTTTGAAGTTTTTTAAGATAAGTGGGTGCAGCGAACACCTGGTCTATGTGGAGCCTATCTGCGGAGGGTGCCCTCTCCGCCTCGTTTTGTTTCGAAACGCCTGATGTAGCATCAATACTCAATATCCGCGGCCTATCCCCTTGGCATTACCTGACCACCCCATACATAGAAAGGCGATGCTCCTTGGCAGCGATCTGACGTCTACAGCGCTGAAGGAAACGTCCCGGCGGCTAATTCTTAACATGGTGCGGTTCTATTAATGCTTTGCTGGGGATAAGTCCATCCGCACTGTCGGCTGTAACATGTCACATAATTTCGTTACCGTTTCGCTGGGAGGTTACATATAGAGCTAAAAGAAGAAAAACATGGACCTCTAATGGTCTCGAAAAGGGGAAGTGCCTAAATTGACCCATGACTAGTGTAACCTCGTAGGATGATGGGCTGGCAGATCTTCAGTCTTTCCGGTCAACCCATGTCAAGGTTTAACCCGCAGGGGGACATGCCACTCTTTACAGCTTATTCCTGGTTAGTTTCCTGATCAAACGCTGGAAGCCATATACATAGCATCGATCTGACATGCTATTCAGCAGCGCTAAGCAGCATCTATATAACTATCTCACGATCTCGCCGAATTTCCAGCCTTTTATTACCAAGTAGTTTCAAAGCCAGCCTTCTTTTATTCGCTCTTTCATTCGTTCAACCATTCGTTCATTAACCATCTTCGACTTTTAACCGCCGAAATGCTTTGGTCAGTTCCTGTTGCGCTGGCTCTCGCCTCCGGGGCTAATGCCCACGTTGCCGCCTTCGTCAAGGGCATGTACTGCGAGGTTTGTGCAGCTTCAGGTCACAGTTTACCATTCCATGAATCACATTCTCACTTCATTATTTAGGGTGGCCCTGATCCAAACAACTATAACTCAAACTCAAACACTCCTGTCAACCCTCTCTGGGACCTCCCGCAAGAGCAGTGGTGGATGCAAGCGGACCGTGGCTGCAACTTGGCGCCTCCCCCTGGCAATGCCTCCGTTGCTCTGCCTGCAGGTGGCTCTTTCACTGTTGAGCTTGCCCATAACCAAGCTCAGACTACCCTGTCTTTCAACGGACAGTTCGCTGGAGAGTGGCCCGATGGAAACGACCACCCTGAGAACTGGTCTGGCCCTGGCAACCCTCCTGATTGCATTCAGGATGATGGTGCTATGCACACCCAAAACCAGACTATGGCTGCCGGCACTGCTTGGGCCATCTCTTACAACTCAGACATCTCTCAGGTGACCATGGAGAATCTTGTTGTCTTCTCTGTCCTTGAGCAGTAAGTGTTTGTGCCAGAAAGATGAGAAAGAAGTTTACTAATTCGATACCAGCACTCCTTGGAAGCGTATTGCCACCTACGAGGTCCCTCAGGATCTCCCTGAGTGCCCCGAGGGCGGTTGCTACTGCGCTTGGCTCTGGGTCCCTAACGGTTGTGGTCAGCCCAACATGTACATGGCTAACTACCGATGCCATGTCACCGGCACGACTTCTACCAAGAAGGTTGCTCAGGCTCAGCCCCCTGTATATTGCGGAAACGACGCATCCAAGTGCCTGCCGGGTGCTAAGCAAATGATTGCATGGAACCAGGCCTCTGGTAACAATGTCCAGGTTCCTAATGGCGCTTCTCCCGCCTACGGCACCAACATGGGCTGGACTCCTGGTCCCCAGAACGATATCTTCGAATAAGGCTCTAGTAGTAGCTCTACCATTGGCGATAAGAGAGTCGAGGGAGATATCGCTACCAGAAGCTCTTGCTCTTAGCCAACAGTGGGTACTCCCTTTTCCGTTATTCTTGTTAATATTGTATTCATCGCACTACAAATTATATTTCAGTATATAAAACCATTACTATTCATCTTTAGTAACTTGGTCACTGTCATAGTCCACGCAGAAGTATGTATCTAACCATATATGATCTCGCAATCAATTGTATATATATAGTCAGTTTTGTGAATACGTAAACAATATGTGAAGCGTAGACCATAAGAAATCTCTATATCATGCTAAAATGTTCAACTAATAGCTGTGTTATAGCTAGTAGACTTGGAAAAAAAATTTTATAACAAAACAGCGGCGCTCTCTGCTCAACGCGGTTATCAAATGAAATTGCCAAACTCCATTTCCCTAGTATACTAGTACTGGTACGAATATTTCTCACATACTCGCGAATGGTATTCATGAGTTCAATATGAGATAAAAGCATATTATTATACCACGCCTGGTTTGTTTTTATGTTTCTTTTTTTGCTAAAAACTCTGTCTTATATCAGGTAGACCTATTCACCGGTCTCGCTAGAAAGAACTTACGTGCGTATGCCTCTCTCTCACACCACTGTCATCCTATGTTTTATTAATTAGCACTGGCAGCAAGATGGTTCTTGTTTTTAGCTGTAAGTTTTAAAATATACGTCTTGAGTATTTTTAGCTGATGCAGGATTTACTTCATATGCTATAATTGTTCATTTCCCCTGAAAATACCTGACATCCAACCATGCTCCGTGCTTTTCAACCAAGCCCCACCCTTACCTGATTGGGAAATAATCGAACGCTTTTCACACCCATGACCCACATTGGGGCTGGGTTAGCGAACTGTTACGCGGCTGAGTGGAATTGTACCCCATTTCGTGTCCAGAACAAGCAGTATTTGAACGCTCTGAAGAAATTAGTTAGAATTTCCAATGCTATAGTGATTAATATTACACCAACAAAGATTGCGTACGTGATTTGACAGAAATTAGTATATAAAGAAGCTCTGGCCAGGCATTCAATGTTTCTTGAGAGAGCCATCGACAACTCAACAGCCAGCTCTACAATTACTATTCATACTGCTGAAGCCCATTTTTTGATATCTCTTTTCATACATACAAAGATGCATTTGGGCAAGCTTTTCGCCGCTGCTACTATTGTGGCTCTCGCAGCAGCCAGCACCCCAAAATGTGCTGCATTTCCGCCATCAATGATTGAGTACTCATCCGGCTTCAAGCAGCCAAAGCCGCCGTTGGTACAGCCTGAGTTCACAGCAAACTTTGTTCAGCACAAATGGTTAGTCCCTAGACTATTCGGGTTCTCTCACAGCTAATGGAATATTTAGGGATGAGACACTCTCTCACATCATGACCGGATACATTGACAATTCCCCTGCTAAAGGCATAGTTCGCGTCAATGAGGCATACGATGATGCTCCAGCTTCGTCGGTGTTTAATTATGCAAACGTTACTGGAGATGGCTTGGTGGATAACATCCTAACCATATATAACGGAACGACTCCTTATGTCTGGCAAGGTTACGTCAATTCCAACTATCCTATTTTTGAACAAGATTTCCTTGTAAAGGCCGACGCAGTCTTTGGGGGGCTTGTTACAAGGAAGTTTAACGGCGATGTAGCATCTGTAAGTATTTTCTTACGACAGTGATATACCATAGTAGGCTAATATGTTGATTAGTGGGATATCATGTATCAAGGTGTTATTCCAGTGACGGTTTATGTAAACAATTGCAATGCCATTGTCGGGTATGACTATTTCTCGCCTGGTAGGCGTACCCGAGTCATTACCGACTTTTTTAACATCCAGATTCACACTGGAAATTAAGTTTCCTGCCAAGGATAAAAGGTCTGAGGGCCTTTTACATGGTGAAAGTGGGCCAATGGTAACGTGCGTCGGCTAGAGAGACTTTTATCTGTGCTCTTTTTTTCCTTTCTCTTCATGTACTCTATATCTTGAGTATATCTATATAATAAACTGTTCAAGTTCTTATCTCAGTCGAAATTTCCAAGTCTTTATATGTCCAGAAATCACATAAATCTATCGTGATTTTTTCTGCCACTACAAAGCCACTATTATAAATTTGTTGGAGGATCTTTAGGATCTTATTTCTCCGCCCAACTTCGGCATGTGCTCCTGCCATCCGTAAGGGAAACAAGAGGATAACTCCAGGTATATTAGAATCCTGAGTTGATTTTTCGCATATGCTTATAATTGCCGCGACATACGCGTTTGATTCATGAAGGCTTAATTCAGGAACCGTTCCAGTCTCCCAACACGAATAATAAGTAAAATTTCTGCAGTGGAAGAGCTGAAGAGCATAATAGTATGCGAATGAGATCTGGGTAAAAGGATCTGCAGCTGCTGACTGTAAGAGACTACCATTGTTCCAAATGGTGATTCTGTGATCCAGTGTGGTTCCTTCACGAGCTAGAGCTTTGACAGCAGAGTTGTGAGATCTTTTCTCCGCGGGAATGCCCTCAATGGTATCGAAAAGCCTATCAACATTTAGCTCAATCTCAACTATATTAAAAAAATTTAGAGCTCACTGTTTGCTGAATCTTGACGTTTGAAACATCAGCTCTGTAATTTCCATCATCGGATCTGGAATTTTAACTTGCTCGCTTCTGGTCCTGTTTTTCAACCTCCACCTGGCCTCCGATAAAAATGTGATATCTCCGTATAAAATTACTCTGTTTGCTTCAAGCACGCGAAATGCATTGACTAGTCTTTCCTGCAGCGTCGACTGGTGAGCATCTGGGCCAGCAAGCTGCAGAACTTTTGATGTGCCATAGAACATGTGCTTTGCCCAACCGTCACCAGATGGCTCAGCCATTAACTTAGCTGTGTCAGTAATACCGATAACTTATACTTCATTATTATCTCACCTCAAATAGTCCAAGTAGAAAAGTACTCCACGCTACGTCCTGGCTCGTAGCGGCATCCTTTGTCTGCAGTTGCAGCTGGAGAGACTGTAATGAGCGACTATACGAACGGTATGCAACACATTGTGGCCTTTCCTGCTCAAGAGATGTTCTGGTTGAAGCGCGTCTGCTGGCATCTAGTGCCCCGATTGCGATACCCAAGTCTCGCAGCGCTGGCGAGGTGTGCATCAATGGCAGCAGATCTCTCCCTATGTGGATGAAATCTTTGGTGAACTGGCATCGATAAAGGAATTCCGCGAAGCCATCCAGATACACATCGCTATCGTGAGATCGTACTTGTGTTGGTAATGTGATAGCAGTTGCTCCTTTTCGTTGTGGTGGCGCGTATGCGACGAACTGCACACTGAGACTAGTAGATGATACGGTGGCACCTTAGATAGGGTGTGCAAGAGTGCAAAAACCCCAATTTTCTAAAAAAACAAGAAAACTAAAAACTAAAAGATACAGTGTATGTACAGTATATGTACTGTATTTTACGGTGGCACCTTAGATAGGGTGTGCAAGAGTGCAAAAACCCCAATTTTCTAAAAAAACAAGAAAACTAAAAACTAAAAAGATACAGTGTATGCACAGTATATGTACTGTATTTTCTTAGTTACAGCGCCTTATAAGGCCTCTGCAAGGCTGAAATATGCCTT